ATATGTATATATAATAATGGTACTTTTAAATTTTTTGGTTTCCTTAATTTTTCATAATTTTATTTAGAAAATATATATATTTGCTTGTGTGTATATATATAACTATGGTATTTTAAAAATTTTAAGTATTGTGTCCATATGCTACCAACATTTTATATTATTTTTTATTTTTTATAAAAAAATTACATATTTCAATTTCATTTTAACTTTTTAAGTTTATACTTCGTCTGTCCATTTTCTATTGTCCTAAAGTATATTTACACGATTTTTTTAGATGATTGTCTTTTGTTATGAATTGACAAATTTGCCTTTAAGTGTATGGTAGAGATTAAAAATAATAAATGAATGAAGCGTAGAAATGTTAAATTTGTGTTTAAAAAAAAAAATAGGACAATAGTTGTTGGAGGTCCAAATAGGAAAGTAGGACATTGGGCGGAGGGAGTATTTAAATTTTAATTAAATTAATTAGTTATTTTTATTTTAATTTATAATTATATAATAATTATTTTTATTAATATAATTTTAATTATTTACTAATTATATTCTTAAAAAATTTCTCACGGTTGCTAAAACATTGGGAGTATATTATAATATATATATATATATAGATGTTAGTCTTCAATAAATCAAAACTAGTTCATTTGATAAAATAAACAAGCCCAAATGTTGCCTGCAACTTGAGCCCAGCGAAACAAAAAGGCAAGGCCCAAACCTCTTGGCCCAATTCAGCCCGACCACATTGCTATGAGGAGAGTTGCGAGTTCTCAGTGCAGGTGCTCTGCCTCTGCTAGATTGCTCATTACCGATTGGCCTTGCCGTCTTAGGACAAAGGAAACTGCGAGGATACGGGGGTAGAATGTTCACGTGTCTGAACGAACATATTCCTTTGCAATTATGAAATCTTCTTCTTTGTTCTCCACCTTCACCTAGATATTGATTGATGATGAGAATTAATGAGGTTGATTTTAATCTGTGTGTGTTTGTGAAGGAGAAGGAAATATCTACTGCCTCCTAAGTATCAGTGAAAAGCTTCGCATCTCTATCCTCCTCCATTCAGCTCGCCTAGGTAGAGATTGGTGTAAGAGTATGAATGTTGCCAACTTGCGATGCTCGTTGTAAGAATGAGAAATGAGAGGGAAATTGAAATATACTTGTTGTTATATATATACATGTGATATTACTCTTTTGCCCTTAAGCCTTTTCTCTCACAGCCACAGTGAACTTCAAGCCAGACTCACCTTGTTTTAGCTTGCCTTTCTAGTTTCTCTTTCAAAATCGTGTGCAGTTCTCCGATTATTATTATTATTATTATTTCGTGAGAACACCTATCCAAAAGTGGGTATAGGCGAAATTTTCGGCCGAATCTAATACCCTACAAATTAGGTTCGATAGACAAGTCACATTAGATGAACTATAGAACCATATGTGACAGGTGATTTAAGATGTCAGAGGCTTGAACCACCTACGGTTATACGTCCAACCCCCACACTTCATTCCTTACAAGACTTGTTATTATTATTATTATTATGATGTAATACTCTCTCCATCCTAATACAATAGTCTTGTTTACCATTTTTGTTTGTCCCAAAACAATAGTTTCATTTCCATAAATAATCATATCACTATAAAACTATCCTTACTTTTTCATTATTATTACACAATTGTCACTACTTTTTACATTAATACACTCACAAAGGCAAAAAAAATCTTTTACTCGTATTTTTTATCCACTACCAATATAATATCAATATTTCTAAAAATTATGTATCAAACATAATCGAAACTATAGTTCTGAAACGTAGGAAATAGTAAAATTGTTGTGATGGTCTCGTATGCTTAAATTTATCCAATCTTCTCAATTCATCAAGAATGACTTAGTTGTCCATGTACCATGGAAGAACTTGCATTGTTCGAATATTTGCAAGTATTTAATATTCGAATCAAATCGAATAAATACTCAAACTCATAAATTGTATTCGGATTGAAAATTTTAGTTAATTAAAAATATATATTCCAATATTTGAAAATAATTCAAATTGCATCCAAAGTAAAAATTACTAAAATTCCAATTAAAAAAAATATTCATAAACATTTCAAACCAAACTAAGACAGAATATAATATATGAAATATTATTATTATTATTATTATTATTATTATTATATTTGTCGAGATAAATAATAATAAAACAGTAAACTTCAATTTTGATCTGCATTAATTTCCTCTTCCTTCATTGTGCTTTTTAGGTCGTCTCTTCTGGCCAAAGCTCTGAATGTTTTCAAAAATGGTAGCCTTGGACGCCGTAAGAATGGATACGAACCAGAAGCTTTTTCATCACTCATCTTCTCCAACGGCGCGTGGTTTTCTGGAAGCTTCCCCTGTCCAAACCTTCGAATGCTTTTAACATCGTTGTAGCATTCGACGCCGTAATCAAATTCAGGCAGCGGCGGTCGAGCATCGTTGTAGCCTTTGACGCCGTACTCAAATCCAGGCTGCGGCGGTCCAGCATCGTTGTAGCCTTCGACGCCGTGCTCGTAGTTAGACGGCGGCCGTGGACCATCGTCGATGAAGACACCGCCGCGGTAATAAAATTTAGGCGGCGGCCGTGGAACATTGTCGAAGGAGCCATAATTAAACAAGTGCTGCGAACCCGAAGCTTTTTTATCGCTCGTCTTCGGACTCGTTCAAGTTGGATGCTGCAGAGCTATTGATTCGGTCATTCGGATATATGAACTAAAGGTATATATATATATATATTTGTATGTATAGATATAATTATTGGGTATTTGTATTTTAAGATTATGTTTTTTTGTATAATTTTTGGAAAGTATATATTTCTGTGTATATAATTATGGTACTTGAGAATTTTTTTTTTAATTATTATATTTTTTGTTTGGAAGATATATATATATATATGTTAAGAGTTTTATTTCGGAAATGTATATATTTGTATATATATATATATATATGTGTGTGTAATTATGGTAGTCTAGCATTATTTATAGTTTATTTCAAATATATGTAGATGTAATTATGATATTATGTAGATATATAATTATGGTATTTTAAGATTTTTTTATAATTCTATTTGGAATATAATATATTATATATACTCCCTCCGTCCCAGAAACAAGTACTCATTTGCTTTTTGCACGTAATTTTAGAAATATTAGTATTATATTGAGATATAGTATGAATAAAGTAGAAATGACCAAAGGTAATGACATTTATGTAATATATTGTAAGTTGTAAGAGTATTTGTAATGTTAGGTAGATAGTACAATTATTAGAAGAGGAAATGGATACTTTGTTATGGGACGGATTAAAATGAATACTTTGTTATGGGATGGAGGGAATATGTAAATTTGGAGTTGATTTGGTGCTGATTTAAAGATGTAAAATTTATTATATTTAATTATATAATTTATAAAATAAGTTGTCATAATTATTTTTCATACTTAATCAGTATTGGGTGCTGATTTAAAAAATCAACACCTAATCCTCTCCCTATAAATTTTCAATAAATCAAATTAATTTATTTGATAAAAAAAATAAAAAAAAGTATTTAATATGTTATAAATAGGTATTAAATTTATAATTTTAAATAAATATTAAAAATGATATTTTTTTAAGAAAATTTATTCTTTATGTCAAAATTATGTAAATATTTTTACAATTTTCAAGATAAATTTATGTTCTATATATTTATATTAAATAAAATATTTAATTTTTATTCTTTGTTTTTAAAAAATAGAATTTGTTTATTTAGTATTTTGATCTAAAGAAATTTTTTTATATAAAATATAAAAATTCTATCGATATTACTCCCTTCGTCCCGGAATTAAGTATTCATTTGTTTTTTGCACGTAGTTTTAGAAATATTAGTATTATATTGGGATATCGTAGGAATAAAGTAGAAATAACTAAAATAACCTTATCAGTATGCGTGATATAAAAATAATGATATTTATGTAATATATTGTAAGTTGTAAGGGTATTTGTAATGTTACCGTTACTAAAAAAATGAAATGGATACTTTGTTATGTGACGGACTAAAATGAAAAAATCGATAATTTGTTATGGGATGGAGGGAGTATTATATTATTATTATTATGGCAAAAAAACCTTTGTCACTTTCAAATTTTGTTTCTCAATGGAGCCTAGCCTTGCATTGGAGAACTAATTATTAGAATTTGAATCATAACCAAAAAAAAATGGTTTGAAGGTTAATTCTGTTTAGACAGAAATTTTTTGAAGGTTTTAGAATTTTATAAATTTGAAAGAAATGAAAGATTAATATTTAATTTAATGTTTTATAAAATATAAAATATATTATTTTTTTAAAAAAATAAATAGTGTCTGAGCAGAAAAATGTGTAATGTAACAAAAAGCCTAAATTTGACTCATGGTCAAACTCCGTGGGACAAACAATTCAATGCAAATAGGGGTGGACATAGTTCCGATATTTGTAAATATACAGGTGTTTAATATTCGAATCGAACCAACAAAATACTCAAAATCGTGAACCATATTTGAATCGGAAATATTTGTAATATTTGCAAATAATTCAAATCGAACCAAAATTAAAAAATAATAAAAATTCTAATTAAATCAAAATATTTGCAAATATTTTAAATATTCAGAACCAAAACTGAATTAAATATAATTATGAATATAAATTTTAAAACATAATAGCATAAATATATTCGGTTCGATTAACCGAATCGAAAAAAATTTCAAAAATCGAAATCAAACCGAAAAAATATCAAATATGTATTAATTGTATTTGAACCGAATTTGTTGAATTAACCAAAAATTCGATTTGAGTAAGTTCGGTTCAACGTTCAATTCGATATTTTTCCCACCCATGGCAAGTTGATATGAGAATTAAATTCAATTGGTTGACGTAAACAGTGGGACCCGCAGTAATGTGTGATTCACGTGAAATGCACGTGACTTCAATCCAATAAGTTTCCTGCTTTTCAAAGCATTTTCCACGGTTCAATTATTTCCCTCTCTCTCTCTCTCTCTCCTTCTGTTACTTTCATGGCTAATGCCGTTTCCTGCTGCTATGTCTGCCGTTGCGATCCCCTCTGACCTCTGCTTCTCCAGCCCACCACCCACCACTGCACTATCAGAGGGAAGTTGAGGAGAAATTTACCGGCGGCCATGGCGGAGGAGCAAGTTCTGTACCTGCACGGGGATCTGGAGCTGCATATCTTCGAGGCTCGCAGTCTTCCCAACATGGACCTCTTCTCAGAGCACCTCCGCCGCTGCTTCACCGCCTGCGACGTCTGCCGCTCCCCCTCCGACCACGGCGACGGAGACGGAACCGACGGCGGCGGAATTAGTCGCCGCGAGATGAAAATTGACCGTCACCGGAAAATCATCACCAGCGACGCTTACGTCACCATATCCGTTCCCCAGGCCACGCTCGCCCGCACGCGCGTGCTCTCCAACTCCCTGAACCCGAAGTGGAACGAGCGTTTCAATATCCCCTTGGCGCACCCCTTCGAGTCGCTGGACATCCGCATTAAGGATAACGACGTTTTCGGCGCCGACAACATAGGGAAGGTCTTGATTCCGGCCGAGAAGATCGCTTCCGGCGAGGAAATCTCCGGCTGGTTCCCTGTGCTTAATTCCGTCGGTAAGCAGCCGAAACCAGACACGGCGCTGCGGCTTCAGATGAAATTCACCCCTTGTGAGGAAAATTCGGCGTACAAAATTGGCATTGCTGGCGATCCGTTGCACGGAGGGGTTAGGGGGACTTACTTCCCGCTTCGGAAAGGGAATTCTGTTACTCTGTACCAGGATGCGCATGTAAAGAGCGACGAGCACAAATTGCCTGAAATTGAGCTGGAGGGTGGATTTGTTCGGGAACACGGCAGGTGTTGGGAGGACATCTGCCATGCGATTTCTGAGGCGCATCATTTGATATACATTGTAGGGTGGTCTGTCTTCCACAAAGTTAAGCTGATTAGGGAGCCGACGAAGCCCTTGCCTCGAGGAGGACACATGACGCTTGGGGAATTGTTGAAGTATAAGTCCCAGGAAGGGGTTAGAGTTCTGCTGTTGGTTTGGGACGACAAGACTTCGCACGATAAGCTCTTGCTGAAAACGGTACTGCCTACGAGTATTTGCAGTTTCTTTTAATTATTATTGATGCTGATGATAATCTTGTTCGTCGTACCTTCTGTTACTGGATTTTGCTCTGTGGTAGGAAGGATTTAGGGATGGAAACGAAAGTTCTTGTAGGTGTGTTCTTGAATTTTGTTGTTGCGAAGGAAATAATAGTGCAAGTATTTGACTTAGATGAACCATCATCATATATGTGGGCCCATTTACCTTAGTGAATAAACTAAGATAAAATCAAACAAGAAGCCATTCTAGAGTCATCAATATTTTGCCACGATCGAACTTAATGAATTCGGTCCTTATTTTCCTTGTCTAACATAAACCTTAAGATCGCCCAACCTCATACCGTGCTACATCAGAATTTCCTTCATATCATGAAATTTTTAATGAATTTCTGTGATGATCTTGCATTTACCATTGTAATTTAACTTATATAGAGGTTCTGGGTGTTCTAGCTTTGTTGTAGCTGCAACTGAGTTTTAGGCATTCACATTGTGATGAATGGTTTTGTTTGCCATGGATGCAGGCTGGAATGATGAAAACTCATGATGAAGAGACCAAGAAGTTTTTTAAGCATTCATCTGTTATCTGCGTTTTATCACCACGTTATGCAAGCAGTACCCTTGGCTACATTAAACAACAGGTAGATTTTTGTAATTGCTTCTTTTTTTATCTTTCTTTTTTAAGGTACATTACTGTCTCCTCGTAACCATGTTCGTTAAGTTCTTCAATAGCATAGATATTGTAATAACATGATAATCAGGTTGAGTTCATTGAAAAGAAGGCTAATTTTATGCTACACATTGTATAGTGATTCACAACATTACATTAGAAAATACTCCTGCCGTTCATCTACCATTGAAAGGGTATTTCGGTTCTTTTTATGTCAAATGATATGATATTTTATTAATACTGTGAATTCTACAATTGACGAATAAGAAAATGGACGCTCTAAATGGCAACATGTGTCTATTGTTAGTAGACGGAGGAAGTATTTCAGTAGGCAATATATCTGAGGCTGGGAAAAACCTACTATGAGAAGTAACCAAATATTTCTCTTGCACATTAGTAGCTATGTTACTCCTGACTATTTTCTTATCATGTTATTTTGGTAGTTGCACCAACCGAGTTGGGCCTTCTTTCCGCATTTTAAATCTTTGTTGACTTACCTCTGTAATCTTACTACCAGGTTGTTGGAACTGTCTTTACACATCATCAGAAATGTGTTCTTGTTGATACACAAGCTCGTGGAAATAATAGGAAAATTACTGCCTTTATTGGTGGCATTGATCTCTGTGATGGTCGTTATGATACACCTGAGCATAGATTGTTCCGTGATCTGGAGACCACTTTTAAGGATGATATTCATCAGCCTACTTTTCCTGTAAGTAATATATTTACTGCAGTCAATATATGCTTACTAGAGCTTGCAAAGTTCAGAAATTACTGCATGATTCTGACTTCTGATGGTTATAGCCCGTTTGCAAAAAATTGACGCAGTGATTACTAACTAAATATAGCAAGATGGGTTGCTCGCATTTGTTTTGCTTTGAGTTTTTGGTATTTTGATATCTACTTTTTTACATTTCTAATTATTAAAGTTAATGCCTTTTATTTATTTTTTTAAACGTTGTCCCTAGTAGAAATGGTTGCTTTGCACGTATGGGGTTTGTGATTTTATTATTCATGATATTTTTTCTGTTTTAGGTTGTAATTTTTCTAACGGTGCATTGTTTGTTTAATGATTGTACAATAAAATGATACCACTAGCATTCTCTTGTGGCAATGATCTCAATCCACTTCTAGGCTTAATTTCCGACTTTTGAAACAAGTATTTGTTTATTCAAATTCGACCCTTCTTTGACATAGAACGAAAAATACATAAATAAATTATAATAATTACCTAGTTTTAATAACAGTGAATCGAATGCTTTGAAATCAGGGATTATAACTTAAACATAGATTTGATTTGATTATTCTTACGATGTAAATATTAGGAAAGAAAAAAATGTTGGCAACTCAGGTCTAGTTTTCTATGAATAATCAACTAAACATAAACACAACATAACCAGAAGAAGAAGAGAAAGTAATCGGGATAGGAAATCAAGAACTTACACCACTTTTTAGGATTAGAAAAAGGTCCTCATGATCATTTACTATGAGGTTTCTTGAATTCCTATCTAAGATCCACAACAGATCTTGACAAACGAACGGATACAAAGAAGCTTGCTGTTAACCATCTTAAAAAACAAGAATTTACGTGGCAACAGGGTCTTAAGAACTCTATTATCAATTAGAGTACAAACAAACGAACATCAGATATTTGAGATCTCTCACACAAAATATATTCTCTTTTACGACATTATGTTTCAGTTTGAGCAGTATTGACATGACAAACCTCCGTTCACACCCACTTTTCATCTCAAAGGGCTTTTGGTATAGGCATTCATGTGGTTGTCCTGCCTGCAGCTTTTCTGAATGGGTCTTCACTCACCTGAACGTCCCGGATTTTATGATCTGTGTCACAAGATCTAATGAAATGAAAATGCAGTTGCATTTATAAACACAAATAATCTAAAGGATTGATTATTCAGTCACTATTCAAATCCATCCATCAATCCTTCCTACCAATTGCTGATCAAAATTGATATCACAGGGACTTGATCATGACATGATCTAGGTCTAAATCTCAAAAGCAGGAAAGAGAACACGATGAGAACAAGTTTATGTTTGTTTTGGTTGATTTAAAGGTTTCAAGTCTAGCATGCAATATATTTATTTTACCACATATTGGTAAGTTCTTACCTCATAATGTATCACTCTCTTTAAAATTATTATTCTCATGCTATTTTCATTTATAAACTTTCTATTGTAGGAAGGAACAAAGGCTCCAAGGCAGCCTTGGCATGATTTGCACTGCAGAATTGATGGGCCTGCTGCTTATGATGTTCTTGTAAACTTTGCTCAACGTTGGCAAAAGGCAACAACGTGGAAAGAATTTAATAAACTTAAGAACAAGATGTCCCAGTGGAAGGACGATTCAATGATAAAAATTGAGCGAATATCCTGGATTTTAAGTCCTGCATTTTCTGTTTCTGAGGATGGATCTTACAAATCTAATTTGGATGATGATCCTAAGCTATATGTCTCTAGGGAGGAAGATCCAGAGAATTGGCACGTGCAGGTTAAAATCATCTACTTTTGTTTACCCGATGCTCCTATGTAATACTAAATCTTTATTTGCTTGCACAGATATTCCGGTCAATTGATTCTGGGTCAGTCAGAGGCTTTCCAAAATACTATGATGAAGCTCGGGCACAGGTTAAGATTTAAAATCTTGCTGCTTTTTCTACAATGATCTATTAATTCTGTGAATCAGAAAACAAAATTGGAATGCTATGTTCCAAGAACTTAACATAGAATATACATCACAAAATGGTTTCTACTTTGCCATTTCTTTAACACCTTTCCTGATATGTTGTTGTAGAATCTTGATTTCTACAAAAAACTGGTGATAGACAAAAGCATTCAAACGGCATATATCCAGGCGATAAGATCTGCTCAGAAATTTATCTACATCGAAAATCAATACTTTCTTGGTTCATCATATGCTTGGCCTTCATATAAAGATGCAGGTAAAGATTCACATTTTTCTTGTTGGTCTTTACATAAATTTAGCCTCGTACTTCAAATTTACTCTGTGTTCTTATGGAACTAGCACTTCAGTTTTTTATTTGAAATTCTTTAAACATTTTGTAAAACTGAATCCATACAACTGAATTGGTGATATCATAATAGGAGGTTTCTTGGGTTAGTATTTAGGGTATAACTTCATGACCATTAAAACCAATGTCAACAAAATGGCAGGGGCTGATCATCTAATACCTATGGAGTTAGCAATGAAAATTGCTAGTAAAATACGAGCTAATGAGAGATTCGCGGTGTATGTTGTTCTACCTATGTGGCCTGAGGGAAATCCCAAAGATACTGCTATGCAAGAGATTCTATTTTGGCAGGTAACATGCCTTTAATCTTCTCAATATGGTTTGCAGGTAGTTATGGCCATGATAGCATGCGCTCTGTATGTATGAAATAATATTATGAAAAAATTGTTTGGAAATTATATCTATATAAGAACTTGGTTTTTACATGTATTGATTCTATTGACATTTTGTTTCTACATTCAATGAAAGATGATTCTTCTGCTGCTTTGCATTCAGAAACTGTAGGGGTTTGAAAAGGTACTTTTTAAATTGTGAGAACTTGATGCATGTAGTCCCATCTTTATTTAGAGGACATGGTTATCGAAAATGTTATAAGCAAAACTTCAGTCTCTCTCCTAAAAAATTATTGAGATTTTTTAGAACTTGATGTTACTTATACACCATAGTCCTGTTATGTGGCTGCTTTTCTGCTTGGGTGATACAAATTAGCAAAGAGTTGGTTTTTCCTCTCTGAATATTATAGGATTCCTTTAACTCATTAACTTTTTGTAGTATAATATTTCGTAAACATATGATGGGACATCTAAAAAGAATTTATGTGATTCTAAAGATTTTGCTCACACTCTTTCCGCTTGATAGGGCCAAACAATGCAGATGATGTACCAATACATTGCAAAGGAGATCAAATCAATGAAACTCCTGGATTCGCATCCTCTAGATTACTTGAATTTCTACTGCCTTGGCAACCGGGAAGCAATAAAAAATGCTGAAGCTGAAATCTCTGGAGCTGCAGATAAGGTAGTTGCCTAAAACAATCGTTATCCTTATTTGGTGTTTGATAGTGTGATATGCACTGTAACTATGAATAGACCAACAATATTCAAATTCCATGGCGCAGACAATCAATAAACATCTTTATGGTCCTGATTGATAAGTAATTATTGTAATGGAGAGCTTTGCACAATGAAATATTATCTGTTATGGACATGCATAATTCATTATCTGCTAAAAACATCAAAAGGCTTTCTGAAGTGAGAACATAGTGAGAAGAAGACATTATGGTGTATTTCATTTTGAAGATAGGTTGATTTATGTGTTTTGATGGATGTTTTAAATGCAAATAACCATTTCACGGTCATCCATTAAGTGTTCCCCTGTTACCTTCTTGCTGTGACTTCTTACTACAATTGAAATATACTTGTGTTCCATTCTAAAAGGTCACATTTCTTGTATATTGTATGTGATGCATCATCTCAGTCAATAATGTGGATGTGATTTGAATTACAAATCTGCATGCCTTTTCTATTCTTGTCTAGGACTTCCAGTACTAATTAAATAGTGAGAGATTTACAATGAGATGCTATATAATGCCTAATCACATAGTATTTTGGTGTAGGAGACAGCAATTTTCCACATTTACTTCCATGCAATTGAACAAAACTTTCGTTGGTATTGCTAGGAAATTGGCTGAATGAATAATTTTCTTTTTAAAACAACAAATCTATATTTTATAAAGTTATTCTAGTATCATCAATTGTATTGTTCTTCTAGAATTTAGATTTGCCAACACATCTTTTGTTTGTGCTGTGCCTTACTATAACGTGTGTGCTTTTATCTGACAAATATTCTGTATTCATGTGAGCTCCAATCAGATTTCAGATTCACAAAAGTTTCAGCGCTTCATGATATATGTTCATTCCAAAGGAATGGTTGTGGATGATGAGTATGTGATAATAGGATCTGCTAACATAAATCAAAGATCAATGGCTGGCTCCAAAGACACAGAGATTGCAATGGGTGCATATCAGCCTCATTATACCAGGGATAAGAAACAGGATCGACCTCGTGGCCAGGTTTGTTTTCTTTGAGAACTTTTCAGTTCCTGTTATTTACTTCAGCACCTTGCAGATCTGAAAGTGTCCTTTTGGTATATATTGTGATCTGGCACCATCTTTGAAATGATTCATCTTAAGTGCTCATAGATGAAGATAGCAGTGTTGATCTGCTTGTATGTTTCCAAATTGGACGGGGGAAATGTTTCTTTGTTTTCATTCAAAATTATCATATTATTCATCAGAGCGATAAATGTGATTCTCTGAAAAAGTTGTAACTTGCAATAAACATGAGTGTGGAGAAACATATGTTGAGGGCAAGATGGAAAATAATTAGAGGTTAGGAAAATCTCGAATATGATCTCATAACCATAAGGCATTCAAAACTTGCTATCTTTGACATATCTCTGTACATAACACTACAAACAAGATCTAGTAGCGATCATATAAAGTATCGAATGGAATATGTACCTCAAGTGTAGCTTATACGGCACAACTAAAGACTTAGAATGGGATTGAATGGCATCCCTTTCCTGAGATTTTGGTTCTTCTGTACAAGATATGATGAGAATTTCTATGCGAAGTGTAGTTCTTTTATATAATCATAATGGATGTTTTATAACAATCTACCGAAGATGTTTGGTAAGATACAAATACATATTGGAGTTAGTATTTTAAACAAGAAGAAATCTTGGAAAAAGTTATCAACACACTGAAATGACCATAGGCACATGCTCAAATATTATGCTGTTGGGCTTGTCTTCTAAATATTGCTGTTGCATCTGCAGGTGCATGGATATCGAATGTCGCTCTGGGCGGAACACCTTGGAATGACGGACGAGTGTTTGAAGAAGCCTGAGTCATTGGAGTGTGTGGAAAAACTAAACGAGATTGGTGAAGAGAACTGGAAGAGGTATACGAAAGATGAGTTTACAGCATTGCAAGGGCATCTGCTCAAGTACCCAATCGAAGTTGATATTGAAGGCAACGTTAAGCCGTTGCCGGGTTATGAAAACTTCCCGGATGTTGGGGGTAGAGTTCTGGGGACTGCTGCTCAGGCTATACCGGATATTATTACCACATGAGGCTGAGACACCCTTATCATCCATGTAAGTAAGTATGTGTAATGTTGTATTATGAGAATGTGCATAGTTTGGTTTTAAGGTCTCTCTCTCTCTCTCTCTCTCTCTCTCTCTCTCTCTAACACACGCTCACATGAAGATTGATTCTTCTTATTGTTTGTTTGTTTGTTTCATTTGCATGTGGATTGAATTGAATTGTATTGATTCATTGTAATTTGTGTGTGTTAAAGTAATGCATAGTGATTCAACCATTCAACATTTGTTTCATATTTATTCCAAAACAAGATGCGGTGTGGTGTACATGCCGAATCTAGTCACACTATGGGAACTATGTGGCAGGTGATCTGAGTCATCGGGGATTTGAATATGTTACCTCACGATCACAAATCCAATTTCGTACCACCAGGCTATTCGTCTTGATAGTCGATCTGAATTTATATGATGATAATAATAATAATAAGAAAGTATCGCTGTTCGTACAAGGAAGGACACTGATGCCTCATCTCTTTGAATGCCTACAGCGTGTGATTGGATGTTGGGTCGTAATATCGGCATTGAAAGTTTATTTATTTATTATGTGCTATTCAAAAATATTTATTTTTTTAGTATTATGTAATAATTTGAAATTTCTAATAAGATTCCATGCATTAAATTGCCATAGTTTTTATTTGAATTTAATGTTTTGTAGAAAAATAATTTTTATTATAAATTGAATAACAATTTTGATTTGAAAAATACTAACAAAGATACCTTTTGTTGGTATGCGTATGCGTCCCTTTCCTCGGTTTTTGTCCTTTTTGTTGCTTTTGTTGGAATCTATGCAACGCATATATACGAATGAAGGAAGGTAGAAGCTGAATATTATTCAGACAATCGAGATATATAAGAGTCAATAACCACTCCTGCTGAAATGTACAATTATTGAATAATATACTATTATTATTGAAAAAAAAAAGAGAGAGAGAAAAAAAAAAAATTATCGAATAATAGTAGTATATTGATTTATTCTTTTAATTATTTTTCTATATGTTATATATAATATATATTGGCAAATGTATATATATAAATACATAAAATAGTTAATCTTTGTTATGTTATTACAAAATAGTAGTAAATATAATAATATGGAAATCAGTAACATAAATTAATAAAATATTTTTAATTATTTATTAATTTTTATCACTTCTATATTTTTTTTTTATCTACGGTGATTATAATACTTCATCTGTCTCAAATACCTGCAATATTTTTTTTTGATATGTGATAATTAATTATACTTAATTTCTGTCTCACATCTATCCCCTCACATTGTTCAAATAAAAAAAATACTCCCTCCGTCCACACACAAAGTAAACGTTTACTTTTTGCGCGGTGTTAAAAAAATAATAGTATTTTAATTATAGTGAGTTAGTTAAAAGTAGTGTAATAACATTTTTGCCGTGTAAAAGTAATGATGTGATATAAAACAAGGGTATTTGTGAAAAAAAAAAAAGGTAAGCTATTTAATGAAATATTTACTTTGTAATTAAACGTTCCAAAAATAGAAATATGTATACTTTTTAGCTGAACGGAGGGAATAAAATATATATTTTTCTCTCCATCACATCACCTGATTTATAAATTATTATAATTAATAATACCCACCTAAAAATTATTGCTAAAAACAAATATTGCACCTTATTTAAAATAGAGAGAGTCCTGTATTAGGAACTAAAGGAGTATCAATCAGTTTTTAATATTATACTATTTTTAATTGTAGATTTACTCAATTGAATACGATGTCACTGAAATTATGAAATGTGTGATCATAATTTTAGATTCAAATAAAATATATGTTGACCTTGACCTACAAACAAGCACCCACCGTGCCTCCTATGTTAGATTCTACACGGACTAATATATACTCCCTCCGTCCCAAGTAATTTGTTCTTATTTTTTATTTTTATTCGTCTTATATAATTTGTCCATATTTTATATTTTCGTCCGTTCCACATAACTTATCATTTTTATTTTTGGAAATATAATTATGCACTTTAATCGCATTTTAAATTTTAAATTTTATAATTTTCTTAATTTTAATTAAACTATTTATTTATTTTAATCTTAATCTATAATTATTTTTACTAATATATTTTTTAATTAATTAATTAATTATATTTTATCTAAATTCCTATGTCTACGGTAATACACTTATATTACATTGGACGGTGGGAGTATTTGAATGCAGACGTATTAAATTCAAAACGTCCGGATTACTGTAAGGGTACACCTTATCCAATAAATGATTTAGTGTAGCAGGGTGAACTCAAATTATGAGTTTAAATATTCTATGACTTTAAGGGTATGGCTTTTTTTTAAAAAAAAAAAATTTTTTTATACATTTATGAAAATTTTGATTTGAATTTAATAATAAATAATATATCATGAAATATTTTGTGAAAATAAATATAAAGATTAAATAAAAGTAGAAATATGAGATTTGAAAGTAAAAAGAAAAAGAATCAAATCCTTAATTTCACTTGTTTTTTTGGTGTAGTGATGAAAATAATTATATTTAAAGACAAATAAAATATTTATCCGTCTCACTTTAAGATTTCATTTATTTATTTTTTGTCATTATAATTAACATTAAAAATATTTGTATAATTTCTTTTATAAATATCATTATAATAGTATTATAAGTAAAATTCATTTGTGCTACATTTTTATATAATAATTAATATTTAAATATAACGTGTATAAATAAAATTCATTTATGCTACATTTTTATATAATAATTAATATTTAAATATAACGTGTATAAAAGACCTTGTAACCGAAAGAAGATAGTAAAATTTCATTTAAATAAGTTATTTCCTAAACAAATCACCCAAATCGTAATAAAAACTGATAAAAAATAAAATAAAATAAAATAAAACCTCAGGCTAAACTAGACCGGTTAGGAATCGGTTGTGGTGACTGGAGCATGGTTGGTGTGTGCCATTCTTTCTCAATCAGCTGTATCACTTGGACAAGACAAATGCAGAGACTAGACTAGTGTAGAGTTGTAGAGTAGGAGTAGGTGTGTGTGTATTCCTTTATGCAACCAAGGCAAGGCGAAATATGCATCCATACTACCACTGCCACTACCAGTCTACCACTCAATATTCAGGACCCGACCCGACCCGACCAGATCAGCATTCATTCATTCATTCATTACATTATATTACATTACATGTGGGCGGCGGCATCTGCTTCTGCTTCAGCTTTCTCTACTACCATGTCCATGTCCATGTCCATGTCGAAGACAATGGAGGATGTCTGGAACGACATCACCCTCGCCGCCGATCTCACCTCCGCCTCAACCTCCGCCCGCGGCGGTGGCGCCATTCTGCAGGACTTCTTCTCTCATCCCCATTCCCACTCCAAGGACATGATGAGTACCGCGTCTCCCTCTGATCGCCCCCCGACCCCCTCACCTCCGCCCACTCTCCTCACCCTCAACTCCACCCACCTCCTCCTCCCCCTCCCCCTCCCCCTCCCCGACCACGCTAATAATAATAATAATAATAAACGCAGCAGCAGCAGCAGCAGCACCACCCACAACCACAACTCCGGCGATCGCCGCCACAAGCGCATGATTAAGAACCGCGAGTCCGCCGCCCGCTCCCGTGCCCGAAAGCAGGAAATTAAATTAAATTAAATTAAATTAATCTATTAAACCCTTTGTCTGTGTCTCTCTCTGTGGATGAATGAATGATGATGAGTGGTGGTGCAGGCGTACACTAATGAGTTGGAGTTGGAAGTGGCAAATTTACTCCAAGAGAATGCCAAGCTCAAGGACCAGCAACGCCAGGTCTGTCTGTCTGTCTGTATGTATATCCATTATACATATATAGGCTTTGCTTTAATTGGCATGGCAATGCAAGACTTGTACAACCATATATATATATAGGCGATGATGTTGAATAGAATCCGCAATTGTTTCCCTTTTTTGACACACGCACACGCTCAGACACATGTGGTTGTTTCTCTACCCAAATCCAATATCCCAACCAGGTAGAGAATGGGAATGACTACTGCTGCTGCTGTCCTTCCTTCCATTTATAACACAACACCATTTCCCTTTTTACCCAAATTTCTATCCTCTCTTGTGTTAGTTCCAAATCTGGGTATTTGATTTCATTTCATGCTATATATGTAGTGTGCATCAATCAGCATGTTTTGGGAAGAATTGCTAGTGTTGTGTCTTCCAGTCTTGACTCACCCCACCTATCCACCCCTTTCCTCATTTTTGAGCTACCTAGCTAGCTCTTCTCCATCCATCATTTTCCAAAACACACACACACACACACACATGTAGTATATCAATTAGTGTTCCTGCCTAATTAATATATATATATATATGTTGTTAATCACCATTTATGTGTGTGTATGTCTCAGTTGTATAGAGCTGCAGCTGCTCAAAACGAGAAAAAGAAGACTCTCCACAGAACCTCAACTGCTCCATTTTGACATGAAGCCAAGAATTAATTAATTAATTAGTTTGTACTAGTATTAATTAATTAAATTAGAGAAGAAGGATAATTATTACATAGTACTATGACATTTTGTGTAGTCGTCAAGTCCTAGTCCTAGTCCGGACCAGATCAGGTCAGTAACAACTTCCAAAAGGCAGGCAAAGCATGCCATGCCAATGCCAGAGAAGTATTCTAATTTTAATTTTAATACTATTATGGTTGCCAACGCAAGTGCATACTTTGATTAGAGTATGTTTCTTTCAACTGGATTTCATTGTTTGAATTCTATGTTAAAAATATAATTTCTTTTTTATCAAATATTATTTTAATAATAAATTCAAATTATTTTCTTTTTTCAAATTCAACCAAAACAAACACAATCAAGTTGCGGGGTGGGGTGAGGTGGAGTGTGTGTTTTGCCACTTTTGCAGAAGCAGCAGGTGTTAGCATAGTACGTATAATAGGGTTCTAGCGTCATTAAAGGCCAGGCACGCAGGCTGACTGACTTACACCAAACACAGAGATACAGATACACAGGACTATATATATATATATACATAATATACCCTTCATTCCCACTTTAATAATTAAATAAATTAGTAAAAAATAATATTTCCTCCTTCACGTAGTATTTTTTTTATATGTTTCAAGGTTTGATTATTTCGATGCGTTTGGAAAAAATTTAGTTTGGATTTAATATAAAAATAATATTTTATATGATATTTTGTGAGAGAAATAAATGTATTTTTTTTTCAAAAAAAACAGAATTCAAATAATAAAACATTGAAAAAAAATTTGCTAAAAAAAATATACTCTTAATGATCTATAAATTTTTATATCTTGGTCCCTTATAAAACAAAATACTCATTCCCTTTTTTTATACCTTTAATATTTACCTATTATTAAAATTACTCTTAAATTTATATTATATTACAAATATACAATTAAAATAAATTTTTATATTGAATATATTTTAGTTTTTTTTTTTATTCCTATTACACTCTAATCTAATATAATGTTAATATTTTAAAAATTTTGTGCAAAAAAATAAATTAATAAAAGATATGGACAGAGAGAGTGCTCCCTCAGTCCCACGTAATTTGTCCCTATTTTCTATTTTCGTTCATCCCACACTTTAATCGTATTTTAAATTTAAGTTTTATAATTTTCTTAATTTTAATTAAACTATTTACTTATCTAAATCTTAATCTATAATTATTTTTACTAATATACTTCTTAATTACTTACTACCTATACTTTACCTAAATTCTCGTATCTACACTAATAGTCTCATATTTTCTGGGATAGATGGAATATTATATTAGGCTCTAATAAAAAAAAGATAAAACTATTCTATTAGTATTGTGAATATAAAAGTAATAGCCTAATAAAAAAAAAAAGACAAAAATATTATATTAGTATTGTGAATATAAAAGTAATAAATAAATAGTATAATTACTAATTTAAAAAACAATAATTTTATTTGGTACGAACGAAAATAGAAAATGACAATATTTTAATGAAATAGAAAAAATACTCCCTCCGTCCCATTGAAAAGTTGTCATTTTCCATTTCATTCCGTTCCAAAACAAGGTTATCATTTCATAATTTATTAATTGTACTACTTACTTAATATAATAAATACATTTCAAACTTACACTATATTACACAAATGCTATTATTTTTAATATTACACAAACTAATATGAGCATTTTCGTCTTTTTCCCTACAACCCATTATAATACTAATATTAAAAAATCTACCTGCAAAAAGTAAACGACAACCTTGCACCGGGACGGAAGAAGTATTTTTTATAAAATATATATTCCCTCCGTCCTGAAACTAAGTATCCATTTGCTTTTTGCACGTAGTTTTAGAAATATTAGTATTATATTGGGATATAGTATGAATAAAGTAGAAATTACTAAAATAACCTTATTAGTATATGTGATATAAAGGTAATGACATTTGTATAATATATTACAAGTTGTAAGGGTATTTGTACTACTAGATATATAGTACAGTTACTAAAAAATGAAATGAATACTTTATTATGGAACGGACTAAAATGAAAAAAAATGAATACTTTATTATGAGACGGAGAAAATATATATATATATATATATACATAATTTAAAATTAAATAGAAGAAATATAAAATTTTGGATAGTTACTTGACCACATGTGATTATTGTCTCGACCAATGTATAATGCTCCTTTTTGGACTGAAAATGGGTGCCATTTATTTACTTGTATATATTTGACGTTGATTTGATCTCAATCTCGTCTTTACAACTGTACTCATTTTTCCTTTACATATTTTCACTCTTTTTTTTTTTTTTTTTTAATCTCCCTAATTGATAGGTGGATTCCTACTCCTACCTTGCTTGTCGCACCAATAATTGTAGTTTCAAAATATTCGCATTCAAATTTTAGTGAATATATTTTTAATAAATTTATTAATATTAAATATAATTAATAAATATAAATTAACTTAATTAAATCTCTAACTATTTTATATAAATTATGCATATACAATTAACAGAAGGGATTGTAGCTGACATAATTATTTCAGCATTGCTGATTAGTTAATAAATTAATTATATTAATAATATAATAATGAAATAAATCAATATAAATATTGTTTAAAGCATTCAGCTTGGATGCTGAATTAAATGTATCAGTAATTGATCCATATCCTACAATTGATTTATATAACCAATTTCCTTCGTTTTATATCTATATATTCATTTATTTTTTCTACAGGATTTTAGAAATATTAGTATTATATTGGAATACAGTAGAATCAAAGGTAAGAAAAAGACTAAATTGCCCTTATTAGTATTGTATGATATAAAAGTAATGACATTTGTGTAATATATTGTAAATTGAAAGGATATTTGTAATATTAGGTAGATAGTAAGTTACTGAAAAAAAAAATGGATACTTTGTTATGGGACGAACAAAAATACAAAAAATGAACAGATTGTCAAGGAACGGAAGAAATATAAAATACAAATATTAAAAACTGTTAAAATTATCTTACACAATTACATTAATTAATAAATTATTTTATTTCTTAATCTATTATAAAATTTCAAAAGATCACCTTCGATCGAAACTAATAGAGTATATTATTTTAATAAGCATAGGGTATTTTTTTTAAGTGTGTGAAATATTCTTTTGAATGAATTTGGAAAAAAATAGTTCTAAGTTTGTTATTAAAAGAATCTTTAATAAAAAAAAATTGTAAAAAAAGAAGAATTATTTTCTTAAAAAAAATGTGAAATTCAAATGAAAAAAAAATTATTAAAAGAACATTTTAAATGAACAAACCACTAATTTAAAAATCAATTTTAAATCGCAATAAAACAAATTTTAAAATTTTGTAGACCAATAGGCTATGCCCACATATTACTTTTTTTTTTTTTTCGTGAGTTTTAGTTAAGCAAGAAATTTATTAAAAATATAAGTAAATATTTAAAATTAATTAAATGTATAGTTCCCATTATTTTAGTTGAAATTAATTTATTTTTGACTTTCAATTTTCAATTCAACATTAATAAATGTGTTATCCTAACCTAAGCCCAAAAGGTGTGAAAAGGACAAGAGAAGAAAGAAGCCCAAACCAAGGAATCAGAGGCCCGAAATGAGCCCAAGATTATTTGGGCTTCGTAAATGGCCCAAGAAAAAACAGAGACCCATAGGCTTGAATTATATGTTCTATTTATTAATTTCACTTAATTATTATTTTTTAATTTTTTTTTTTCATTCACGTCATATTCATATTAATATTTAAATTATTTTGATAACATTCATATAAATCAATACTTCCAATACGGTTTACTATTTTATAAAACTCATAATAATTTATTTATTTATATATTTTTATTGTCTAACAATGTATAAATAATATTTATTATATAGTATTATATTTTAACTTCTAAATATTAATTTGTATATATTATAATAAAATATTATATAGTTTTATTATTATTTTGAAATATTAAAATCATTAGGATTAATTCAACAAAAATATTAAACGAGAATAACATTGAAAGAAATATAATTATAGTTAAATCAGAATGATTAATTATTCTAAGTTTTAATTAAAATAATTATAAATTAAAGAATTTAAATATGGTTAAATAATTTATTTTCTTACAAAAATATTATGAAATACAATACCGACGACAAAAAATATTTACGAAAAAAATAATAAATAAAATAATAGTAATAAGATATTTATACAAATAATAGGAATCGATATAATTAGTAAAAAGCCAGTGGAGCCCATGCGCCATATTACTCCCCGGAATGTACGCCAGCGACAGGATACATAGGATTCTCTGCACGAGACCCACGCAGCCATGGACCAATAGGAGCGTGACAGCTGTCACGACGCCAATGCCGCATTAATTTTTGGTAACTGCTGCTGAAAAATTGGCGCGCAAATTGATAAATTCAAAATTGGGGATTTCTCCCATAAGGCAAAACCCTAGGCCAGTCTGCCTTTTATTCACTCCTATTTTCCCTCCTCTTTTCCCCTTGCCCGCCCACCCTACCCCTCATTCCCAAGTGCTGCTACCCTTTTAGCCGTCGGCTCAATGATTGCGAGGCCGTTTCTGAGGTGAGGTGAGGTGAGTCTTCTTTCTGGATTTGTTTTTGTTCTGTTGATTTTTGGAAATTTATGGATATGATGATGATGATGATGATGATATATTTTTTGGTCTATCTAGCAAGTGATTCATTCGTTAGTGTTGTTCCCGATTTGATAGATGCCACAGTTATGAGGTGAATGTTCCCCTTCCCCTATGGCGTGCGTATCTTCGTGTATTAAGTTTTGAATCGAGCTTTGTTTGGCTGATAGGTTTTGATCATTTCGAATTTGAAATTTTTTATTTGTTACAAGTTTTTTGCGTTCTCGTTTGTGACTTTGTGCTTTATATATTGCTACGGAGGCCGACGCTGGAATAATAAGTGATTTCAGGCGACATATTATGCTTTTTTGTTTATGTTGTTTTTCAGCAGAAAAGAGAATCTGCTGCACCATGGGGAAAGTGTTTACAAGTGAGAGACAATCGAAGAACGAGAGACAGAAAAGGCGGTGGAGAAATGGAAAGAACAAGTATTTGAAGCCAGGTGCACTTGCGCAGATTCGAAATAGCAAAGCATCATCGGCTTCTAAAGCACCGCCATGTACAGATCTTGGAAAGAAACGAGTTGCAGTTTTACACGCCTCACATACAGGCGACGGTGACAGTAATCGGAGCAAAGGAACTACTGATACAGCAGCAGCTCCTCCTATCCTGGTTTCTCCTGGAAAGTTTCAGTTTTCTCCTGTAAATGGACTAGCTGCGGCTGAATCCATTCACCAGAGTACACCTAAGACACCTCGTGCTGAAGATGGCTACTCTGAATCGAGGCTTGAGTCTCTCCCCATTGATATACTGGTAATTAACATCTTATGTTTTTCTTGCTGATATTTATTTAGTTTGTGTCATGTTTGAAGTTTGATGAAGGGCTTTTTATGGCTTTCTTCATATCTCAATCTCTGTCTGTGTGTATATGCTTCCATACATATATATAAATGTGATGATTTTGCATTGTTTAAGGTCAAAATCCTCTGCCATCTTCACCATGATCAACTAAGAGCAGTCTTCCATGTGTCTCAGAAAGTCAGGCGGGCTGTAAGTAGTTCTTCAGTCTAAACAAACAAACTCCTTGGTGACTATTTATTACACAGGAACATTATGTTATGAAAATGGTGATCTGATTTGATGAATTGTTGGGAGCAGGTCATTATAGCGAGGCAATTCCACTTCAATTACACCACTCCAGATCGATCGAGGCAAGAGATGCTGAATACAATGACTCCCATCCCAACTGACCATTGGCCCTTCACCAGGTAAGCCATCCCCTGCCTCAACTATCTATCTATCTTGAAAATATTGAATGAAGGAATGAATGTTTGTTTCAATCAATACACTTGGCAGCAAGGCTAATGGAAAAGGGATATTGATTCCTACGACTCCGCATACGCCAAAGGCACCCAAGCATGGGCCCCGTCTCCCCTCCCGTCTCAAGTTCACTGAGATGCGTCAAATTGCAGCAGTGTTGTTCCAGGACACTTCATTTTCTTTGGTGCCATCGGTCCTGCAGAAGCCAATGTGCAAATCATTGGGTTCCAACAGAGTCCTCTTCTACGAGGATGAACTCTGCCAGGCTGTTGCTCAGAACAAATTGAGGTGAATCAGATGAATCAAATTTTAATGTGGATATCTCATCTGCATGCATCTTATCGATTTGTCTCTAGAAATATAATAGTTGGTAGGACAACCAAGAATCAAATTGGTATGGCCCAGGACACGATTATTATATACTTTTTGGTAGATTATCATCGTGTAGGATTTGGATGCTAATAATGTGTATTATATCGATCACCACACCACCTAGTGGCCCTCTGTACAGTTACCAATCCGAACATGAGTTTTCTTGCTTTCCTATGCCCTTTTTTCTTCTATGATTTTACTAAAACTGTAATGTCAATGGTGCGTTTGAATCCTAAAAGGTCATTTAGCCCACTAACTAAACATAAAGGTAGATAGCAAATTCATAGATATAAAGATCAATAACTTGTACAAAGCATCATCTGTCTATCTGTTCATCATTCCGGAGTTGAATGAAGATGAAAGCTACATGCCAGAAGTCTTATCATCAAGATGTACACGCAACCATGCTGTGCATTTGATAAAGAAAGTTATGCAAGCATCACAGCTATAGATATAGATCAGTAGAAAGTTACAAACCAGATCATACTCTTTAACTATTTGGAATCAATGAGCACTGACAAGGAATGGATGCTGACACACACTGCATTCTATGGTTTCAGAACCTGAAGCCGGAACGGATACCTGCAAACATCATCGGTAGATATGATTGTTCAAGATGCTGTGTACAATACATTCCGGTAAATGATATGATGAAATGAAACTAGAAAATAACTAAACCTGTAAATGGACAGTGCAAGTTGGGCAGGCAACTTCTCTCATTCTAGTGCCGGAGACCTCAGTCTTTGCTCCTGCGAACGTAGAACATTGCTTCCATTTGACGAATGAATATATAAAGTATAAACCAACAAAGGACGGGGAAGAAGTTTCTTATATATATATATATATATACACATATAATGCACAGTAAGGAAGAAATGTTTCAGAATTTGCATAATTACCAGACTTGCGTTGTTTGTTCATCTCCTCCTGTAAAGTGAGGGTAGCAGGAGGGGAAGAATTAGCCACATAACACAGTCAAAATATTTCGAAATCAAGATTATACCACAATAGCCATCAGACAATTATGCTAAGCTGTGAACCTATATGCAATTTATGGAAGACTGCATTAACATGACCTACTGCTAACACCTAAGATGAGATGCACCAACCATAAGATACGAACACATTGATCTTGCACATCCTTAACCACTCAACAGGAGGTACACACTGGCATGTTTCATAAACCAAGTTTACATTGGAGTGGAGATCGAGTTTGAATACAGATTATAGAGGGTACTAGATTAGCTGCTAGAGTAGAATGCCTATTGACTCCACAATCTAACCATATATTTATCCGACTGTAGCATAAACCTGAGACCTGAATTTTACAAAATTTGCAATTCTCAAAGGGGTAAAAGTTCAACTGTACCTAAATACTGCAAATAATAGGGCTAATATGAGCGTTTTATGTTGCATATTTTTTACAAGGTTAACCAAGTGAAATGAACCATTCAATGTAACTTGGCTAATGGAATAGTACCACACTTAGGCATATTTTCATTTGAAAGGTAGCACTTAACATTCATTACCTGAAGTTTCCTCGCAAGATCCTCATGGCTCTGCCATTCAGCTGCTCTACCAGGTGCTACCTTATTGCTAAGCCGTTGAGTTACTTCTGCCTGAAAATGATGATGAGAATAATATTACCGACAAAAATATGAGAATTTTATAAACAGGAAATCGCTTTGTTATGTTTAAGCTATACTCAGCCCCCTTGACAAACAAAAGAAGTATGTGTAGTGCAATGTTTAGTTGTAATGCATACCATGCATCGGTCACAGACTCGAACGAGTTGAGCATGTTCATCAGAAGTGAGTGCAATTCTCCCTTGTGTGCACTTGTCACAGAAAATCTCCCCACAGTTACGACAATGATGCTGTTGATATATACAAAAAAGTAGAGATCATCGAATCAGAATATGGTAAAAAGTTGATAGCAAACAAGAGTAGCAAGTAGCAATATGAAAAGAAAATATTACAGGCAGAATAAAAACTCTAAGCAAATATCAGTTCGAACAATTGTTTCAAGGTCAAGTTGCTCAACAATCAATTGGCATTGAGCCTGCTACATGGTTGTTAGGATATAGGTAACTTTTACTCCTGGAAGTTTGCAGTTAAAGGTACTAGGAACTTAAAGTCCTCCATTAAGACATGTGGCATCCAACTAACACCTACGTTTATGTTTTCTAAGTAAATTTATGAGTACCAAGAAAGAAAATTAGAACATATAAGGAAATTTGAGTCATATTGAGAGCTCAAACTTCATGATATTGGTGGTTGCACACACGCATAAAATAAGGATTTTCAAGTTTCATTCTCTTGAATTTTTTGTGATATTATGGTGACATCATATGTATCTAATTGCAGTTCAGGTTTCCTCTTCTCTTTGCGTTGTTCTTAATTCTTGGCATAACTTTTTAGACAGTTAAAAAACCTAAATGAGCCAAACCATGCGGGCTACGGGTTGAATTGGGCTGACCCGCATTGGAATGGGTTAGACCATGGGCAAACTAATAATTATTATAATAATAATTAATAATGATGACAATAATAATAATTTATATATTATATGATATTAAATATATTTTTAATGTTATTTCAAAATATTTTCAAATTAGTTCCATAAATTTATTTTATATTCAACACTTTATTATTCCTTAACCAACTGAAAATTCTAAAACACTTTTAAAACATATCTAAATACACCCTGGTGTTTAATGAGATTCTCAATGCTGGGTAAAGGATCCTCTCATCAAGTAAATTCTTGTCAGATGTGCTAAATTAGTGTCATACTCAGCTTTTTAAAGATTTACAATAATTTTCTGGCAATATTCTACCAAACCAACAACCAATAAACAGAGAGCAAGGATGCTAACCTTTCGATTGAAGGCACTAAAATCTGTCTGACAAGCTGTGCACTTAGTGACTGCTTCATCTGGAACCTAAAATTGAAATGTAAAACATTTAGACGAAATGCAAAATGACTTTCTTTTTCTTTGAAGTTGCCCAGGAATGCAGACATTAGCATGTAAAAACTAACTACTGAATTAATATATATATTTATTTATATATGTTTGTCCAACCCAGTGATCCTTCTCTTCGTTGACTGGCTTCATCAAGTTCTTCCAATCAATGAAGACTTTCTTCTTCTCGACTGATTGTTCAGATCCCTTAATTTGATCTGCAGGGTTACTGCTTGAACCAATCTCCTTGGACTGCTCAACAGAAACAAAAACATAGTTACAGTGGCATAGACAGAAACAAAACTCAAAACCATGTGGAGAACTTCGTAACACTTATCTACAAGCTCAGTTGGCCAATAGGCTTTGTACAACAGAGAACAAATATAACTCTCATCCTTTTGAAACTATGCCTTCTAAGTGAACAACCACAAAGTTTACACCACAAAAAATTGTACCGAGGTATCTCTTTGGTTTCTATTGATTAATCACTTCCCGAAAGTATGAATCTTTCTCACAAAATGACTTGGAAATAACATTATTCCACATGCAAAGCAAATACAGATCAGTATAACTAATATTGAACCATGCTAACACATCACTAGATACAGTTTAAGCTTCCAAGAATTCACTCTAAACAGCAACTTATGTATTGTATATCAAGGTAACTTAGAATAGAAATCTCTGCAAACACAACAGTAACATGATAAATAGAACATGGGGAGCCTAATCTTATGCATATTGTATATCTTTGAATTCTCTCGGATCAGATACCTGGGGGATATTCAGTCCATCAGTTAAAATAAGCAATCATAAAGCAATGGATCAGCTAGTGAATAATACCAGTTTTTTAACCCTAAAATTTCAGTCTAGTATGAGATCCAGCCAACTATTGCTTGGTTAAACAAAACTGCGACAAAATTCTCCCCACAAATCAGACAACTTAACTAGGCTATAAAAATAGAAACTTGTGTATGCATGCCTATAAAAGCCCATTTTACCAAATCATTACGTCCTATTCTACAGTATCCTAAAGAACACTTGGAAACAAATATCAAGGTGAAATATTATGAATCAGGATATTGAATAGCAACAATAACATAAATTATACAACATAGAAATTTCTGTACCTGTATGCTTGCTGCTGTGACAGTGTCCAGAATATTGTTTGTGGTATAGCTATTTGATTTCAGCCTAATTCGTCTTGGTTCTGGATCAACACTGGTTTTGGCCCAGAATGCAAATATATATGAATCTAACACCTGGATGTAATAGATGCACCCCCTTAGAGTCATAGAAAAACATCCAAAGGTTTTGAAGGATTGCATGCTTTGTTTACAGACTTACCTCCCATCTAGCTATCGTGTCAAGTGGATATATTTTTAAAGTCCGGCTAGTTGCTGGATCCAAAAACCTTATCCCATCTAGGCCAATCTAAAATCCATTTTCAAAACACTATAAATCGGTGAGGTTATCAAAACAGCCACAACAGAAAGGCATTTCAGAAATCATTTATATCAACCACAAATCAACTTGTAATACACAATCACCATGTCAATAATCGTTTGTCGCCATAACAGCTTTGGTTGTATTAATATGTAAAGAAATGAAAACAGAAAATAATAAATAAATAAAAAGCCTCCCGAAACTTGTGGAGTCATTAGCTGCATTCAACAGACATGAAATTAGATAATGCAGAATTTCATTAAGAGTCATCCAATAAAAAAAAAAGAAAAAAAGAAGAAGAAAGAAACAACAACAAAAACCGAATGTCCGTCCAAGTAGCATTGAAATAAAACAAACAAAAAATCAACAACCACGTCTCACAAACCTGGCAAAGAACATCCGTATCAGATTGACCAAAACCTTCAGACAAAAGCTTGACACGATACTTCTGAATACCACTCTTAACATCCTCAGAACCCTCTACTTTTGGAACCGCCTTAACAATCTTAGGCAATGATTCCTCAAATCCACTCTGATCTTTTCCTCCAGGAACACTAATCGGCCTCCCATAATCATCAAACATCAACCCACCACCGCTCGTTCCAGAATCGGAGGACCAGCTCCCCTTCTCACCATAAGAAAACCCCCCTCCTTGACCACCATTGTATTTATAAACCCCACTATCAAAACCCCCCTGCTGTGCCCCTCCATAACTGAAATTGCTTTCAATTGAATTGGCGTGATAGGGCGGGGGCGGCGCAGCTGCTGAGTCATACGGATACGAATTTAAGGGGTACGAGTGATCATATTTCGGCTCGGGATTAGGGTTAGGTTTGGGGGTAGGGTTCGGATTTGGAGGAACATCATCATATCCATAATTAACAGGCGCTGGATTCTGATGATACAAATGATGAAATTGAGAATTGTCCTGCAGGTGAGGAAATGAATATTGAGGCACGCTTGGGGCATGATCTGGATTCGCCAGGAAAGGGGGGTAGCTGGAGTAATCGGACGGCGAGACCGCCACGGGAGGGGCAGAGGCGTACGATGCGGTGGAAACAGGATTAAACGTCGGCGGATCGGCCGGCGTAGGCGTGGGATAGTATTGGTGGTAATAGGATGATCCAGTGGCGTCGGAAGGATGCTGCATCTTCTTCTTCTTCTTCTTCGAAGAGATCGAATTTCGCAATTTTGGGAAATGAATTTGGCAGAGATAGAGAGACAGCTTTGCTTGCGATCACAACAATCGATGACCTGCGAAACTTCTTGTAGGTTCCCCTTCTCCGAATCATATACTCTCAACAAAAAAAGAAAGTCTTTCTTTTATTTCTTTTTTTATTTTTTTATTTTAATAATATAAATTATTTTATCTAAATCATTCTCTTTTTATTTTTTTTTTTGCTGCCCACTTACTTGCAGGAGTTACCTTTCAATTCCATACGGTGTGTTTTACTTACAACAATTTTCCATTTAGATTTTATTTTATTTTATTTTTTTAAAAAATATTAAATTAAATATTTATAATTTATTTATTATATCACATTAATATATATTAACTTCACATTAAACAATTATTTCAATTCAAAATTTTATTATTCAAAATCAAAAATAAATCTCACAAGTAAACACACTTATAAATTTTATGAAATAACGCCTAATCCTTTTCTTTTATATTGTTTTTGTGATTTTAGTTTTATTTATTTATTTATTTTTTATTTGATGTGAAAATTGCATTGTTAATCTTTTAGTGCAATTTGAGCAAATTTTGATCGAATTTAATTGCATGTAAAATAAATTCGATAAGATAAATCAAAAGAATCATACGTAGAAGACAAAATATGAAAGTGTTGGAAGTGCGAACTATAACGGGATTTTGAGCTTCAAAACTATATAGACAAAATATATATTGTATACGTTAATACCATATGCTAATTCAATCAAATCATCTAATATGTGCCTTATATATATATATATATATATATATTTTCAAATACTTTTACAATTTACAATATATTACACAAATGCTATTACTTTTATATCACACAATAATAATAATAAAGTTATTTTAGTCTTTTTACTTTATTCATACCACATCCCAATATAATACTAATATTTCTAAAATTTTGTGAAAAAATAAATAGATACACGGGAAAGAAATATATAATTTAGCGCAGAATCAAAGGAGGAGGTGCAATTGGCGGGCCCGAACGGTGATTTGCAGTCGGGCCAAGGCTTGCATGCATTGCAGCGCAATTCGGGCTTGGCGCCTCACCACCACTCCTCTTACCAGGGCCTGCAATTTTACTAGGCTTCTCAACGCCCTGCGTGCTCTTCTAGCCTACAATTTAATTATTAGTTACATATATATATATAAGTTTAATTCTTTAGCCAACACATATATGTATCTTGAAAAATATTAATGTTTGATTAATAATATATTTCAACAATATAACACACATTCGATGACGATGATGATGAATATATATATATATATATACATATCGACGCAGACACTTACGAGGTGACGGCGGAAGGATGCTTGGATGGTGATGGCCGCAAGGTGAAGGTGTTGTTGTTGGGTAGAGTAGTCGATATTTTGTTTGTGTTTGGCGGCCATCAATATGGGGGCGTGTAGGGCATCGTAGTCTTCTAACTCTCTTTTCGCTAATTTAATTTCTTTGTCTTTGCGGGACAATCGGAAAAGCTTCCTCCCCATCGAAAGTATCTTCCGTGGCATGTCCGGCCGACGACGACGATGATGATAATAATAAGAAGAAGAAAAAGAAAGAATTACTAGAACACCACTGATATGATCAGTGTATGTGTCTCAATATGATTTATTCGGATTCATTAATTCATCCCTATATATATATATATATATACACAACATTTAACATTTAACAAATATAACAATAATAATAATAATAATAATAATAATAATAATAATATAATGAGAAGCGTAATGTGTAGCTTGGGTTACAAACACACACGTCGTCTCGTCTACTTTGATTAATTATATATATATATATATATATATAGCAACGTGCTGAGCTGATCATATGATCCTTTATATGTATGTATATATGGTGGAGTGGTTACAGGCTGTTTTATTGTGTTGAATATATGGTATTTGGAAATATATATATATATATATATAGCTTAATTAAATTAAATTAGAGGTTTTTAATAAATATAAATACATGTAATGGTATATATTAATCGCCTGACTTTCTCGGGTAACAATATTTCATGATCATACGTCCAATCTCGCACCATCAGATCATTTCTTACGGAACGATTTTTTGACATATTTGTTATTTGACAAGTATGTTTGTATTTAAATAAAAAAAAAGTGTATTTTGGTATTAATGTATAATTATTATCCTAAAATAAAAAAATGATACCTTAAATTGGATTAGATGAAAATCATAAAAAAAAAAAAGTGCGGGATTGATATGCTTAAAATTTTTGTTATGTTACAATGAAAATATACGATTGAAAGTCAAAATATACCTTCAACATCGTAACCGTCTAAATTAAAAATGGTGTGTTTGCCTTTTAGTTTATAAAAATTAATTCCATTTCAAATAAAAATACTAACTCTGTTTCGGAAGAAGAGCAACATTTGTTTTTTTCATGTAGATTTTTTAATATTAGTATTATATTACTTTATAGTAACAAAGACAAAAATGTGTTATAAAAGTAATGATATTTGTGTAATATATTAGAAGTTGTAAATATATTAATTATATTAAGTATGTAATACAATTATTAAATTAGAAAATAATATTATTATTTTAGAACGGATAAAAATAAAAAATGATAAATATAATTTTTTCTCACCAAATATCAAAGTAAAATACTACTATTTAACCCAAAAATTAAATTAACAATTAATTTCAAATTAAAAACACACGTTTAATTTCTTTAAACTACAAATAATTCCATCATTTTTCGAAATAGTAAAATATTGTGAATATTTTAACCAAAACGATTTCTGAAAAACACGATACATCACGTCCAGTCATAAATACGGTCATAAATATTGATTGAAAGAAGGTGTACATATTCATAAATTTATTTTAAAATTTTTTAAAAAATTAGGCAAAAATAAGAGATGCAATACATTTTGAAGGAGGTATTACTTGTTATTTATTTATTTATTTTTTATTATTATTATTATTATTATTATTATTATTATTATTATTTTATATTTGAATCTTTGGGTTTGTTCTTCCTATTATTTTTCTCCACATATTTTCTCCATAAAATTAATATATTATACATATTCATTATTATTATATTTTCAACACAATTCCCTATAATTCATATAAAAAAAATTATTTTTCAACAATTATTATTTATAGAATATTTTACTAGAGAAATAATAAATATATTTTGATTAAAATTTGTGAAAATGGAATATTTATACTAAAAAAAGACCAAAGATAATATATAATACATAATTTTTAATTAAATATATTACTTCATTCCTATCAAGAAAAATACTCCCTCCGTCCCATATTTATATATCTATTTGTTTTTTGCACGGAGTTTTAGAAATATTAGTATTATATTGGGATAAAATAGAAATAAAGGTAAAAATATTAAATTAACCCTATTAGTATTGTATAATATAAATGTAATGACATTTGTATAATATATTGTAAATTGGAAGAGTGTTTAGATAGATAAATACAATTACTAAAAGAAAAAAATCGAGTCAGGTATTAGGTATGAAAGTTCATATTCAAAATCCCATCAGATACTCAAATTTTAATTTAAATAAATATAATATTATATTTAATAAAAAATTATATATAATTAAATTGTTAGTAAAACTAGTAATTAGTACAAATAGACTATATATAGTTTAGATTATAAGTTTTTTAGTATATTATAGTTTTACATATTTCACACTCTATTTGTCCATAAATTTTATATAAATATAAAAATAAAAATAAAAATAATATTTTAATATTTAAAATAAAATAGATAAAAGTAAAATCAAAATATTATAAAAAATTTATTTAAAATCAATAAAAATATGATAAAGTAAGCACACAAAATGATAATAAATTATTTATTAAAATAATATAATAAAAATTTGAGTAGATAAATTTATTTACTATCATTACTGTGTAAACTCAATTGTGATTAAGGTTAAAGCCACGTGAATAAATATATTTTATAATTAAAATATAAGTTAAAAATTTTAAAATTATTTATAACAAATAAACAAATAATTATGTAAAGGAAAATTTTATTATAGATTTCTAATCTATAATAGAAATAGGTCATCCATCAATAGATATTCTACTCTACTTTGAAATTGGGATTTTATTTTATTTTATTTTCTCCCACTTTTATAGGCATCCGATGAATTAAAGTCCTACGTGGATTTATTACAATGCAAATACAATAGTTAGTACAAAAAAAGGAAACACCGGCAAATCTGGCAGTTCAGCCACCGACCAAACTGCCTATGAAAAGACATAAAAGCCCCTGGAATATCACCGCATTTACCAACCATACGTGGCGCTTGTGTTTGTCGTTTAGCGCGACGATCGACACTGACAGACGCGGATCCTGGATTTCAACGTCAAGACATCTCCTTCCCTCGCTCACAATCCTCGGATCCTGTCGAGTGCCACGTGTCCCCATCTGGGAACGAACCGGCCGTCGTCAAAAAGACTCGACATATCCAAACATAACAAATATGGAAGAAGAAACTGTCCCCACCCCATTAATCAACCGTTTGCCTTTCTGCTACTGCTGCTTCTGCTTTGCTATTTATTACGCCATTCCCACTCTCACTCCATTTTTGATTTGCTCTCTTTCTTTCTCTCTCTCTGTCTGAAATTAATTTCTTCGATGCCCTTCTTCCCTTGCACTCTTTTGAATTTTTGTCTGGCGGCTTTTGGTTTTGGGTTTTCGTTTTGTCCTAATCTTGGAATTCGCGAAATCTTCCTGGATGGATATGCCTGTCTTCGTGAAGAAACTGGTCGAGAAGGCTTCTTTGAAGAAGGTAAAAATCTTACGCTGAAACGTCGTCGTTTGGGAGTGCAGTTGTTTTGTGTTCGTTTCGTAGTGGTTGGAAAATTGGTTGTTGATTTGTTCGAAAATTTGTCTTTTCTTCTGTTTATTCTTTATTTATATTTTTTTGATTTTTTAAGTCAACTTTAGTTTAGGATTATTAGTTAGTAATTCGATGTGATTTGGTTGATTTTGCAGAATTTGGGAAGTGAAATATTCAATAAAAATGTTTGCTAATCCGAATGATGAGGATATGATATTTCTGGGGACTTCCTAGTTTGTAGGATAGTTTTATTAGTGGTAATAATGAAGGCAAATTTTGATATGTTCGAATCAATATTTTCTAACTATGGATAGTGTATTGGTTGTGTGTGTAATAAGATATTTGGTACTTATTACCTCCCTGTTTTGGATGCAAACTTTTGATCTGGCTAGATGTTACTGTCCAAAGATCGTCCTTGATGAGTGAGTGATAGGAGCCGTCGATTTCGATGGAATGCTCAAAGTGATTAAATGTGAAGCTTTGACATGCTTTTGTAGTGATGGACCACACACATGTCTAAAGACTTGGAGTGCAATAATTTAAGGTTGCAAAAGCAATAGACAACATTTGTCGGGATCTCGCAATTTTTTGTGGGACTGAAAATAAATATCCACTCCATTGTGTTCATGCTAAATCATTTTGGAAAAAAGAATGGTCTACAAAAAATATTTCATAGAGTATGAATTAGTAAAATATTTTATTACATGTTCTTAGATTATATGAACTTCTTGTTTATGTACTAATAATGATAATTGGGTTTGAATTGTCTTAAGTATGTATAAAGATTAAGTTAATGTAATTAGAGGTGATCTTCTTGTTTATGTATTCTTGTCTACAATGTCAAATGTGTATTCCAGAGTGTGAAGTGACCAAACCATCTTCTAGTGTACTTTCGACGTGATGAATTTTTGGTGTCGAAATAAAATGAAGTATACTTAACCGTGTAAGGCTTTCTAAATTGTTATTACAGCCTGCGGGATTATCCGATAACTTGAAGCCAGATGAGGTGAATCCTCATCTGGTTTTCCATTATGGAATTCCATCGGGATCCATAATGCTCGCATACGACTCCATTCAACAAATTCTTGCTATTTCGACCAAGTAAGTTCAATTTGTAAATTCATTGTCGATGTATTCTTTTTTTAAATTTTTTTGTAATCTTATCATGGTTTGATGGGATGATGACACTCTGATCCACCCTCGTAGAGACGGACAAATCAAATTGTTTGGTAAATGTGGCTCTCAAGCCATATTGGAATCTCCCGAGACAGCCCCGAGCAAATTTTTGCTGGCAAGTATCTCATAGTTGTGCCTTTCTATATCATATTGTGCACTCGAACTTACAGATTAATGATCCCTGATTTATTTTCGACAGTTTGTCAAGAACCAGGGTATACTTCTTAATGTAAATGCCAATAACCATATCGAGGCAAGTCATTAAATCGATAGCTCAGCGAGCAAACTCCATTATTTAATTTTCTTTGGATCTGTAATGTCCATTTCTATGGTGTTCGTAGGTCTGGGATATCGACAGGAAGCATTTGTCTGCTGTCCATCACTACGAGAAAGACATCGCCTCATTTGTTGCCATGCACAATGCGCCTTATCTGTATTCTGCCTAGAAAATTTAGGTTTTAATTTTAAGGTGTGTGTGTCGATGAAGGTTTAATTTATACGCGTGTGTATTTTTATTGACAGGTATGTCGGAGATTCTTCTGGTAATGTGTCGATCTTGAGGCTTCACCAAGAGCAACATACCATTGAACAGATGAAGTACCAAATTCCTCTTTCAGCATCTCATGGTAGGACTGAATCCTGTTCCACATAAATTTCGAATTTGCAATTTTATATATTCGTGCATGTCTATTGGTGTTTACGGCGTGTACAGGAAAATCGAGCGAAGCTGAGAATGATGTCATGGTAAAATTCATACTTTGTCACCCCACTGCTGAATCTAAAAGGTATCATCTCTGTGCTACATAATCTTCAGAATTCGAATTTACTAATGGAGGAAGTTTAGGCCTTCGAATTTTCTTTGGCTAGATTTTTCGTAATTTTGAGGTATCTTTCAGTAATTACGAGCACTGTTATTTTTCCGCAGGGCCCTTATTATCTTTTCTGACGGTGGAATTACTTTATGGTCGATTCGAGAAAGCAAAGCTATATTTACCACGTGTGGTTCGACTACGGTACAACTAATCCATCAAGATGCAAAGAAAGTAACAGCAGCATGCTGGGCTTGCCCTGTCGGCACTAAAGTAGCCGTTGGATACAGTAACGGGGATATAACTGTGTGGAGCATTCCTAGTTATCAAAATGAGCTGTCTTCTAGTCAGATCACGCCGGCTTATAAGCTGAATCTTGGATATAAGGCCGAGAAAATCCCAATATCAAAGATGAAGTGGATTGACTCAGATGGAAAATCGAGTCGCCTTTATGTTTTAGGTTGGTCGGACTCTACTACAAACACGGTTCAGGTACTGTAATTGTTATTTTTTCTGCATAAAGATTGAATTCAGGTTTCGAGATTTGCTCACAACAGGTTTGAATGTGGCAGGTAGTTCTGCTGAATGAACAAACTGAAACTCGGACAATTAAATTAGGACTCCAACCTCCCGAGCCGTTGATTGATTTTGAAATTGCTACAAGCTCCATCGAACAAAACAAGAATAGATGTGATCCACTTCTTTTGCTCGGGAGGTCAGGTCATGTCTATGCCTACGATGTGTATTCAATCGAAAGATACCTGACGCAGTCGCAAAATAAATCATCTCCTTCACTTCCGAAAGAGTCGTTGATAAAGCTACCGTACTGTGATTCTAGCATTACAGTCGCTAAATTCATTACAGGTGTTCCTTGTTTGCTCTGTTCTGCAGAAGAGGTAAACATAACTGCTCCAGGGATTAAAGAAATTCTGAAATATGCCTCGACATGGCTGACATCTATTATTATTTTTTAGGACATCAACATGCTGGAGAAGAACAGTCTCCCACTTTTTCCATTCGAAAGAAGTGTCAAAGACGGAAGCAACTCCTTTAGTTCATTTTCCAAGGCACAGAACTTGTTTATTACAGGGCATAGTTCCGGGGCAGTTAACTTCTGGGATGCGTCTCGCCCGCTGTTTCTTCCGTTAGTGTCTGTAACTCAACAGGTAGTCTCTATTCCGACATTTATTCGCATTAAAATCTAAGTAACTTAGTAAAAGAACAATATGACAGTGGATGATAATATATTCGAAAAATACATAATTTTGAAGTATGATTGTGCTAAGAAAAATTATAGTTAACAGAAGTAAGATTAGTTCATTCCTCGCACTCGACTCAAAAGAGCTAACTATTTAATTGTAGCTGTCGCAACAATGTCATTTAAATTATTACCATTGGATAATTACATAAGGCAATCTTATCTTTGGCTTATTGTGCAGAGTGACAATGATTTTTCTCTAAGCGGCATACCAGTAACAGCATTATACTACAGCATCGATTCACATGTTCTTGTGTCTGGAGATCAAAATGGAACGGTAAAGTAGTTTTCTTGATAATCGTTATTATATTCAGTATGAAGATAACAGGGAACTCAATGAGTGAACTTTTATCTATTTTGTTTTATGTAGGTTCGCGTATACACATTTAAACCGGAGCTGTTTGCCCCTCAGAACAATTTTTTGTCCTTCCAAGGTAAGTTAAGTTTTCAATATGAATCAAAGGGATATCTATAAAGGCATTTCAAAATGCTCTTGATAACCTCTTTTCGAAGAATATTGGATTCAATAATTACACCACAATGCTGTCATTTGGATTCTTGCCAAAATTAATAGTTGGTGTTTATATGTGTGTTTTAATTCTGGTTTTCAGGAAGTTCAAAGAAGAGCAGTCAATACGTTCGAAGAGTCAAGGTTATAAAGGTTAATGGAGCAGTTCTTTCAATAAATGCTACTGAAAATATGAAACAACTTGCCATTGGATCTGACCAAGGATATGTAAGATTTCCTTCACTTTGTAGCTTTTCAATTTGTTATTCGGTGAAATTTTGAAAATAGACAGTTCTGTTCCTTTTACAACTATGTAAGAAACTGCTGAGATGCCATCATCTTAGTCTCCTAAACTTTGCAATAATAGTTCATATTAGAGAACCAGATGCACACATTCCCGCGAATATTGCATCTATTTATATTAGTAAAAAAACACATAAAATTAAGATACACTCAACAAGAATGCAATACGGTATATGTGTATGTAACAATGAATTTTACTTTTTTTGGCAGGTAACTTTAATTGATCCAGAAGGTCCAAATGTCTTGTACACAAGACAGATCGCGAGTGAATTCAGCACAGGTATTATCTCCATGAATTTCGGGACTTGCAGCTTCCATGGCTTTGAGAAAAATGTCATGATTGTGGCAACAAAAGATTCATCTGTTTTAACATATGAGAAGGATAGTGGCACTACACTAAGCACCGGCGTAGTTCGTCCGAAAAAACCATCGAGGGCCCTATTTATGCAGATTTTGGGTAAGTATCCTCTAGATTTTTTAAATGCCGTCTTCTTTAAATAAACTGCATTAGAATGTTGAGTGATTTTCTATAACTAAGTCTGTGTCAATACATTAGAAAAATATATATATGTATTTTATTTTTCATATGATCTAATGATGTAAGTTTAAATTTCAAATGAAAATTTGTCACTATATCATTCCTATTTATCCAAGATTCATAATTTTGATGTTTGATCTTGAAGACCTGCATAGTTTTGAAATTTTAATCGTTTGTGGTGAGCTCTTCTGACATCTTAGTATGGATATGGATTGTTACGCGGAGGAGCAAACTCTGCGGATAGTGCAGATTCATATCTACTGCTGTGTTCTGAGAAAGCCATTTATGCATTTTCCTTACCACACTTAGTCCAAGTAAGTGCAGGTCTAATGTAAGGAACTATAACATCTGCAGAAAGGCTGTCTGGTTTTATTGTTTCCATTTTTATTACAGGGTGTTAAGAAAGCACACTACAAAAAGAAGTTCAATTCGCCGTGTTACTGGGCATCAACTTTTGGATCTCCTGACGTTGGACTTATTATTCTTTTTGCCACTGGAAAAATCGAGATTAGGTTATGTTTCTCTACACGAACTTATCTTTTTACCTTCCTAAGTAGTTATCTTTTAGCTCGGGTTTTGCTTCACATGTAATCCACCTCAATCTTAATTACAAAATTAATTACTTCAGGTCCTTACCAGACTTGTCTCTTTTAAAGGAAAGTTCAGTAAGAGCACTAACATTTTCATCTTCGAGACTGTCCTCAATGTCTGACATTATAGTTTCATCGTCCCATGATGGTGAACTTATTATTGTAAGTCCACATTCATTCTTTGACTTAATATAGTTAGAAAATCGCCTTCATATGAGCTCGTTCTTACATTATCAGGTCAAAGGTGATCATGAATTAGTACTCGTGTCAACCTTTCTCCACAAGGAGGCTTACAGGTAACAAACTTGGTTGAAAAAAACCCAAAAGTTCCTACTAGCTTCTGCAAATTTTTTGGTACAAAGAAATCTTAAGTTTTCATTTTTCCTATGTTTTTATGGATTTTAGGTGTCTGGACTCGGGTACCCGAGTTCTGCACAAAGAATTAGTCAATGCTCAAGCACTCGTCTCCTCTCCCGTGAAAGAAAAAAAGAAGGTTCTGCTGCTACTAATAACCTCTTACAAATAACTTGAATGTTTCACATATATCGTAAATTTCAATTTTCCTAATTAACACAACAGGGAATGTTCGGTTCTGTGATCAAAGAAAGCAAATCTACAAAACCAAAAAGTAGGCTTGAGGTAGAAACAGAAGATTCTAGAGAAAGCATTGAGGAGCTGTGGACTGTATTCTCGGCTGCTAATTTCCAAAATCTGAATGATACTGAATCCGAGGAGAATATTGATACCAATAAGGCAGTTGTCGATTTGGATATAGGTATGTTTTTCGAAGGCCTAAATTTCTGTTTACATTTGCAACAGTTTCCACTGCTTGTTCCTTTTGGCTCATTTTTTTTTTTTTCAATGTTTCCCATTCTTGATTGGTTGTGTTTTTTGATTTTCATGGCTCGAAGACGATATTGACATTGATGATCTGAAGGAGAAGCCGAGGGGAAATCCGGTTATTGCAGGATTCAATAAGAATATAACAAATAAATTTCAAGCAATTAAAGGTATGTATGCCCTGTATACTTGTGTCGAATGATTTAAGACTTTAAGTACACGCTTCATCATCATCGAACATTTTTTTTTTCTTACAATTCAGGGAAGTTGATACATGCCAAGGTGAAGAATGATAAAGTTGCTGTAAACAACGAGCCTCATGAAGAGAAGACCGGTGCTGTCGATCAAATAAAGAAAAAGTACGGCTATGCAATGTCCAGTGTAGGTGCCTCTAAACTTGTAATAATATCGACCCAATTTATATTATTTTGTTGAATTCTTATGATCACGGTTATTCAAAATCATTATTAGCCGCAAAATTGGAGAATAAACTGGCTGATGGATAAATGCAGGATACAAGTGCTGCAAATGCCGCAAAGACGAAGCTAAGTGAAAATTTGAACAAGTTGCAGGTAAGTAATAAAATCTTTACATACAGAAAATAGCAGTAGCAATGTAGTAATGTAATGGTTATGTGGAAATGGAAGTTCGTTTATATAGTGAATTTTTGTGGATGGAAGGGAATCAGCATGAAAACGACGGAGATGCAGGATACGGCCCGGTCCTTTTCTTCGATGGCCAAGCAAGTGTTGCGCTTCTCGGAAACTTCGAGTTCCAAAAAAGAGTGATTTTTTTTTTTTTCTTTTTTTGTCTGCACATATTTTGCATTCATTTTGTTTTGTGTATAACGTTGGTTGTTGGCGAGCAGTGTGGTCTTGTCTGGTCATGGATTCCTTAATTGTTTCGTATAAATTGATGAATCTTCAACTGAACTAATTATTTGTATTGCAAAGGCAAGGCAAGGCTGCTGAGTGACTCATTTTGTGATGTATATTTGGTTGTGTAGAATTCAAGTATATTTGTGTATTTCAGTATTCAAGGCTTGTCTTTTTGTAGGGATTTATTCTGAATTTTTACTATTTATAAAAAAAATTCTTTTCAAAAACATCAAATAAAATGCATATATATATATATATATATGGATGGATTGTAGGTGATATTGTTTCAAAAGATACTATAACTTAAATAAAATTATAAATGGATAAAATGATTTACTCGATGGAGAAAATATATCTCATCTGAATTGAGGACTCGGGCGAGGGCGACTACACAAATTGCGACCATTGGACTTGAGGATGGAAAGAATAAGCATACTTATACACGCCCACATCACTGTGAATACTAAACACCATGGATCTTTCCGAGCTGCATCATAAAATAAAATAAAATAATTAAATTAATTATCATACCTACATGCATAAATAAGTAAATAATTAAGACCAATTTATTAATATAAATGATTGATTATATATCAATGCAATGCAATGCAATGCAGTGTAATGTAATAACCTCGTCTCAGAGAGTTCAGTGAAAAGGACCAACTCAGCATAATCAGTGTCAAACCCATCGGGACCGACTGCACAATAATACAAATATTAATTTCCAAAATATGAATCAAATATATATATTTATGTCTATGAAAGGTTAAGTATAGATTGGTTTTACTCACTAGTACAAACTCTGGTTCATCTTTTTTTGTCTTCGGCGCCTCGATCTTCGTCGGTGAAATAGTACATCGGCCTTGCAATAGATCCATTGCATCCTTGAACAATAATAAGATATGCAAGAAAACATTATATGCATACATACATACATCATAAGTATTTAATAACACAGCACAAGATCGAGATTATCAGTTTTTGTCTTGAAATCCATGCATATGAATAAATAAAAGTTGTGATCAACATGTTTACAGCAAGCACACAAACCTGCTTCATGCCGTCTCGAAAGTTGTTGAGGAAGTACCGCATAAGAGCAGACCATCCATCTTGTAATGCTCCTTGGATTGTTCTCTCACCACATCTATTCCAGTGTGAGAAATATTACAGTTTCAAGCCCGAAATCTTACATTCTTATTGTCAACACTAATTAGACAATTAGTTGTCTTTGTTACAAATTGAAGATTCATTGATCACTTAAGATATTGAACATTTCTAACTCTGGCAAATTTTTATTTGAATGAAGAAAATGATATAAAGATATATGTAGCTTCTGAAGTTCATATCAAAGGTTTATATTTTCTGACACTATTCGAAAAATATATGTTACCTTACTATATCTCTTTTCAAAGCTGGAGTCCCAGTGTATTGAGTGCTAACAGCGTCCCCGTGGTTAGCCCACACTGAAATGGAATTCAAGACTTATGTGGTAAGAAATAAGACAAAATTCGGGTAATAACTAATAACATAGTAGCAGTTGCCGTTTTGAGTGGAAGCAGACTAACTAATTTTGAAGCAACTATCCAACTTTGGTTGGCTGCTAATGGTTTCTCCATCGCCAAAAACACCAAGTCTTTTAAGTTGAGCTTCCAACGTTTTACGGGCAATCATGCTCTGCACAATACAGAATGGATCTCATTATCACAGTCACCGGAGTTCTCCGGCTTCAAGAAATGGATAAATAAGTTACTTAAACAGGATGTTCGCGAATCTACCAGATATCTCTAACTCCTTTAACTTATATCTTCAATAATAAAAAGGATAAGAGTACCTGAGTGACATTAGTGCGATCTAAGCAATCGACACAGTTGGTCCTTACAATTCCAAGCTGGCCTTGAACTTTATCCCCTTTCTCATTTAATAAAAAGTACCTGTTATTAATAATGTTTTTTGTTAAGATCAATATTCATTAAATCCATAGAAACAGACTAACAGTACATGTTTGTTTTGAGCTCGTATGCATCTCTGTGGTGTGATTAATCCATACAGTTTAATTGACAAGATGAACTAACCTTGATCAATACTATATATTTATTTATTTAATCACTGAACCAATAGAGGTTGAGCCGTAAACAAATCAAACTCAAATAGTAGCATATTTTATAGCTACACATTTGTGTTGAAAGATTACCTATTCTTGAAGAGAAAAGCTTGAATTTTGTGGTATAAAATGGAAAGCCACCCCATATCAGTATCCCCACATATCCTGTGAAAATCAAAGTGTATGTACCTGCAAAAAAGATGTTCCTTCTTATACCATCACTTGGAAATAAATACTCATTCAAAAGACTATCATACGTTGACATATATTTTGTGATTAAAACAATAAAACAAAATGATGCAATAAGGATATATGGAAACTTCCAAGTTGAGATTTGTATGCAATCAGATCAATATAATGTACCTCACAGAATCATTGGCAAGGTTTTGCATTGCACTGCTGTAGTTCTTACATAGGCATCCCTCCCCACCATGCTGAAAATGATCGCAGGGTTAGTCGAAAAATTCGAAATGTAAACCAACACACACTAAATATATAAAATTTCCAAAAAACATTATGATGGGATCAATGATATTGGCAAATTTCCATTAGCTAAGTATGATGACCTTTTGCATAGTTTGGGAAAAATAAGATTAGTTTACCGTGTTGACGAGATCAATGACGTGAACATCTCCATACTTGCTATTTAGATCTAGGAAGTGTTTCTCGAACACTTTGGGCTAAAATAGAATGTTGTAGAGAAGCAGTCAGATAGAGATGTGCAACGTTTTACTCTCTGCTATAAAGTTCTAATATTAAAAGAAAAACAATACTCACAGTTTCATCTGGCCTAATAAGTTTGATTATTGGCTTGTAAGTCAAATCGACGATCTGTTCCCAAAGTAATGGAATTGAACCCCGAATCTACGCAAGTAAATCAACATCATATAATAGAATTAAGGCTCTTTTTCAATAAGATGATTTGGATTTGGATTTGGATTGAAAATTATGAATAGAACAGATCAAGGTTGAGAAAATTAGAAATGAATTATCTTTCGATGGATTCAAATGCTCTTCCCTGTCCTCCCAATAGAGCACAAATATTTTGTGCATCCTAAATGTACTTATGTCTGTCTTTAACTGACATTCCCGAAAAGGTATGAATTTTCGTGTGCATGATCTTGTCCATCGAACAAACCTTCTATATATAAACACTTTATGAAAGTTACAGATGAAAATTTCATTACTATTATTTAAGTTAAGTTTCTTGATTATACTCCCAAAAGATTATGGCCATAACCATTGTAGACTGATGTATTAATTAAGAGGATTTTATGTGTGTTTGAAATAAATACATTACAACTAAACATTTGATAGAGTGGTGAGAAGTTTACCTGAACAAAGGATGCAGTCCAGCCATGAACTCGTAATATTTGTTCAGTTTCTACAAAATTTGCAACAAATCCGTCGGAGTCTGCACCTCTTCTCCACATACGAGTGCCTTCACAAAGATTATGACCGATTATTCTGAGAAGTAAAATGATGAAAGAATGTTACTTACCAAGTCTTCTAGTGCAGCGCCGCGCGATCAGAGTAACATCAATATTGACTCCTCCAACATCCGTTCGAGTTCTTTGAAAACCTGATGAGTAGTCAAGGCATAACTACAAGATATGTTTCTGAACTTGCATGTACAATGAATCATGAACAGGTGAACTTTAGGAGAAGGGGATTAGATACAGTCAAAAGGATATTCCCTTGCATTACAGGAAGCAAGTATGCATCAAGCTGCAAAACAATGAACACCATATTAGTTAAACACATCGAGTGGAGATTGTGGGAACCTGAAAATCAAATTCGCTATAACCGAAATCTGACCTTGTTGTCCTTCAGCACTTCCAACATGTAGCTATTCCAAAGAAATCGAGGGTCTGCCTGAGAAGACACACAAATCATTGAAAAAATCATAAAATAGATAGTAGCTGAAAACATCTTGTCAATAAATCAGATTTCTATGCTGAAAGTCACAGTGGATTATAAATATCTATAGATCAATTTTAATTACTTGTCTCCAAAGAGGAAGTAGCTTTGTTTCGTCTCCCAAGTCGTGGAGCAGTTGTGTTCTGTGAAAGACAAAATGTAAAGGCTTTTTAAACAACATATTGTAGTGATCTATGAATTAACGTCAATGGAAACACTCTTGAAGAACTTAGCACCATGAATACATTGCTTTACCTCAAAGTTATATTCACATCATAGGAGAAGTAAAGCCCCGGAGTTCGCTCAGCAATACTTATCAGTTGAGAAACCTCTCTCTCCATCTTGTTCTGTCACAAAAATGGCCAATTTCATGTTGTATTAATGTTACACATGCGAAAAGTCGACAAGTTCTATATACAACATACTTGTTCTTCGGTATCTTTCTTGGGAGAATGATCACAAGGAAAGCACTTCATTGAAGTGATTTTGAAGATAGGGAATCCCATATGGTTTCCAACACATTCTCTCTCCGTTATCACGAACAAATACAACCCTAGACTCAAGCAACACCAAATCGAATCATGTGTTGTTAATGAATTAAATGACTTTTACGAAGAGATGTCCGGGCATGTGAGAACCTTAAAGAATCAAAACAATTAAGTTTAATAAAATTGCATTTTCTTCTATCAATTAATGACAAATTACCTTGCTATGATAAACAAGAGCAACACAAAAGATTGGTAACAAGTTGAGTGTTTAAACCAATCAACTAAGAAAAATAAAAAACATATATCTCAACCGTAGAGACTCAAAAGTATTCTGAAATCCATCCATGACGTCATAATCAACAGCAAGATAATACTAAACATTTAATCATCTTCCCAAATTATAACTCCAATTATCTTGATCGACATATTCACACTAAATTTTCCTACATTGTTCATTGGTTTCGATGTTGATGGAAATATCCTACAGTATGAGTGTAAGTGATCAAAGATGAAGTCACTTGCAGTGGATCATATTCTACAAGCACACCTCCAAACCATGGCAGTTATATTCTATGAGCAAATATTCTCTAAAAATTACACATGCCTGCCAATATCTTGAGTACCCCGACAACGCCGAATATGTTCCAAATCTTCGGAGCACCAAGCAAAGTCACTTCCGGCACATCGTCTAGACAACACAACAGGAAGGATTTATATTTCAAAATCTATATATATATGTATTTCAAAAAAACGATCGAAAAAGGCATGCATGAAATTGAAAGGCAAGGAAAGGAAAGGAGAGAGTTGAAATTAAAGACCGGTGAGTTTGAAGGATCCGTCGAGGCGGCTAATGGCGATAAAGGGAGCTGAAGAGCCGTCGGTGGGCTCGACGACGAAATGTTGGGTGAACTCCCATAGCCGCATTCTGTTGAACAGCTTGGGTGCAGGGTCGCCTCTTTCCATCATAATTGATTGATGGATGACTCCACTACGCTTCACTCGGGTTGGGATAATTAATTAATTAATCAGACAATGCAGAAATCATTGTTAATTGGAAGCTCGAGAAATCATTTGGAGGATGAGAGGGAGAGGGAGAGGGAGAGGGATGCGAATGTGATCCCTTCACTTTCATCGATCAACAGATCATATAACTGAAGATGCGATGCTGCTCTCTTTGCGGTCTCCAAAAAGAAAATTGGTTAAAATTGCATGAAGACATTGTGCGATATTGTCTTTTTCTGTTTTGGGGGGCTATTTTTTTTTTTTTTTTTTTTTTTTCCAAGTAAAAATTCAGAATATTTTTGTATATATATTTTTCGCTATTATTGTATTTCTTTTTGAACGTAATGTATGTATTCTTTTATGTTATTTATAAAAAAATTATATTCATAATATAAAAACCAATGTTTATATATATTAAGAGTGACAATGCCTGCCCATTTTGATTTTTGAAAAATATCCCCCATAAACTGAAAATCCATAACCCCAAGTGCTACGGGAACACCGTTTAGTTGCCCTATGCCTGTTTGAACAGCCTCAGTTAATCCAGTCTTTCGTTGATAAGAATTTAATCCTGTCTTTCGTTGATAAGAATCAATACGATCTTTATAAGGCTCCTCCTCTGAATGAAATCCAATCGGATCCAGAGAGACCATATCTTCATCCATAGGATCCCAAGTACCGGGGGTCGTATAATAATTATTATTTTTTCTAATTCTTTTAATTGCAAATTGGTAAGTGTGACTAGTTTGCAAAATCTTTGTTTGGTTTTTAAAATTTTTCTAACACATGTTTTCAAAAAAAATTAATATACTCAAATACTCAGTTATTTTTATATTACCTACACAATTATTTATACTTGACACAAAATTTTTCCTTCAATCCAAAACACAAAACAAACACCCGTTCTCAATTGGCTGAGCTAGAACAACCAAAATTATACAAAATAATCGAATTGAAGATAAAGATATCATTAACAAATTAATACCACAAACTGTATTGAAAATGTGAAGCAGGAATATGTATGTATGAGACACTGGAGGTGTATGGTTCTTTTTTCCTCTGTTCTCCTATTTTTTTTAACCCTAAAAACTAAATAGACAAGTAATTGTGCATCCAGTACCTACATGGTCCAAGTTCAATCCATCCCACAACTCTTGGGGGTACTGTGACTATACAGATGTAATAAAAGTATATTAGCATTGTAGTTGGTTCATTCATACTTGACTAACCGATATTGCCCAAGAGACGCTCGACTGCAGCATGAATGTTCCCTGCAGTGGCTATTAGGGCTCGAAGATTTTCTTGGGTATCATAAAACCCCATTTCCTGTAACTGAGATAGTTGAGTGGCATATAATTCTTCAGGGGGTGCTGCACAGAAAGTATGAAACCATGTTAGAATAGATTGAAATGGATAGGAAGAATTTGTTTGGATGGATTGAACCTTGAGATCTGTTTGGAGTAGGGATTCCGGCGCCACCAGTCCCGAGTGCACCAAACATGTTCATCAATGAATCCAACCCCATGTCAGCTGCTCAAGAAAATGATAATCAGTTCAACATATAAAATAGTATATTTAATTATTTATTTCTGGTTTAATTTATCGTGTAGGAGTTTTTAACATCCCAAAAATGTAGTTAACAGCTACTTTCATCAAACATAAAGTCCTAATTTTTTGAGAGCGATTGTCACAAAAAAAAGAAGCCTTTATTCTAATTTTAAAACAAGGGCTATCATTCATGCATATACATAGATCGTTATTTTGGAGGCTGGGTTTCAGTATATGGATAGGGTATGTTAGAGAATGTTCAACAGCAGCAAAAAGTCTACGTGCACATCTCAAGTATTAATTCCGACATATAAAATGAGAAGAGGGGCAATTTCTCTTACTTACAGGAATCATTTTCTTATGATATCCTCAATTTTATGAATGATTCTCTGAAGCTAAATCCAACAAAATTTCAGGACCAAATAACACAGAAGAACTACATTAAACACACAAGATGATAAAGAATCGTCTATAATGCAAGACAGCAACATAGAGATAATTTAGCAGTAAAATGAGATGGGTGCAGTTGAAATCCCAATACAACATGCTGAAGTGGCCGCTTTAAATTAGACAAAAAGAGTGTGTACCTGTTCCTCCAGCAATCCGGCCTGTTTCTCTGCAATATATCAGCAAAACATGTAAGTAATAGTATCGGAGTTATGAAACATTGTTTCATAAATATTTATATAGGTGACGAAACATCTCAATTAACAAGCTGCACAATACTCACAGGAAAATCAAGAAGAAAGGATCAAAATTTACCGGGTTGTCTGACGTGGAAACTGAGATGACAGGGCTTGAGAAAAACCCAGAAGTTGCTGAGACAATATATAATATATATATATCAGGAAAAATAAACAGGCCATAGCCATACACAACTCTTATACAATGATTTATTTTTTAAGAACACATATATAATAACACTGAATTTCAAAGAATTAGATACTTCCACAGATGTAAATGAATTTGTTTCATTTACACTAATCTGCCACCTAATGCAGCAATAATAATAATAATAATAATAATAATAGTAATAAAATGAGAAATAAAAAGAATGGTGTTCAGCGTTCACAAGACCATGGGCTACTATAAATGGCAAGCCTAATTCTTCTTTGTACTTAATGAACAAAGGAATGGCCAGAAGAGGCACTACAGTTCATGGAGTCATTGCACCACAAGCAGGAAAAAATGATTCCGAATTCATCAACACACTGAGATGCAATGGAAACAAGATTCTTTAACAGGAGAAAGGTATCTGACTTTCATCCTGCCATCATTGTTCAGATCAGCGGACCCCCCAACGAAGATGAGTCATAAGCAAAAATAAGTGCATGCTAGCAGAAAATATGAATCCATAACTACTTTTGTTCACCCAACCAACCCACAACTTTCCTTTGTTACAGCTACTTCACATTGTGCTCCATCAAGAATAGCACTTCGAAATTGTTGTAAGTCTTAAAAGTCTAGCTATCACTCTATGCACATACAATTGCGTTAGCTTTTGTCCATTGATTCACATGCATTACGATGTACCAACCAACATAAAAGATGTTGTCAATCAAGAATCTCAGAAGAGACAAAGGAAGGATTAAAACTTACCTGCATCATCTCAGGGGAAGTTAGTTGACGCATAAACTCAGGATTTTGCATCATGTCTCTAAGCTGAGGATTGGCATCAAGCATGCTTTGTAGCTGGGGATTCAGGCCAAGAACCTAGAATTTCATAGTAAGAGCAACAAGCGTTGGCAATAAATGTTAAATATTGAACATGCAACAGTGTCAGGTAGTATCCATACAATAGCAGAGAGACACAATACCTGATTTACATAATTAGGATTAGATAGGAGATTGCGCATCATCTGGGAAATGGCAGGATTTTGCATTAACTGATTTAGTGAGTTCATATCCGGTGCCCCGCCCAGCATTTGCTCAAAATCAGGGAAGCCAAATCCACCTGTGCTACCAGGTGATATAGGCCTTGCATTTCCAGTAGGATTAGGGTGTGCATCTGAATTAGTTCCCGCCACTCCAGCTACAATTCAGTTTAAGGCATAAAGATGAGTATAAATTTTGATATCTTAAACAAGAAATTCAAGCCACTTGCGAACACAACTAAAACAAATCAAATCTTAGAATTTCAATATATGAGGCAGGAGTGACAATGATGGCTAATATGCATAGGTTGCATACTAACTGAAACATTTTTAATCATTATTGTCAGCTTTATTGCTGGAAATTCTTAGAGATACATGGTCTTACTACAAGGCAATGGCATATAAGATTTTCTAAGATCAATGAGGGTTAATGAACTGCATACTGTATAATAAAAACATGCAAGAAATTGGCGGCAGCAAAATGTGCAGTACCAAAATATGAAATCAAATGCATACACAATATCTTCAAGGAAATTAAGTATAATTTCAAAATTCGCCTTCCTTAGAGTTTTAAAAGTAAAACAGCCAAAGCATGAAAATTTCACATGGGTACCCATTTTGACCTCCATATTCCAAGACAAACCTAGTGACATTCCAACAGAAGTGAGATAACCACCATTTCTGGATCCACAATGGTAGAAAAGCCAATCACGAGCTCCTATCATACCATCACTATAACCTCTGTAGGCTAGAGTTGCTAACAGTGACAAGGCATGATGGAGTACAGACATTTTCACATCACCAAATAGCACTTTATTGACATATAACACAAAAGTACGCGATAAATTAATTAATAAATTTACATAAGCATAAACCCAGACAAGAAAAGTCATCAAAGTCGACATTTTAAATTAGTAAATGCTAATTTCCAACTTATAACTAACTAATAAAAAATCTCAAAAGTGATGCGTTTTAATTATGTGAACAAACAATGCAGCAATCTCATTATATGAAGAAAAATAAAAATAATAAATAAAATTCTTTAAGCCTTTATTTGGTCAACAATTTACAGTTTTTAGATCAGACCATAGTGAGTGTTACTTACTGCCAGCTGAAGCCCATGGATTAGGAAGTGGGTTTGTGTTTGGTGCAGGTGTATTATTAGTAGTTTCTGACCCAGTTGTCCCAGAACCTGCTGAGTTCTCTCTTCTAGGTTGCTGTCCTTGAGTTCCCAAAAGGGCTGCAAACGGGTTTGTTGCTGGGTCAGATCTGTTGTCACCTGTCATCGATGTTGCATTTAGGAAAGGCTCTTGCACATTCTCATACATTCGTCTGAGCATGTTAAAACCCTCAGGAGAGGATTCAATATTGCTCATTGCTCTGTCAGTGTTGCGCATCATCTCGCGCATTATTTCAGGATTCCGAACAGCCTCCATTGTCTGACGAAGAGTTGTGGGATCATTAAGTATATGTGCAAGCTCAGGGTTACGATCCATAACTTCACGCATTTGAGGATTGTTCAGGATCAAGTTACGGATGGTTTCAGGATTATTCATTAAATTCTGAACAAGAGGCATATTTAAAATGTCTCTGATCATGTTGGGGTTTTGGGTTAACTGCTGCTGCATTTGCTCCATTCCCGGAAGTGAAGCTCCAGATGAATTAGTATTATTGCCTAATCCACCAAGGCCGAGTCCAGGAAACAATGTAGATCCAAAACCAGATCCTCCAAGTGGCCTACCGCCAGTAGAACCGGTATCTGTTGTTGAAGTCGGATTAGAGGTTGTAACACCAGCATTACTTGTGGCAGCATTTTCTGTAGGACCAGATGTTGCAAAGCCTCGAACTAAGTGGACAGTGTGATCAGCCTCAAGCCCTGTCAACAAAAATTAGAAAAAGGTTTATTAGTAGCAAATCACACATGATCTGCATTTTTAGTCTTTGGAACAATATTCTTCGTAATATCTCATCAAAGGATGCAAGAAGGTGAAGAAAACAAAATATTGAAGGATGAACTATGAGGAGAGAGCAGAAGAATACTAGTAGAGAAAAAAATAATAAAAATAGAGATACGCGGGGAATCAGCTACTCCATACAATGCGTCTATTACATAATGTGCATGTGAACAGCTATCGTTTCCAAAACTATCTTCCAGAAAAATATTCCCTGTTTAACTCTCCACAACTCTAACTTACAATACTGTTGTGACATACTAACGATGCAGCAAGTTTTGGCATGTTGATTATGCAAACCAGTCACCAATACAAGCATTGGCGAGGACATAAACATCCCCGTAGGCTATAAACATCAAGATATCTATTATACTTCCTTAAAATGACCTCGTTCGAGAATTCTGTTTGAACAGGTAAAAAAAGAGGTTCCGACTACTGATCTACTAACAAGAAACCCATTCTTATAGTTACACGAAAAATCAAGAAACACAATAAATCAAATTTCTAAAATGAGTGAAAGCGATTCAGGAATTATACCGTAGCTCTGAAGGGTTTGATCGTCCTTGAGGATGCGACCTTTGTAGATTAGACGCTGCTGCTGAGGCGGAATCTCACATTTCTGGGCAAGGATTGACTTAAAATTTTCAATAGTTGAGCTCAATTTCACCTCAACTACGAACTTCGATCCATTCGAGCAACGGATGTTAAGAGCCACCTCTTCTCCAACGGCGTTGCTTGAATCACCACTGTCTGCAGCCACGTCGCCGCCGCCCATTTCGATTTACAGTCTAAAAGGCTCCGGACGGACGATCAAATAAGGATTGATAGATAGTGAGAGAGAGAGAGAGAGAGAGAGACGAATTGAACCCTAGCTCGATTTTGCCCTCTTTATTCTTTCCTTTCTATCCAATTTCAGTCTAAGTCTGCTTCGAGAAGCAGAGGGTGTCAAATGAGAATATCACAAAATCCAAGGGGCTATGGGACAATTAACACAACCGCTATTTGAATGTTCATCATATGAGCAATTTACACCTACCTACCTCTAAGGTTCCAATTAACTGTGTCTTTTTTCAGTTGGTCAAAATTACATCAGTACTTTTTTAATTATCTGTCAAAATTATAAATATTTTATTTATAGCAAAATATTTTATTAGGAAGAGACATTTATTACCACCTCAACAAATATTTGATATGGACAAAAAGTGATAGAACAAAATAATTAAGACCCAATTCAACAGTGAGTGACCGGAGGCCCAGTCATAGAGCCCATGATCCAAGGATGAAAGCCCAGTGATGACTTAAAACAACTCTTGCTATTCTTTTTAATTTTATTTTTTCACATGAGTTATCTAAAGTGTGCGGTGGCTAAATCCTAAACCCTAAACCCCTGCCGAAATCTGATACCGCAACTTTGTTCTTCAATTTCAATATAGTACTCCATCCGTCCTCAAATATCTTTAGACACAGTATTTTAGGAAGAGTGTAATCAATAGATAATTAAGAATGTATTAGTGAAAATAATTATAAATTAAGATGAAGATAACTAATTAGTTTAATTAAAATTTTTAAAAATAAAATTAAAAAATTTAAAATAAGATTAAAGTGTAATCATTTTTCAAAAAATGAAAATAACATGGTACGTGGGATGGACAGAATGACAACGTGGACATGGTATCTGGGACGGAGTGAGTAATTTTTTTGTATTTTTTTTCTGCATTTCCAAAGTAATCACTATGACCTGTGTTCATAAAACATCACCTTCGAATAAAACTAATAATAATAATAATAATAATAATTGAATAAAAACCAAAAAATTGCAAATCAATGAGAGCCTTCTGTGCAGACATAATAAATGAATGATTACTATTTTGTGTATATTTATTTAAACTGAGTCAAAAAAGTCAAAAAGTAAGGACAGGCGCGTCTCACTCACAAATAACTACGTTATTAATGTTAACGTACACTCAAATCCACTGTCGTGATACTAATTTTAATAACAATAACAATAACAATACTGGTAATTAATTAATTAAACGAAAAAAAAAATACCTAAATCAGACAAGAAATTTGAAAGGAACGTCTACCGTGCCACGTGGCACGTGCCTCACAGGTAACCGTTGTGCCTCCCTTCCTTTACCCAAATTCCAATTAATCTAACGGCCATCATTCACTAGCCGTTGGATTTGAAAAATAAAAATAAAAATTCACAGCTCATCTCCCTTGTCTCCCCCACTGCACAAATACCCCTCCCTTCTCTCTCTCTCTCTCTACCCCAATTCCGCCATTGTTGTACGCTCCGCTCCTTCTCCCCCTTTCTTCCTCTGCAAAATTTTTATTTTATTTTATTTTTTATGTTTTTTTAATTTTTTTTCTGGGTCAGATTAATATTTCCAGAAAATGTTTGCATCTGACGAGAATAGTTCCGCGCAAATCAGACCCTCAGATTTGCAAGGTGATTTTAGTTAGTTATGTTATGTTAGTGTCGTTTCCTAGCTCAAAAGATTCTGAATTTAATTTTTATTTTTTTGGTTTCGGAATTATTAAGGTGAGGGAAGGAGATTTGGAGCTGAGATGAGACCCAACAGGAGGGCGTTAAGTGTGATTAATCACAGTAATCCATACCCTCCTTGCGTTGTCAACAAAAGGGGCTTTGCAGAGTACGAATCTTGGCTTATGAAAATTCAGATATTATTCAAATTTGGAAAGTTTATTTAGAAAAAAAAAAAAAAAAGAAAAAGAAAAAAAGATTACGATGTTTGTGTATTTAATCTCTCAGGACAAACGTGATTTCTGGAAAGAACATTGGTCCATTGCCAGGACAACATCGGCCCATCACAAGGTAAGATCGTCATCATCGATCGTCGTCCTCAATATTCTTGTATTGATTTGAATTTTGAATTTTGCTGACTTGAATTCAATTATCGATCTGCAATTGCGAAGGAAATGTGCTGCACATAAGGGTGTTTCCAATCCATCTCTGGAGGTAGTTAGCTCACCCGACATGATTCCACACCACTTTTCGATTTCGATTTCGAATAAGATTAGATTAGATTAGATTAGATTCGAAATTTCGAAAAAAATGTAAGAACTTGATGAGAATTCCTAGATTTAAATTAATGTTCTTGGCTTGTCTTCAGGAGGCCAAGAAACCGAGGACATCATCGTTCACAGTGTGGGAAGATGTTCCTTTGGACGATCACGGCGCCGCCAAAGGGCAGCCGGCGCCGATGTCGTTGGAGCAGCAATCCGAGGTCGAAATGGTCGACAAAAATCAAATGGTATGTGCAGACTCGCCTATTGATCTTGCAGTCCTAACAGGGCATCCTCCAAGTGTAAATTTGTCTGAAATCCGACAATGCCGGCCGCAGGAGGTCGAAATGGAGGACATATTTGAAGAAGAAGAGGCTGTCGTGGACATAGACGCCGCCGACAAAAGCGATCCCCTCGCAGTTGTCGACTACATCGAGGAATTGTATTCTTACTACAAAAAGATCGAGGTAATTAATGATCGATGTAGCTTTAATTATTATTATTACAAGAAGATCCTCATCCGAATTGCTCAATTTTTAGATGTCGAGCTGTGTCTCACCGGAATATATGATGCATCAATTCGACATCAACGAGCGAATGAGAGCGATCCTCGTTGACTGGCTGATCGAGGTGCACCACAAATTCGAGCTCCGGGGAGAGACATTATTTCTAACCATTAATCTGATCGATCGATTCTTAGCGAAGCAGAGCGTTGTCCGAAAGAAGCTACAGCTGGTCGGGCTCGTCGCGATGCTTCTCGCGTGCAAGTACGAGGAGGTCTCGGTCCCCGTTGTCGACGACCTTGTCTTCATTTCGGACAAGGCGTATACTCGGAAAGAAGTTCTCGAAATGGAGAAGATGATGCTCAACGCTCTGCAGTTCAACATGTCGGTCCCGACCCCCTACGTCTTCATGCGACGGTTCCTAAAGGCGGCGCAATCCGACAAAAAGGTCGCCTTTTTATTGATAGCAACATAAATTCATTTTTTTCTTTTACAATCAATCGATCGAACTAACTAACGCTCGCGAAATCTGTATAACAGTTGGAGCTTGTGGCGTTCTACCTGATCGAGCTAAGTTTGGTCGAGTATGAGGCCGTTAAGTACCCTCCGTCGTTGCTGGCGGCGGCGGCGGTTTACGCGGCTCAGGCGACAGTGTACGGAGTGGCGCAGTGGAGCAGGACGTGCGAGTGGCACACGGGGTACACAGCGGCCGAGCTGCAGGAGTGCACGAGGCTGATGGTGGCGCTGCACGGGAAGGCGGCGGCGGGGAAGCTGACCGGAGTTCATAGGAAGTACAACACGAACAAGTTCGGATATGCTGCAAGATGCGAGCCTGCAGATCATCTTCTTCTTCTTCATGATGATCTTCAGCAATAACAACGACAAACAATTTTAATGGAGGAATGTACAGACAGACAGATCTAACTCTGTGTTACTTACTGCTGCTGATGCTGCTGATGATGATAAAATATCATAACAATAATGGGGTGGGGTGGGGGGAGGCAGCAACTGTGTGTTGCTCTGCATGAATGGGCAATGGAATTGATTTGGTGAATTAATTGTTGTCGTGATGTTATGATTCTAATTTCGAAACACTATTTTAATAAATTTTGGTTATTCTATCTCACTATTTTGATTGATTGATCCATTAAGTATACAACAACATTATTTTTCAATATTTATTTCCAATGATAATGTACGAAAAAGTCGTTTTTCAGCAAGAATATTAAATCTTTGTCGCCAATCAAAAAAAGATTTTAAATTAATGATTAATATAATTATACATTATTATTATTATTATAGATAAAGAAATATACATTTTTCTAACAAAATATAATCTTGATAATTTAGAATTAGCATTTCTAATGAAATGTGTTGTTTGAGCATATTTCAAACTTGTACAGGTTGAGTCAATGCATATTTATTCTATGAATTTTAAATTGATAATCATTTTAAGGTTTATTATTCTATTTATTTAATGTAACATTTTTTTCTCATAAATAGTGTTACTAGAGCACAAATGTAAGGAGATAGATCGAAATTAAATATATATATTTTATTTTAAATAAAAATATTATTATTCGATAGTACAATTTTCAATAAAAAATTACAATTTTTTCTCATAAAATATCACATCAAAATGTCAGGCGTAGTCGAGTTTGTAGAGTGGGCAATAGGTTGCCCTGCGTATCCATCGAAGAGGATGGTGGCGGTGGCGGTGGCGGTGGCGGTGGAGGTGAGTGAACACTCGACCTCTACGGCGGCAGTGGTGGCGGGTGGTTTCTTGAAAGAGAGACCTGTAAAATTAGTTTAAATGCTTAAATGGTTTTAATGTAAACTATATGTATCATAACATTTCCTTGTAGGAGAAAAGGCATTTAAATAAAGTTTATGCATCAATTTTTTACCTAATTGTCAAATTTGCATTCTCCTCTCTTAGCCTCGTTGCTCTATTTCAAAAAAAATTTATTAGTGTTTCCAAGCCTCTTCTTGACACAAAATGATTGATTCGAGAAAATCGAGGAGAATACCTTGATAGGAACCATTGAGTTTAGATTCTCTGTTCTTGAAGTTTTCTTCTGAGGCGAATCCATTTGTGTTTTTACCGAAGATTTTTTAATAGCAGCGTCGACAGCATTATCGAGTTGAATTGCATATGCAGGCTCCTAGATTGAGATTAATTACATACAACAATGTAATAAAGAGGACAATATATGTTCTTTAGTAAAAAATAAACATATAATTTCGATCTCGGACATACCTTCACTTCCTCATTTGATTTCATTATTTTCTTAACATGGCTTAATGGTAGCATCGATTGGCTGATCTGCAAATCTGCAAAAACAACATCCAGAATAATATAGAAATTAAATCATTCAAAAAATTTAGTTATTTAAATTTGGCTTTTAATATCCATTCTTGAATCTATATATATATATATATATATATTTAGAAAATCTAACTTTAATTGATGACTTTGTGAAAGGAGAAAAGGAAAATATCTGTAATGTGAAAAATATGACATAAAAAAATGATCCACCTGAAGTGCCGCAAATTTCAGTCAATTGATCATTCCAGATAGCTCGAATATTTTGCCCCAACTGATTTCGAAAAATCTGCAAAATGAAGCAAAAAGATGGAATGAGATATATACATATATATATATATAGATTGTATTTCCCACTTTAATTTTCATTTATAAGGACGGTAGGTTTTCCCATACAACTTAAATAAGATCCATATCCAATCATTTAATATTTTTTTGTCGTTGTCCAATAAACTATCTAAAAGCGACAAATGATGTTATGCTATTATCCATTCATATGCAATCATTGAACATTTTTTGTCGCTGTCCAATAAACTATCAAAAAGCGACAAATGATGTTCCGCTATTATCCATTAATATCTATGGATAACAGTGGACTTTGCTGGACAACGATGATTATTTTTTGTCGTTGTCCAAATGAATTTTCAGGTATCATAACATATTTGATCATGGTAAATAACACAGATCTAAATGATTAAAAATGGTTTTACAAACACACAAACCTGTTCTTGGTTGTTGGTAGGTGTCCCAGGGGCATGGCTAAAGCTAAGCAACTGCTGCTGCCAGGAAGATGACGGCATAGGCTATTGTTTTGATTCAAGCAGGCCTTTGTTCTTCGAGACGATCGCAAGTGAAGGGTTTCGGATGCTGAAGAACTTGGCATTAGCTTCTATTTATATTGAGTAAGTAATCCTGTATTCAGGTATGACTAATTATTGCAATTCAATTCACTTTGGGTAGGTAGAATATGTAATTAATACCCTATAACCTCTTCTTAAATGTACCAGCATCACCAGCACAATTATTATCATTATTAGTAGCACCAGCACAATTATTATTATTAGTAGTAGCAGCAGTAGGTGGCGGTTGGGCGATGACGATGTAAAATCAACATTGTAACCAAAAGTATTATTATTATTATTATTATTATTCATTTGATGTCAAAATTCCCCGCATACCATACACATATATTGTTTGATAAGGCAAATCATATTAGGGCGAATCATATGTGACTCTATATACCAAGACAAATCATACTAGGCAAATTATATGTGACGTACAAAACTGAAGGCATTAGGGTTTTAACTCATAATCTCACGATCAAAAGTTTACTCCTACACTACCACCAGAGCATTCTGAAATATTTTTTATGTCTATTTGAAGGGATCACGACGTTAGCAACGAAAATGTTAACTAACATATTGATTGTTATAGATATTATTATAGAATTTTTTTTGTTCCAAAACAATTCAAAGTCATGTGTCATAATCAATCAAATTGTATGTTCTATCTTCTATGACATTACTTCTATTTCATTTAAATACATGTAAATTTAATTTATTGCAAATATTGTAACATGATATCCATGACTTTATAGTCGCAATGCGAAATAAATGCGCACAATGCTTTTGAATTACTATAGATATTATTACACTATATTTATCGTGTGTTAAGTCAAATCATATGAAATTTGTCATAGATATTTTGAAAATCTTAAAAAATGTGAATACTATTAACACTAGAATTTTCAAATAGATTGGAGAAAATGATCAAATTAAAAAAAAAAAAAAAAAGAAAGTTTGGGTACTCAAAAGTTAAAACATCAAAACAAGATCAGGCCGTAAGTTGAAAGCCGAGTTGAATGAAGCCCCATTATGAAAAGAATATTGAAGGAACATTAAATGGATAAGATCAAATTGAGATGTTCGATTATTTTCATCTATAAAAAAATGAAGGGTTTTACCAAACAACTTAAATAAAATCCATATTTAATTATAAATTTTTATTGTTATCCAGTAAACTATTGAAAAATGCCAAATAATGTTATCATATTATTCCATTTATACTAATAGATAATAATGGACTTTGTTATACAATGTAGGATATTTTTTTGTCGTCGCCCTAATAAATTTTCAAGCACATAACATGTTTGACCGTATGATGTTTTTTTTATGTATATACACAATTTTCTTCCGTACTCATATTTTTCTATCACTTAATTAAAATAATAAAATCTAAACTAGCAATGAAAGGCTTTATAAATGGTAAATAACACAAATCCAAATTGATTAAATGAAAATGGTTTCACACACAAATTAGGAATATATATCTTACATATTACCAAATTTTATGATTTTTGTACTTCAGGCACACTTGATACTCACGTGACAAAAGATCTCACTCTCACTAGCGAAATAGTAACGCCTACAGCATGATGAGTGATTATTAGTGATAAAATATGTATTTATATAGTATAATTTATAAATGTCATTTAGTTTCTAGGTATTGCAATTTAACCTAATGTCATTTTTTACTTCTTGAATCCCAAACCCATCATCTTCTTTAACCCATAACAAGGAATCCCCTCATTTTCATCGCGATCTCCAATTTTTCAATCCTTCATTGTCATCATCAGTGTCTTCATGGGATTCAATCATCATGACATTTTTGTTTATGCATGGATTTTGTTTAATACATGTTGTAATTTTATTTTATTTTTTATAATGTGAGAATTCACAACCTTCGGGTGCACTCTGGGTAAACCTCCGACCGAACTTAATAGCCTGCAAATTAAGTTCGACCGACAAACCATATGTTCCAGACAAAAAATATTTTATCTAGTGTTAAATATAAAATTGAAAGAAAAATAAAGTAGAATTAAAAAATAATAATAATAATAATAATAATAATAATAATAATAATAATAATAATAATAATAATAAAAGAGAAAGAGAGAGAGTGTGAGAGACTTCAATAAAAACTAGAAGCCAAAATCTGAATAAAAAATATGATGACTTCAGGTTTGATATGTTCTATTAAGAGTTTAAAATTTAAAATTAATAGCCAATGTATATCCTTCCGTTGTAGTCTAGTTGGTTAGGATACTCGGTTTTCATGTGCACAAAAGTTGAATCATCCAATGATAACGTAGGATCAAATTATTTTTCAATATTTTTTAGATGATCGAGAATCCTTATTACAAGAATAAAATTCTATAAAATACATATAATCGGCGTGGCTTTGATACCAATCCATAAATTATATGATAAAAAGCTTGATTCAAAACATAATTGAGTCTACTTAGAGTTCTTGATACCATTCATAATCACCTTATTGATAAGCTATCTATGTATCTAGATAATTAAACCACGTAATTTAAATCAATTATATAAATTATTGACTTATTTATATAATTCAATCATTAATTTAAATCAAATAAATAAATTAAAATAACTAATACAATTGTACATTATTATTTGTCCATGTAGTATATTTCAAACTTGTACATGTTGAATCAATGCATATTTATTTTATGAATTTTTAATTGATAATCATTTTAATGTTTATTATTCTATTTATTTAATGTAACATTTTATTTTTCAGAAACAGTGTTACTAGAGTACAAATGTATTCTAGCGAGATAGACTGAAATGAGATATTTGTTTTTTATTTCAAATAAAAACACCACTATTCGATAGTACAATTTTCAATAAAAAATTACTATTTTTTCTCACAAAATATCACATCAAAATGTCGGGTGTAGTCGAGTTTGTAGAGTGGGCAATAAGTTGCCCCGCGTATCCATCAAAGAGGATGGTGATGGTGGTGGTGGTGGTGGTGGTGGTGGTGAGGGAACACTCGCCTCTATGGAGGCAGTGGTGGCGGGTGGTTTCTCGAAAGAAAGACCTGTAAAATTAGTTTAAATGCTTAAATGGTTATAATGTCAACTATATGTATCATAACATTTCCTTGTAGGAGAAAATGCATTTATATAAAGTTTATGCATCAATTTTTTACCTAATCGTCAAATTTGCATTCTCCTCTCTTAGCCTCAATGCTCTATTTCAAAAAAATTTTGTTAGTGTTTCCAAGCCTCTTCTTGACACAAAATGATTGATTCGAGAAAATCGAGGAAGAATACCTTGATAGGAACCATTGAGGTTAGATCCTCTGTTCTTGAAGTTTTCTTCTGAGGCGAATCCATTTGTGTTTTTACCGAAGATTTTTTAATAGCAGCGTCGACAGCATTATCGAGTTGAATTGCATATGCAGGCTCCTGGATTGAGATTAATTACATACAACAATGTAATAAAGAGAACAATATATGTTCTTTAGTAAAAAATAAACATATAATTTCGATCTCAGATATACCTTCACTTCCTCATTTGATTTCATTATTTTCTTAACATGGCTTAATGGTAGCATCGATTGGCTGATTTGCAAATCTGCAAAACAACATCCAGAATAATATAGAAATTAAATCATTCAAAAAAAGTAGTTATTCAAATTTGGCTTTTAATATCCATTCTTGAATATATATATATATATATATTTTTAGAAAATCTAACTTTAATTGAATGACTTTGTGAAAGGAGAAAAGGAAAATATCATTTCATGTAATGTGAAAAATATGACATAAAAAAATGATCCACCTGAAGCACCACAAATTTCAGTCAATTGATCATTCAAGATAGCTCGAATATTTTGCCCCAATTGATTTCGAAAAATCTGCAAAATGAAGCAAAAAGATGGAATGAGATATATATACATATATATATAGATAGATTGTATTCCCCACTTTAATTTTTATTTATAAGGAAGGTAGGTTTTCCCATACAACTTAAATAAGATTCATATGCAATCATTTAACATTTTTTTGTCGCTGTCCAATAAACTATCTAATAGCGACAAATGATGTTATGCTATTATCCATTCATATGCAATCATTGAACATTTTTTGTCGTTGTCCAATAAACTATCAAAAAGCGACAAATGATGTTTCGCTATTATCCATTAATATCTATAGATAACAGTGGACTTTGCTGGACAACGATGATTATTTTTTGTCGTTGTCTAAATAAATTTTCAGGTATCATAACATATTTGATCATGGTAAATAACACAGATCTAAATTGATTGATTAAAAATGGTTTTACAAACACACAAACCTGTTCTTGGTTGTTGGTAGGTGTCCCAGAGGCATGGCTAAAGCTAAGCAACTGCTGCTGCCGGGAAGATGACGGCATAGGCTATTGTTTTGATTCAAGCAGGCCTTTGTTCTTCGAGACGATCGCAAGTGAAGGGTTTCGGATACTGAAGAACTTGGCATTAGCTTCTATTTATATTGAGTAAGTAATCCTATATTCAGGTATGACTAATTATTGCAATTCAATTCTCTATGGTTAGATAATGTCTGTAATGAATACCCTATAACCTCTTCTTAAATGTACCAGTATCACCAACACAATTATTATCATTATTAGTAGCACCAGCACAATTATTATTAGTAGCAGTAGCAGCAGTAGGTGGCGGTTGGGCGATGACGGTTTAAAATCAGCACCGTAACCAAAAGTATTATTATTATTATTATTCATTTGATGTCAAAATTCCCTGCATACCATACACGTATATTGTTTGATAAGACAAATCATATTAGGCGAATCATATGTGACTCTATATACCAAGACAAATCATATTAGGCAAATTATATGTGACGGATAAAACTAAAGACATTAGGGTTTTAACTCATAATCTCAAGATCAAAAGTTCACTCCCACACTACCACCAGATCATTCTGAAATAATTTTTTTATGTCTATTTGAAGGGATCACGACGTTAGTAACGAAAATGTTAACTAACACATTGATTGTTATAGATATTATTATAGAATTTTTTTTGTTCCAAAACAATTCAAAGTCATGTGTCATAATCAATCAAATTGTATGTTCTATTTTCTATGACATTACTTTTATTTCATTTAAATACATGTAAATTTCATTTATTGCAAATATTGTAACATGATATCCATGACTTTATAGTCGCAATGCGAAATAAATGCGCACAATGCTTTTTGATTACTATAGATATTATTATAATATATTTATCGTGTGTTAAGTCAAATCATATGAAATTTGTCATAAATGTTTTGGAAATCTTAAAAGATGTGAATATTGTTAACACTGGAATTTTCAAATAAATTGAAGAAAATGATCAAATTTGGATCATTAAAAAAAGAAAAAAAAAGTTTATTGGGATACTCAAAAGTTAAGACATCGAAACAAGGTGAGGTTGTAGGTTTAAAGCTGAGTTGGATGAAGTCTATATGAAAAGAAAATTGAAATTTAGAACATTAAATGGATAAGATCAATTTGAGATGTCCGATTCTTTTCATCTATAACTAAGGAAGGGTTTTACCAAACAACTTAAATAAGATCCATATTCAATTATAAATTTTTATAAAACGACAAATGATGTTATCCTATTATTCCATTTATATAAATAGACAACAATGGACTTTGTTGTAAAATTTAGGATATTTTTTTGTCGTCACCCTAATAAATTTTCAAGTATCATAACATGTATGACAGTATGATTTTGTTTTTTATATATAGAACTTTTTCCCATACTCATATTTTCCTTTATCACTTAATCAAAATAATAAAATCCAAACTAGCAATGAAAGACTTTATAAATGGTAAGTAACACAAATCCAAATTGATTAAATGAAAATGGTTTCACACACAAACTAAAAAAATATATCTTACATATTACGAAATTTTATGATTTTTGTACTCGAGGCACACTTGATACTCACGTGACAGGGAATCTCACTCACTGGCGAGATAGTAACGCGTGCAGTAAAATGAGTGATTATTAGTGATAAAATATGATAAATATGTATTTATACAATATAATTTATGAATGTCATTTAGTCTCTTGGTATTCGCAATTTAACCTAACTTGAATCCCAAATACATCATCTTCTTTAACCCATAACAAGGAATCCCCACGTTTTCGTCGCGATCTCCGTTTCTTCAACCCTTCATTGTCATCATCAGTGTCTTCATCAGATTCAATCATCACCACATTTTTATTTATGCATGGATTTTGTTTAATACATGCGGAACTTTTTAATCTTTTATTTTTATAACGTGGGAATCCACAACTTTCAGGTGCACTCTAGGTAAATATTCGACCGAACTTAATAACAATTAAACTAAGGTCGCCTAGTTTGACAGGCAAACCATATGTGACAGACAAAGAATATTCTAGCCAGTGTTAAATATAAAATTGAAAGAAAAATAAAAGTAAAATTAGAAAAAAAAAAAAAAGAAAAAAAAATAGAGAGAGAGAGAGAGAGAGAGAGAGAGAGAGAGAGAGAGAGAGAGAGAGAGGGGGGGGGGACTTCAATAAAAACTAGAAGTCAAAATCTGAATAAATATGTTTTATTAAGAGTTTAAATTTTAAAATAAATAACCAATAAACATGCTTCCGTTGTAGTCTAGTTGGTTAGGATACTCGGCTCTCACCCGAGAGACCCGGGTTCAAGTCCCGGCAACGGAATTGTTTTTTTTTTTCCCCCCTTACATACGCCATCTTGCATTTGTGAAACGAGAGTGATGACCCACTTGGAATGGTGAGGTGCTAATTAACTACAGAGTCGTTTTCTACTTTATGTATGTATGTATGTACTGTATATATGCAGATGCATGTGTGTCCGTACGCCATCGAAAGAAATTAAAGGAGGATAAGTAGAGATGTGGTTTGTATTTGCTACGCAGAGGTCGCCATGGCTGCTTTCGCTGCTGTCCTTACAGTCTACCACAAACTAGACCTCTTCCTCCCTTCATCTCCATCCAAATCTTGTCCGGAAACACAATCCATCCACGTCGAGCTTCGTTCCATGATCAATGCTTTAAAAAATTACAGTTCAATGCAAGGCAGGAAGCTGAGGTTGGATCCATTGGAACAGCAAATCGAAGACTTAGCAGAAAAGATCACAGATCTGATGGAACACGAAAAGCTTAACGATGAAGAAGATCTCACGACAGTCCCCTCGGAATTGATCGATCTGGTAAGGGAATTCACTTTCTTGTCCGGAAACTTCATCGCTGAGGCATCGAAAATCGAAGAAAATAAAGAAGCTCCGGGACCTCGCGCGACAGTTTCGTCGAAAATGATCTGTAAATCTGAGTGTGAGCTTGTGGGGTTGGAGGAGGAAACGAAACAAGTGATGGATTGGGTTGTGGGAGGGCCTTATACACTTGAAGGTATCTCGATTGTCGGTATGGTGGGTATCGGTAAGACCACTTTAGTCGAACAAGTTTACAATCATCCATCTACAATGTCCCTTTACGACACGCGAATTATGGTTATTGTTGGCCCCGATTTTGAGTTTAATGAGTTCTTACAGCTTCTGGTAGATCATATAGAAGGGGCGAAGCGCAAACGTTTTACGGCTACTTCTGAATTAAGTGCCCATGTTCGGAAGCTTCTAGAGAAACGAAGATATCTACTTGTGTTAGATGATGTTTGGGATTATCGAATTTGGCACTACATGGAGAGATGTTTTCCGAGGAGCTATGATAAATGTCGAATAATTGTGACGACTAGGTTGCTAAGTGTCGCTTGTGGCGCGATTCATGTTCATAAAAAATGCTTCTTGGACGACGACGACAGCTGGAATTTACTCCGTAGGACGGTGTTCACAAGTCTCGAAGAATCTTGCAGCTTCCAGCTCGAGAAAATCGGGAAAAAGATAGCCAACAACTGTGAAGGGCTTCCCTTGGCTATTATTTCCATTGGACGGATTTTGCGCGACGCGGAGAAAACTGTAGAATATTGGGAGAAAATTTCCGAAGATGAAAATCCTCTTGGTATCGATGTCGACGACAACTCAAACATCACAAGATCGCTCCTTTTGAGCTACGACATGTTGCCTAGATATCAAAAAGCTTGCTTTCTCTATGCCGGAGTATTTCCCCGAAGTTATGTGATCTACGTCTCCGAACTGATTCGATTATGGGCGATCGAGGGATTCGTCGTCGGAAAAAATCTTGTAAGTGTCGGAATTACTGGTGAGGCATGGCTGGAAGAACTCATCTCTGCAAGTGTAGTTTTGGTTCATCAAAAGAGCTCAACATTTAGGAAAACTAAAACATGTCGAATCCATTATGTCTTTCGAAACTTATGCATTAGTATAGCCGAGAAGGAGAAGTTCTGCCATGTCCTAAGGAAATATAAGTATAGTTTTCCGAGAGGCACAAACCTGCAGCGACGACTTTGCAGCCACAGCAATAGTATGCTCGGCATTGAGGAAGTGCGCGCCACAATTAAGTCGATATTATCCATAGGGTCGCTTCTTTGTTTAGGTCCGTATCATCCATATCCTCTACGGCTACACTTAAGCTTTACATTATTGAAGATACTAAATGCGCGCGCAATCCGGTTCTTCACATTCCCGTGCGAAATACTAAAGCTAGTTCGATTGAAGTACCTCGCCATCACATACGACGGAGAACTCCCAAACTCCATTTCGCAGCTTCAGAAGCTTCAAGTTTTGATTATCCGTCGACATATATATACTAAATTATCGGAGGTTGCTTATCTACCCGTCGGTATTTGGAATTTGAAGCATTTATGGCATCTTCATTGCTTAGGACTCGACCTGCCCGAGCCTTGTAACGGCGAAATGTTCCTACATAACCTCAAAACATTGTCGGGCGTGAGCGCGCGCAGCTGTAGGAGGAGAATTCTTGCAAGATTGCCTAATCTATTGAAGTTAGGAATCCGCATTGTGTTAGGACAAGATGAAAAACAGAGCTTTGGTTTCTTAAACATTGTTGGCGACGTGCACCCTTATCTCGAGTCATTCAAATGCATCGTCTTCGGCTTCAATGGTTGCGTTGTTTTGGAGCTCCCAAGTTTTCCACGTTACAGTCGAAAGATAACATTGAGTGGATGCAAATTTCCATGGAAGTTCATGGCAGCCATTCACAACTTTTGGGATCTTAGAGTACTAAAGCTTCGATGCAATTCGTTCTGCGGACGCGTTTGGGAACCATTTCAGGGGGAACTTCCTCGGCTCGAATACCTGCTGCTCGAAGATTTGGACATGGAGGTGTGGAAGAGCTGTTCTGGTAATTTTCCGAAACTCAGGCGCATATTCATTAGACACTGCTACAAATTGCGTGAGATTCCTATTGATTTTGGGAACATCGAAAGCCTTGAGTTAATAGAGGTCGAAGATTGCCATCCATTGATCGCTACATCGGCTAAAATGATAAAGGAGAATCACCAAAAGATGTTCCGATATAAGAATCTTCAAGTTCTTATACATTCCTCATGGGAAGACAAGAAGTAGAAAGCTCAGACAGAGCTCTAGTTGGCTTACAAGATAAACAATATTTATTCGTCGTTGTCGTCTTACATATTCTTTATTATGTGAAAGGTACTCTCATGTCTGGTTTATACTTCTCAACTTGTCCTTCATTGATACTTAGTGGTTATTGTTGATTGGCAAGTGACTCTATCAATCGTCATTCAACTACTAATTTCTGGATAATTCCCTCATCCTTTTAGTTTAATGCACAATGATATCTTTCATGGATGCGGCAAGCATATTTAGCTTGATTGTCAATTCATTCGCCATTATATTGCCTAAGTCTATTCTTCTCAGCCGCTTTCAATTCGTCTCTACTCTCCCACTTTTAGCTTGAGGGGTATTAGCTATGTTATTATTAATTTATGTATTTTTATTAGTTTAGTCTAAGCCTACCTTGTATATATATTTGTGTACTCATCTATTTTGAGGTTAATACAATTTATAATTTTTTCTCAAAATTTACGTTTTCTATTTTATTTTCATTTTGTATTTTTGGATGAATATATTTTTTCAACACAAGCTCAACCGGCAATTATGTTATTCATACTATAAATAAATACCAGCACGAGTAGAACATCAACTTGGAGAATAGATTATCCCTGAGAATTCAAAATGTAGAGCACATATTTTTTCAAAAAATTAATACGATGAAGGACATCCGATCAATGAAAATTCTTCCCTCTACTTTAGTCGCTGCATTTATCGACTCCTAAGTCAGCCTGCCCAGTTGACGACGATGGTAGTGGTGGCGGCGGTTGCGCTTGCTTTCTTGCTACAAAGGCCTGTAAAACAAATTTCAATGCTTAAATGGTTATAGTCATTCATATGTATGATAACATTTCCTTGTAGGAGATAAAACTTTTATACAGTTATACATATATATATATATATATACCTCAATAGTTTGATTTATGAACTGAATACTCATGGGATAGGGTGCAGCACCAACACCGCTATTGCTTTGGTGTGCATATGCAGGCTCCTGGATTGTGATCACAAACATCAATGTAATAAAGGGGACAATATATATACATATATATATATCGCTTCGATTAAGGTGTTGATTGAGGATTTTTTCGAACACATAAAAATACTATAGATAGCATATGAAAATATAACATACAGCATATCCGAAATAAAATATTGGTATATGTTGTCAGTTCTATTTTATATGTATGTTGTAAATTTATATCTAATGTATTGTATGGTATATATTAATGTGATGTCAGCGCGGTGCTAATTGCTAATTCTATTTAATTAGTATTGTAACGGCCGCCATATATATATATATTGTTGGAAATGGAGCGTGGGAAATTAAAACAAAGAAAAAGGACAGATTGTAACCTTAGCAATTGAGAACATGGGGACTACATTCCTTGGGGATTTTAAGACATCTATATCGCGAATCGCATTTGCTACATCATTTCGATGCAATGTTTGGCTATTGTTGAAGTTAGCTTGAATCCATGCACGAACTGTCAACTCCTTGATAAATAATTCACAGGCCTTTTCAAGCATCTGTGAGGCATCGGCACTTATCAACTACTTGAGAATAATACGAATAATGTCCGGTTGAAATACCAAAAATGTTGCAAATAAAATCGAGTTCAACTAAAATTTGAGGTCTAACTTCGAATGGAACAATGAAAAACTTTATAAATTCAATCTAAGACATACCTTCACTTCCTCATTTGATTCCATTATCTTCTTAACATGACTTATTGGTAGCATCGATTGACTCATCTGCAAATCTGCAAAACAACATCCAAAATAATATAGAAATCAAATCATTCAAATTTTTTACTTATACAAATTTGGCTTTTAATAACCATTCTTGAATCTAGATTTTTGAGCAAATCTTGCTTTAATGGAATGAATTTGTGAAAGTCATTCATGTAATGTGAAAAATATGACACGAAAAATATGATCCACCTGAAGCACCGCTGATTTCAGTCAATTGATCATTCCAGAAAGCTCGAATATTTTGTCTCAATTGACTTTGAAAATTCTGCAAAATGAAGGTAACAGATAGAATGAGATATGTATATATGTATATGTATATATATTTGTGTTCCTCACTTCAATTTTCATCTATAAAAAAGGAAGGTAAGTTATACCAAACAACTCAAATAAGATCCATATGCAATTATTGAACAGTTTTTTGTCGTTGACCAGTAAACTATCGAAAAGCGACAAATGATGTTATGCCATTATTGCATTTATATCTATAGATAACAGCGGACTTTACTGAACAATGATGGATATTTTTTGTCGTCGCCCTAATGAATTTTCAGGTATCATAACATATTTGACTGTATGATGTTTTTCCTTTTTCATTCAATCTTTCTTTCCCATACTCATATTTTCCTATCACTTCATTAAAAAAATAAAATCCAAACTGGCTGTGATAGCCTTATAAATGATTAAATAACACAGATCTAAATTACTTGATCGAAATTAATTTCACAAACACACAAACCTGTTGCTGGTTGTTAGTAGGTATCCCTACCTGCTGCTGCCCCGAAGATGGCGCCATTAATGACGTATGCTGCTTTGGCTGATTGTTCTGATTCAAGTCCATCGTAAACAGGCCTTTGATGATCTTCGGATTCGAGTGGAGAGGATGAGAATGGAGAGGAAATGGAGGGTTTGTAGCTGCTGAAGAAATTGGCATTAGCTTCCACTTATATGACTATTCATTGCAGTTCAATCTTCTTTGGGATAGGTAAAAATATGTAATTAATATCTTATAATCTCTTCTTAAATCTATTATTATTATTATTCATTTGATATTATTACATTTTACTATTTTGTCATTATGAATATATGTTTATGGCTTGAATGTGAAAACTTTAGATTGTGTTATTGTTACTATTTAAATTGTTTTTGTTGCTATTCTTTACCCAATCCATGATTTTCTTGTCAAGTGAATTCTCTACATACCATCCAAAGATTTTGTCATTGTAAATGTGCATGGCTTGAATGTGAAAAGTTTAGATTGTATCTTTGTTACTATTTATATTTTTAGTGTTATTGTTACTATGCATTCTTTGCTCAATTCATGATTTTCTTTCAAGTGAATTCTCCAAATATTGTCTCATAAATTTTTATCTGTATTTTAAGTTGTGCCATAAAGAATATAAATGTTTGCAATGTTTCGATTTGTTGCATATGTTATCATAGTATATGTTTTATGACTCTTCAGAGCCACAGCTTAAGTAACAGGCCATATAAGTAGCAAAAACATTTGAAATATTTTTATTTGTTACAGATATTATGATTGAAAAATAATTTTATGTCCATTGAAGTGATCACAACATAAATGCAGCATCCTGCCCTACAAACCACGCAGAAGGGCCCGAAAAAAAAAAAAAAAAAACTCAAGCTGTTAGCTAATTCAAATAGCTGGTTTGACTAGCTAATTTAATTAGCAGTTTGGGTGCTTTTCAGAAATTAACTTTTTTGGTAAAAAGCTGTTTCAAAAAGTTAATTTACCAAACACCTAAATTAGCTTTTTAACTGGTCAAACAGCTAACTGTTCAATAAACTAAAAGCTCTTCGAAACGCTGTTTTGCCTCTCAAAATCTGGGCAAATTGTCTTAGGGTCAATAACATATAAAGGAGTCAGCAATGTTTGTTTCTCGAAAAAAAAATCAGTAGCAGAAACAACAAACAGAGAATCATGAAAATGAAGATTCAGATGTTCAAAAGGGGATTTACAAGGGATAAGAAAGAAACTCCTCATCATCAATAAATCTAAGGGAAATAAAACCAAAAAAAAAAAAAAAAAAAAAAACAGGAAGAAACTAAATAGCAAGAAAGTAATCAATTTACCTACCTGCACAAGGCATAGGATCTGAACACTGTAGCTACATACGTACATAATATATATATATATATAATTATATATGCAGCTTCCTGAGTTAGTATTCTATGTATTGGACTGGTGGAGGATTCGTCTGTGTCTTCCAAGGACCTGCATAACAGAGCGGATATGAAGACAATGTCCTGACTTAAATGGACTAAATATTTTGACCTAGTCTCATGTCTCATGTCTCAAGACAGCAATTGTTCATGTTTGCGGCTTCAGGGCAGCAGATTGTTACCTTTAACTTCCCGGTTCTCAATTTCTCGCCATTCTTGGACAAGGGCACAGCAGCAGCACATTAGATGGGAGAGAAAATCATCAATAAACCCACCCTGCAGTGATGTCAAAACTTTAGTGACATTCTATACATTCTGTCTTGTTTGGTTCCTGGAACTTGTTGCCAGAATACAGATAATGACATGAATAGAAATTACCGGTATGTTGAAAATTTTCCGGAGCTTTCTTCTGATACAACAAGTGTAGCAGCAACACGACAGTATTAAGGAATAAGCCATCAGTTCATTACAGGCCTCCCCAGGAGCTGCAAGCAAGAAGCATCACATTTGCATATATAAGGATTTCTAACCATGCAAGGCTGCTGACAAAAGAAATCCGGTTTACATGAAAGAAGCAAACTATAAATCCATTTCTCAAATCAGTTTTTATTCCATCAGTATCTCAATTCAAACATGGGTTTGATTCACAATCCATGTTCTGGGATATATTTACCATCCGAAAAGAGGAGAAAAGGGAGCCTTTGCATAAAGAAATATGTTGAGAAAGGGGCAGATGTGTAGAACCTTTCGACGAGATAGTGTATTTTCAACTCTATCAATATGGAATCGATTCCAAACATAGCTATATCTTTCATTATGAAGAGGAAAACTGAGATCTGATATAATAATCTTAGACTAGTTTGTTTGGACTTCAAAAGATTACTCACTTTATAAATTAGTTACTTTGTAGTTTTTTCTCCTAACTTGTATCAAATCCATAAAGGTGTGGATTCTTATCCTGGAGGAATGTTTACTTGAATATCTAAACTTGTTATAAATAAATCATTTTATGAATTATTTAACCCTAGTCTGATAGGAATACGATGAAGTAATCCTAATATTAGCCCTAAGGAATGTCACTGGTGTACCAGGAAACAACAAACAACTAATGCATTTAATACCAACAACAAACCACAATCATACTCATCTGCTTCAATTTTCAGATAGATGTATTTAACACTTCCTCTCCAAGTTACAGATGTTATTTCATTGTTCCATAGTTTCCTCTCAGTTTGATTTGCTTTTGTTTCTGTTGTAACACATAAAGCTCTTGGAAGATCCAAATTTGGGATATTAAAAGAAGTAATTAACTTGTAAGAACGTGAAGAAAGAGAGAGGGAAAGAGGGTAAGGGTGAGTGGGCTAGAGTTCAGAGGGAAATTTAAGGATTTTATTCATCAACTAAGACATTTGGTGACAAACATAATTCGTATAATTTAAGATCTTAGATACATAAGAGTTAACAATTCAGCTGCTACTTGTAGCACTGAAGATTCAGTTATTGAAGATAGATGACAACTTACAGATGTATCTATTCTTTGCCACTGAGGCGATTCTGGAAAATGTGGTGCACGGGCAAAACAACGTTTTAACACCTGCGAAACGCAAAAGGTGCTGAGTATACAAGCAGGTTGATTAATAAGCAACAGAAATACTAAAAGAATACAAGTGGCACTTTAATCTTCAAAATATACTTTCTTATTGCATTACAAAGAATAAAGGAACTTGAAAAGTAAAAACTAAAGCGAAAGAAGAAAGATAAGCTGTTTTATAGCATGGCTGCAGGGAACATGTTCTTACCATTCCAGTATCAACTTTACAATTTAAATCTACCTAGATGCACACGATCATGTACATATTGGTTTTTTTCTGATAGATGACACATGATATATGATGTTCCCTCTTTCTTATTTTTAACTTGCCAAAAGGTGCATTTTGGTCATTTAACAATTATGCAAAGCAGAATTGACCTCATTTTAATAAGTCATATAATAGAACTTAATATGACAAAAGCAAATTTTGAGGTATGATGGCATTTCAATAGGTAGCATTTTGGACATTCATAATGCATCCTTTTTCATGTGCATAGGCACACTGCTCTCCCAAAAGCATATTGTAAAACACACTTTACTCAATTGATTAGAAATATTAGTTCTCAACTATGCCATTCAATCCCTTTATTAAGCGAACGCAATCATAGGCTAACAGTATTGGCCCTCCCATCCAAACCCCATAAGCTATAACTTAGTGCCAATTATGTAATATATACAAGTCTGTCCAAAAAAAGATAAGAAGCTGCTTTTGGCCAAGGAAACAATCACTCTAATATCATTTGCAACAGCCAAGTAGACGAACAAGTAAACTTGAAGGGATGGATATGTTGTTACATACACAGAAGTGGTTCAGAACAGCAGCCTAGTAAATCCGAATGCCATTCCTCATGCGAAACTTGAGTTGATAGTGATGATTTGTTCCTGTAGAGAGAAAAAAATGTATATGTAAGAAGTTAACGAACAATTATGTCTACATAACCTAATGAAAAAGTAAATGAAAAAGCAGAAAAGGTAAACCCCAAAGCTTCCTGTTTCTCAGTGCTTTGATCATAGTTTTCAGCATGGTAGCCTTCTTCATCTTTTATGTCTTTAGAAGCCTGGTCCACCTTGGATTCTTTAGTTAGTGAGCCTTTTTCTAGCACAGAGCTTGCTGCAACAGCTTCTGTTACTTCAAGCAGATGATGAATCACTTCACACTGCCGAACATCCAGATTAGCTTGAGAATGTTTCAGTTCTTGTTGAAGTTTCTCACGCTCCTTTTTTAAGGCCTCTTTAATAGGCATATTTGGGTAGGAACACGAAAGGTTTTTTGTTAAAACAATGGTGTCATGTTTTGAGGGCTCCCGCTTCATTATCACATCTTGCACCTTCTTGTCTTCATTATCCAGTGTATACTCATATTTATCCATTTCAATCATGTCAAGCCGTTGCTGACATTATAAGAAAGAAAGTAAATTTAAACTTCATAGAACCAGCGTATAAATGAAGTAACATAACTAGCATCAGCCTGTGCAGATACTATGGTTATGGTGTGCAGAAGCCCATACATAAACATAACAAAAGTTTGCCCATATCATTTATATCTGTCTTAAGAGTAATTCAAGCAACTAGAGCTTTACAGTCTCTCTGGATAAAGAACTGAGATACTGTCAATAAAACTTTTCTTTTCTAATCAACTCAAGCTATATTAAATATATACAATCTCTCAATAGTTTTCTCTAGTTCACAACATGTTATCGAATAGTGATCATTTGTTAAAGTTTTCCAACAAATTTCAATGCTGTCAAGGCAAAGGAAGCTTCACAACAATAGATAAAGCTATGATTTGGATAACAGAAACATACAAACATCTTAATTGGTGTTCCCATAAATAAACTCATTGACTATCAATTGAATTTCTTCATAGATCTAGATGCATTTTTGCTGCCTTCACACTATTGCTTGCTAGTAAGTGAACTCTGGCCCAATAAAAAATTTGAGAAACTAGGTGCCTCTGTAAACATCATAACAACCACTTCGAAAAATTCCCGCTATTCAACCGATATCTTAACTGCATCTAGATGCCATGTATATCACGGTTACACTCGCGAAGTAGTAAATTCATAAAGACCTTCAAAGCAAAATAATGTAGATTGCCATTAAAAATATACACTACATACCCCAAGGTAGCAAGCTAGGAACTGACCATATAATATTTAAAAAAACATCCATAAACCACAAAATTTGGATTCACCGAACACATCAAGTACACGCTATTTTTCGCTGGTTACGTCAAATTTCATATAAAAAAGCCATCATTACATTTGCAATACAGAATAAAGCTAGAAACAAAGAAAAAGCTAAGTTTAACTGCATTTACATACTATTGACTAAAATCTGAGTGGATTAAAAAGCTATAAAGAAAGGAAAAGCAAAGTTTAACTTCATTTACATACTATTGACTAAAATCTGAATGAATTAAAAGCTATAAAGAAAGGAAAAGTAAAGTTTAACTGCATTTACATGCTATTGACTAAAATCTTAATGGGAATTGTCAATTAACAAGAGGAAACCCTTACCCTGACACGAGTGTTGTCAACAAGTGCAATCAGAGGTATAATCTTCAAATATCGATCAATCTCATCCTGAGCCCTCCTGAACTGATATACAATGTTCCATCCCATTGCAAGCAGATAGAAATAACTCCTATCCCTGCAACTATTAACCAAAATGTAGGACCTTCTCAACGCATCCTCAAGCTGTTCCAACGGCTCCCGAGTTTCTGGATACTTTTTCAGCTCAGAAATCTTGAGTGATTCCAAGAGATTCCCTATAAGCTTTAGATGCTGCGCAAACTGCATGCAGTTTTGCTTGTGCATTCGGGCTGTGTTTGCCGCCTTCACTATCATGGCAATCAATCTAACAGCATCAAGACCAGCCAGTTGGGCCACATTGGCTATTTGCCCAAAATGCTCCCATGAAGACATTATCAGATCCTTACAATAATTTCTGAAATTTCACAAAAGGAACATAAATCCTTCAGCGTGAAAATTCACGCCGCGGTTAAATCTTCACAATAAATTCCTCAATTCCAAAACAAGGAAGAAATTCAAGCAATTGTTTCTAAAATCTAATCCAGATCAGGAATAAGATGCTCAAAAGAAGGAGAATAAACAGTCATACCATTACCAGTAACCCCCAAACATTTATCCTGATTCTCTCAAAAGAAATAAATAAAAAATAATATTAATCCCCGAATAAACAAACGCAAACCAATAAATCACCTCCGAAATTCGAAGCGCCACCGATACCTCCGAGAAACTTTACACGAAAATTTCCAGACAGAATCTCTTCACTTGCACAGCAAGAACAAATCCGCACAGTTCACGAATACGGTTGAGCATTGCGAATCAAGGAATCCTGCAAGGCACCAGGATTAACGCATATCCTGTGAACACTACACAGAATCCAGCAGCGTGTCAGTGAGAGTAAAAAGCAGCACAGAAGTGGGCCTAAAATGGAGACCAAATGCAGAATGCCTCCTCCTCCTCCTCCTCCACTCAACATGTGGCGTCAGCAAATATGTGCAGCAGCATACGGTGGCAGCGTCGTAGGCATCCGAGAGTCACTGCATCGGTCTGAGTGGTGGGCGGAGAATCGGGCGACTCGGTGACGCTGTCGCTCAAACATACGCCACGTCAGCTTCTAGAACCTCGGTACTTTTGCAATTGCCGCTGACTCTAGCAGCATTATTAGGGTTTGAACGTCAAACTTAGTAAAAGGGCAGAATAGTAATTTAATATCGTGAATATGGCTGGGTGCATTTGGTCACGAGTCGTTACTACTTACTAGGGACTTTTCATGTTTGAATTATAACGGAATATGTATTTTGATTAAAAATTAAATTTGAAATTATTTTAATATATTTTTTTGAAATGTATTTATTTATAACATTTTATTCATATTTATCTGATAAATAAATATATATATTCATATATCATTTTTTAAAATACTTCAAATAAAATTTTAATTTATTTTAATTTATATATATTAACGTATATAATCATATAATATTTTGTTAATTATTTAAACAATATCCTAAATTTGCACTTTCAACTGTCTGTCTCAATTTGCACGGAACATGTTCAAAAATGTATATTTTAATTTTTAAAATGATTGTTTTATTACATAATTTTCAATATGACTTGTATATTTAATTTTATGTATAAGAGCATATCATACTACTCTCTGTACATTTAAAAGAAAATATCTGGTAATTGAGTTCAGTCGAAATTTATTCAAAACGTATTTAAAAATAATGAATTCTCATATTATATAGAAAAAAATATATGTATTTGGTTATGTAGGTTAAATAACGAATTCTCATATTATATAGAAAAAAATATATGTATTTGGTTATGTAGTATAGATGGTGGACTCGTGATCTCAGATCCACCTGCCACACATAGTTTTAAAATATATTTTCCCAGATAAAATAGTGTAAAGAATACAAAATAGAAAGAAGTCAATTGTATGTTTTGACTTAGTAAATTTGTAAAAATAAAAAAGAAAAATGTCATAACAAATAAAAATTGAAAAGTTTCAATTTTATGGGAAGGATAGAGTATATAATCCCTCTGATTGTCAGGGATATGATATTTTAAATAGTGTATATGAAATAATAATAATAATAAATTATAATACTCCCTCTGTGGTTTACATTTACTTTTTGCATGTTGCTTTTTAAACATTAATTATTATATCAAAATATAGTATAAATTAAGTAAACAAGACAAAAATACTTTTATTAATGTATTATAATACAAATATAATGATATTTGTATACAAACTTATACAAATACAATGATATTTTTAATGTTAAGTACAATGACCCAAAAGTAAATGTAAACTTTCAAAGCGGACGGAGAGAGTATTATTTTGTTATTTTTTATATGAATAATATTATTGATATTTTAAATATTTATAAAACTATATCTCAATAAAATATATATATAATATTGAATATAATTTTGTAAAATATAAATAAAAAATAATATATTTTTTATTTATAGTTAATTATTTTATAAAAATTTAAAAAATTAAATATAAATAAAAATATTAATTTATTAAAGAAAAATAAAAATAAAAAATATTTGAATGAATTATATTATAAATTTAATTTAATTAATTTATATTTTATTAAATATATTTAGGGTGTGTTTGTTTGGGGTTTGGATTTTAAGTTGAGATTTGAACAATAAAAGTTTTGAATTTGAATAGTTATATGATGTGATATAAATAGGTGTTATTGATGTTTTGAATGTAAAATTAATTTTTAGAATAATATAAAAAATAAAAAATAAGCGTTTGATTTAATATTATTTTGAAAAAAAATAAAATAAATAGTATAAATCCAATCAAATCCCCCAAACAAACACATTCTAATAAGATAAGTCACAAACAAAACAAAAGTAAAAATAAATAAATTGATAGTTTATTCTATAACTGAGTCTGTAATATAGCAGAGTGTAAATTTTTTTTGTAATTTAAGTCTTCCATTTTTTATTTTTTATTTTCAAATATTTTTGAAATTTTTTAATTTTTTAGAAAAAAATACTAAATTTATAATAAATATAATTAGTAGATAATTAAAAAAATATTAGTAAAAATAATTAATATATAATATAAATTATTATAAATTAAGATTAAAATAACTAATTAGTTAAAATTAAAAAAATTTAAAATAAAATTAAGATGGATAATCATTTTAAGAAAAAAAAAAAAGTGATACGAGATTGGAGGAAGAAAAATGACAATATAGATATAATAAATAAAACAGAAGAAATAATAAATAATTAATTTAAAAAAATAATAAAAAAAAAAAAATCAACATACTTGCAGAGTGCCACGTAAATATTTGGGGCGCCGAAATATTAAAAATGCAAAATTTTCAACTAAAATATCAGTTTATAAAAAATAGAATAAAAAACATTTACAAGAATTTGACTTGACATCCAAAACTAAGACCACCAGGAACAAACACGGCCGCAATTGCCGTATCAGCACCGCCCAACGAAGAAGCGCGATTGGTTGGCAGCAAATGGTGGGGCCCGCAACCGCCGCTGATTGCGGGGATTATTGCAAAAAGTTACAGAAAAAACAAAAACAAACACGTAATAGCAGCAGCAGCAGCACCTCTCCTCTCCATCAATCAATTAATCAATCCATCCATGTCCGACTGACTGTCCTTCTCTTACCCTTCCCCTTCCCCTTCCCTTCCGCACTTCACATGATCCGCAATTTCAATTTTCCTTTCCCTTGTTGACTCTCCTGCTTCTGCTTCGCTTTGTCGCTACCCTTTTCCATTCCTCTTTTCCCTTTTCCTTTCCACCAACAACCAAACCCCCATGGACTGGGAGAAGCAACCACCGCAGCAGGCGGCGGAGGAGCCGCCGACCGGCGGAGGAGGAGGAGGAGGAGGAATGTTTGTCAAGGTAATGACGGACGAGCAGATGGAGGTCCTCCGCAAGCAGATAGCTGTGTACGCCACCATCTGCGAGCAGCTCGTCGAGCTCCACAAGTCGCTCACCTCGCAGAACGATCTCGCTGGTATGTAACATCATTGATTCCAAATCTTCATCACCATAATGCCTTCAATTCATGTCTCTTCTTCTCCTTCCGTTTTTTTTTTTTTTTGTTGTTTTGCGCGCTCTCCTAATCAATGCGGTACCTTCGAATCAAGGTATTTGCGGTGTCTCTCCTCCATTGATACATAAAGCTGTTGAAGCTGAGGTGTGCCCTAATTTATATCAATTCGATTTTCTCCTGCTTTAGATGAACTAGATTAGAACAACACTACGAATAATTAGGCTAAACTGTCAAGAACAAATACTGATTCAATGCAGCAACTGTGATCAAAGCATTGTAGATAATCATCATCTCTTGAGCCTTTGTAATACTCTCTTTTACTTGCTCTTTTGCCTCTCCCAAACATTTCTCACATTCCTCAGACCTGCAATGCTAAACTGTAGAGATGACATTTTTGCAACAAACAATTGTAAGGCTCAATGACAAGTATTCCTGTTTGTTGTGTTGGGTAAAATTTTCGACATGAATAATGCTGTTTCAGTGAGGGCAAGATGTTCCATTTCTTGCCTTCCTGCTCCATCGATCTTCATCGGCCAATCGTATTGTATGCCTAGATAATGAATATGGATCCAGTTCTGTTGCTAATCTTAGGTAATTTATGTTTTCTTCACCAGGAGTGAGGTTGGGGAATCTCTACTGCGACCCCTTGATAACGTCGGGTGCCCATAAAATCACTGGAAGACAGCGCTGGACACCGACGCCTATGCAGCTGCAGATTCTAGAGCGGATATTTGATCAAGGCATCGGAACGCCAAGCAAGCAGAAGATCAAAGAAATAACTGCGGAGCTGTCTCAGCATGGTCAGATTTCTGAAACGAATGTTTATAACTGGTTTCAGAACAGACGTGCTAGATCAAAACGGAAGCAACAGGCTACGACGGCAAACAATGCTGAACTAGAGGTGGAGACGGAGGTGGAGTCGCCCAATGAAAAGAAAACTAAGCCAGAGGAATTTCAACCGCAGCACGGCCTGAGCTCGAGGTCTGACGATCTCTGTTTTCAGAACCCTCAATCCAGTTCTGCAATGCATTCGGTCGATCCACGTACCAGCAAACCCGAGCCTTTGTTGCATTCTGATGGAAACTCAAAGTTTGGTGGCAGTGGCTTTGGGCAAATACCTTTCTATGGGAGCATGTTGTCGAATCCAAGTGCGTATTTCTTTCCCAGTATTGTAGCTTTCGTTCACTTGACTTTGAATTATTACAATGACACCATTTTCAGTAGGATGTTAGAAACACAACGACGTTAGTGCATTAAAGAACTTGAATCTTTTGAGAGCTTCCTTGTGAGACTTATTAGCATCTGCTATGAATGCAGGAATGGACCAGTTCAAGATTGAAGTTCCCGGGAACTACAATCCTTATCTGGAACAGGATGAGTACAATATGGATGGATAATTACGGGTTTCTTGATTTCTGGTATGCGTGTTTTCCCCAAAATTCCATTTTCAGCTGACGAGTCAAGTGGCAGCATTTCTACTGTCAGTTCGCAACTAACACGGATCTTGGAAATGTCCAGTACTTTGCGTTAAGATGAGACTACTCCGCTAACGGCTGGTTTGCACACAAAATTAGTATGCAACTATACGTTCAAAAACCCGTTTTCTTGCTGTATACTTCCTACCTATCCCTAAATTTAGAGTATTACTAGTGTCCTTATCTGCTAGCATTTTGTTTTCGGAGTCGTGTTCTGTGTGTTTGGACAACTACAGATTATATGATATTAGAATGTTCTTGGGAATTTGAGGAAGGCTATAATCAGATGCTAAACAGCTAACACTAGAAAGTGTGTTCATTTGTGCGACAAAAAACTGCTGAGGAAACTGCAGGATACCTTTGTAATTTCTACTACTATAGTTGGCTTTGCTTGTGGTGTTATAATGGATTTTTGATATGTTGTTTCGTTAATGAAATGATTCGTAGGTCTATGTTCAGACACCCTTGAAACCCGCTTGATTGCGAACCTTGATAATATTGTTTATCTTGAGCACTGATGATTTGTTCTATACTATTGTATGTCAAATACAATTGAAAGCATGCTTCGAAAAATTGAATGATAATGACATAATACTACCAAAAATGGTGATGCTGAAAGATTGTAGCTTGATTTTGTTGTTGCATGTCTCGCTATTGATTATTTGTGTACCTTTTTCACCGGGATTTAAGTAGTTACGACAAGATCCACATGAAAATGGTAGACCAGGTGGTGAGGGCGACGGCTGCCACCAGGTATGTCCAAAGAAAGAGAACTGAGCACTCGTCTTGGGCGACATTGAACAGCTGTGTCATTGTGCCTATGCACATTGTCGTCATCAATGTTAATCCTTCTGCGATAGAGAAGTCTATATGTGTATAATCTGTATGCATTCAAAATGTATGTATCGTACCGATATTCATTGCAGGTGGAACGGTGAACTGAATCATGAGCACAAAGTTGTAGAGCGGATCCGGTGGGAGGAACCCTAGCAGTGAAGCTGCTTGCACAACACCAACCCCGACTGCAGGAAGTATTACGAACTTTACACAGATTACTGCCATTATTATTGTTGATCTCAGTTTTGCCTCGCGTAGTCCTGCATTAACCGTAGGTGTTACATCAGCAGATCGTCTTTCTTGACTAGAAGAAGAAGAAGAAGAAGAAATACCTTGTGTTAAGTTGCCTCCCAGTATGAGAGTGATGCAAGGAATGGTTCCATCTCTGCAAAATGTAAGACGTGTTAAGAATTCATCCATGGTGAGATAGGTTCTTGCTACCTTGGCCTACCCGAGTAGTTTGATGGAATCATCGATCACTCTTAGAGGTGCGCTTTCGCCGATAATAAGGTCACGGAGCCAGGAAACAGATCCGAATATGAGTCCTGCAATCTGTCTGGAAAAATCAAGTTGCAAGTCTTGAAGAAGAGCTGCATAAACAAGTAGAAAGTGAACTCGAAGGTAACTCACTGTAGCGACTACGGGAGGCGCCAGCAGCTCCTCTCCAAGTCGACAAAGAATTCCCTTGATTTGAACGCACATTGTTGAATTATCCCTCTTCTGTTTCATGAGATCAGTCGAAAACATTTTAGAGGATACATATCTAGGGGCTGTATTTGTATACAGTTTGACGTATTCGACTGCTCACCTCTCTTCCGTCGAGAAGGGATGACTTCTCGCTTGCCTCTAAGTCGATGTTGGGCTTTGGATCCTCTGCAGAGTTGATAGCAGCAGGAGATGCTCTTTGCGAAGTTTGTATTAAGTGGTATGTATACGTCCATACATAGAAGGCCCCAACCTGTTCGCCCACCCGACTGTCGACCTGTGAGTTCTTGCCATTGCAATTCGATACATACATGCATGATAGAGCTGAAATATTAGCTCACCGCCATCGAAAATGAAACATAGGAAAGGCCAATGCGGGAGCAGACATTCTTGTCCCCAAATGGGCTGCTGTCCTCCTTGCAGATCGCCGGGATGACTATCAACAGAATGTTGCCCAAGTTTCCTGTTACATTGTCAAAATGAAGAACGAAAGATCGGTTGGTTTAATGAAGGATGTAATGAAGTGTGGATATCCATTGCTTGTTTCTTTTGTTCATTTCATCACCTGAAGAACACATCGCCACGACGAGTCCTTGTAGATGAGGTTCAGGCCTAAGAAGTTTAACTACGATCCATCCGAGAGTTCCCCCGACGAGAAAAGTTATCCCAACATTCACCGGCATGAACCACCATGAGATGATGTCTTGTAGGTTTACGGTCCTCACAAGACTCGCGAACACCAGCGATGGAGTAAACACCACAAACACAATCTACATTACATACATACATTGGATCTATCAACTATTAGTCAGTCCATCTTCATCTAAAAGTTAGCAAACTGCTTACTCTGTTCAATGAACGGCGAGCTTCCGTTGGAAGAAGTTTGGAGTATTCGGTTGCCATGACTGCTCCTAATAAGCTTATTATGAGCACTTGCAGCGTCGGCATTGAAGCCACCTTCAACAGCGACAAAAATCCCATAGTTTCACCTCCTTTAATTTGTTGTACCAAAAAGCTATCCTCCTTTTAAGAAGCCTCCAATCTGTGCTCAATCCAAGTTAGCTGAGAAGTTCTCTGTCACGATTCATGAATAAAATAAACATTCAACAACAAATAGAGATAGTTTATGTGAAACGATTGTATGTTAAACTTTTGCAAGGGAATGAATGAAATCGATGTTAAACAGTTTCCGATAACGAAATAAAAAAACACACAAAACAGATTGATTTCCTTCGATGCGATGAACATACATAAATGGAGAGTCGAGATGAATGATTCGTATTCTACTTAGAAATAGAAAGCTTTATAAGCAACAATGGCGACGCAATTAATAGACGCGCACCTGCGATTCGAGTCAATCATTGGAGAAGAATGCATTGACATGTATTGATTGTACAACTCTATCGATTGATTTTGTAGAAAGTAGGAATTGGATTGATCGAAGATAATCTGTTATAGATTGCGCGACAGAGAATTTTTTTTCTGAGGAGAAGGTTGTGGTAAAGAAGAAAGGAAAACAAGGTTACGTAAGGGTGTGTCGAATGTGCTTTCGCTCAAGCCCCGTCCCTCCCGCCTCTACTCAAATATTTTCTCACTAATAAAATTTCAATTTAAATTTACTGCTTTCAAATTATTATTATTATTAATTATTATCAGCAGCAGCAGCAGCAGCAATTATTATTATTATTATTGTTATTATTTATTTATTTTTGTTGTTTAATTTCAATTTTTTTTTTTTCATTTTTAGTCCATGTGAAATTTGTATATAAATTGTGTTATGTTAATTTACGTCTCTCCTTACCTTAACAATTTATTCATTTAAAAAGAATCTATTACTTTTGTAGTAACTGTAATATCTATTTACATTAGAAATATCTTTTCAATTTGCAATATATTAGAAAAATATAATACTAATCTCATTACCATAGTTTTTTTACTTTTATTTTTAATCCGTACAAAAATAAATGAATCGAAAGATATAAGACGGAAGGAATATATTCTTTTAAAAAAAAATTAATATATATTATATAAACAATTCTTTATGTTTTACGTCAAAATTTTTTTTCAAACTTAAGACAAAAAAACAAACACATCTTAGATAATATATACAAGATAATTTTACAATAAATAATATAATTTCACACCACATATTTAAAAGTTCAAATGTACATATTACGTATATAAAATACACAACTATCTTTTCATCCTATTGACTATTGTGGTCGGTCAAATAAGCATTACTGCAATACAACATAGATTAACTTTTAAAATGGTGTGCAATTTATTGTATGATATATATATATACCCAAAATCAAATGCAGCCTGGATCCGCGTGTTACTTACCATGGGAATCTTTTAATAATTATACTTTATAAATACATAAATTAGTTACTCATTTAATTATAATAAATCATAGAAATTGTTTGCCTAATTTGGGTTGGCATTCATTCCATTAGAGATTGTTGGAGTTGTTCAATTAAAATTCTTCACTACTCGTTAGGTACACAAATATAGTTCATTTTATTTTTCACGTTAAATCAAAATCAATCACTAGTAGAAACATCAACTTATAATACCTGATTGTGTGGCCTATACTTGATTTTAGAAATAATAAAGAAGGGTGCTCTTCGGGTGTGGAAGATGGTTTTGGCGACCTCAATTTGGAGCATACGAATATCTCGTAATAGGCTGATCTAAAGGCGTTGGGATTTAAACCCATGATCTCTCGGTCACAAGTTCATTCTCGTCACTGCTAGGACATACCTTATATCTATAAGAAATGAGATAAATAAAATCAAGCACCGAATTAAAGTTCTTTGGGATCCACCGGAAGATGGAGGTTGGAAAATTAATACCGATAGATTAGCTTTTGATAGTTTAGGTAACACCGAGGTTAGAGCGTTCATTCGAGATTTTAATGGGGATATTTTTTTTAGACTTTCAAAAAACATATTCTTTCCGTTACTTTTGAAATGGTTCTTTTTTGAAAATTTTGTAGTAAATTAAAAAATAAATAATAGTATTTTATTTTTAGCTGAAGTGTGTAAAAGATTTGATATTTTTGTCCTTTTGTTTTTTTGTATAAAGTAATTATATGTGTAATTGTATATTTTTAATTTAAGTAAAATTTAAGGTATTTCAATATTAGTGTATAATTATTTTTTTCAAAATAGAAAAGAAGTATTTTGAAATGTGGTATATAAAAATAATTTGAATTAAGACAAAAGTAATATAAATGTTATCCCGTAATGAATGATATGACAATGTTAGAATAAATTTGTGACCGTGACATCGTGAATTCAAATTCGAACACTTTCAATTTTGTTGATTAGACGAAAAAAATATTTTTTCTGTCTCAAATTAATAATTTTATTTTACTATTTTCATTCGTTCTAAACCAATAATCTTATTTTCATTTTTTTTCAAACCTATTCTCATTTTTTCACAGTAAGAATATTTAATTTTCTAAAAACATTTTATATCCATTATAAATATAATATTATTGTTTTTTTAATTTCCCTCGACTATTCTTGCAAAGGCGGGCAAAGAACGTGCAAAATGGGTGACAGGCAGCCGTACACGTGTCAGCAATTGGAAGAGGGTAAAGGAATAGGTGTTGGGTTTCAACGGCGGGCACCCTTCTCTTCTATCCTACGACCATTCTTCACCTCTTCTTCCCCAACCTGCTCTCTCTCTCTCTCTCTCTCTCTCTTCTCTCCCTCCTCCCTCCTCCCTCCTCTTTATTATATATTCTTCTCTACTAGATTCTTCCTTCCGTTTCGCATTTCCTCATGAGCTCTTTCATAATAGCATTTGGGCTGCTGCGTGAACAGTGCGGTTGATTCAGTTACATGGCTGCGGGCTCGGACACCACGTCCAATCAATGTCAGTTAGAAAATGGATTATGCAACGACACCGACAAGGGGGGATCGGGCACCGACAAGGACGTTGCCGATGAATCTGACGATTCCGCCAAAGCTAAAATGGCGAAGCCTCCGTTGATGCGCCATTGCATTAGCCAAGCAACTTTGGCAGATACGTTTCCCTTTCCCTTGGTGAGTTCTCGCTAATGTTTATTCTATATCGCCTCTGTTTCTATTTTGTGCGATTTTGAATTTCTTGATGTTTCCTTTGCTTGAATGATTGCTCTGCCTTCCGATTATCGTCATTTTGCATCAGAATTGTGCGCAGATTCTGATCCATAGGCGGATCTATGGTGGAAGAATCATTGTTAAGCATTCTTAACAACAATAAAACTAAAGAACGAAAAGAAAACTAAAACTAAAACATGAGCAAAGACACCCTAATCTACTGTAAATATTAAAAAGATGTTTAGAATTGGATTGACTTTTCATCCTGCGTTATTCCACGTTGTTTGATGTGTCTAGGAATCGACTACTGGCATAGCGGCAAAAACATCATGCAAGGATTTTGGATATGTACCTGTTTTTCGATCGGGAAGCTGCTCTGAGATTGGACCAAAGACATATATGGAGGATGAGTTCATTTGTGTGGATAATCTTTCCGAACATCTTGGTACAGCTAAAGATTTCCCTTCTCCTGGAGCATTTTATGGGGTCGGTAACTTTTTCTTTACTTAATGTTACTTAAATTAAGAATTCCACAACTCATCCTTGAGGCCTAATTTATGTGTAAGATGAAATTGTTTGCGCTATTTTGTACATTTTGTAAGACTAGTTCATACTCACTTTCAGGTGTTTGATGGTCATGGTGGCAGAGATGCTGCATCCTTCACTAAAAAGAATCTTCTTAAGTTTATTGTTGAGGATTTGCATTTTCCGGATGGGGTGAAAAGAGCAGTTAGGAATGCTTTTGTGAAGGTCGATCATGCACTGGCTGATTCCAAACATCTTGATCTTTCTTCTGGCACAACTGCTCTGACTGCTCTTGTGTTGGAAAGGTAAGAATAATTTAGTTTTGAGTTATTGACATACAGCTTTTATATATTGAATATGCCCTTGTTTCATTTGATCGGCGCTATAAATTTCTAGATTCATATTTCCAGAATTTTAGGTTTACTTGGACATTGGATTTGGCAGTAGATGTCATTGTTAAAAATTATGATTTATTGCCTTGTGTATAATTTACATGTAGAAAATTTATATTTTGATAGCATTGTTACGTTAGTTCATATGCTAGAATCTTAATTCTGTTTCCATATTTATCGATGTATGCTATACCCAAGAAACTTAGCATTGCATTTTATTAGTTTGTTTGGATAAGTGTACTTCAATTCCAATCTGCACTAATGTGAAGTTAATGTTTTTTGTGTCTTAAGTCTTATCGATAAATTGAATTCTTGGCCTTTGCTCCCTGTTTCGAGCACCCAAATCTCTGTGTTCGTCCACAATGAAAAACCTAGTGCAGTAAGCATAAATCAAACATGATGCAACAACATACATGAGAAAGGTGCATTAGCATAAGTCACCAGAGTCGAACCGAAGAAACAGGGAGCAAAGGCCAAGAATTCAATTTATTGATAAGACTTAAGACACAAAAAACATTAACTTCACATTAGTGCAGATTGGAATTGAAGTACACTCATCCAAACAAACTAATAAAATGCAATGTTCATTCATTGTAACCACTTCTAAAATCTGTTTTTTTTTTTTTACATGTGGCAGGACCCTTCTAATTGCTAATGCTGGGGATTCCCGAGCGGTGCTTGGCAAAAGAGGAAGGGCAATAGAATTATCAAAAGACCACAAACCAAACTGTACATCCGAAAAACTTAGGATAGAAAAGTTAGGAGGCGTTATCTACGATGGCTATCTCAACGGACAGCTCTCAGTGGCACGTTCGCTGGGTGATTGGCACATTAAGGGTTCAAAAGGGTCGAAATGTCCCCTAAGCGCAGAGCCCGAACTAGAAGAGATAGTCCTGTCAGAAGAAGACGAGTTCTTGATAATTGGGTGTGACGGCCTGTGGGATGTGATGAGCAGCCAATACGCAGTGACAATTGTAAGGAAAGAACTAATGAAGCACAATGATCCTTATAACTGCTCGAGGGAGCTTGTCAGGGAGGCACTGAGGCGTAACACGTGCGACAATCTAACTGTTTTGGTTGTCTGTTTCTCACAGGAACCTCCCCCTCAAATCGAGGTTCCAAAAATGCATAAGAGGAGGAGCATTTCTGCCGAAGGACTGGATGTTCTAAAAGGCATACTGAATAATGTTTAAGCCGGGACCGCAAAAAACACAAAGGCAAGGCATGAGTTTCAGACAATGGATGTGTTGTAAAAATTTAATGTTGGCCTAGGACCATGTAATTGATATCGGGATCACAGGAAAACTGGCCGACGACGACAAGGGAAGGTAAAGAAATGGTGTCGAAGGGGCGGCATTTTACGCAGCGGCGGCGGCGACGAAAATGAAAAATATTGAAGAATTTTAGTAGGAGCAGTGAGTGAGAATTTTGGTAAGTTCAGGTTTGTTGTTAATTTTAATTAGTTAGAGGCTGTGTTGAAAATTTGAAAGGCATATATGTATGTATGTGGTTGGTGATTCTTTATTGGCAACATTGTTAGGAATGACCACAATAAGAATGGCTTTTTGTTTCTTTGTTTCTTGTATTTTTAGTGACCAGCCATTGGTCTGATCTGATATAAATAGTAGTTTAATATGATATTTTTTAAGAAAAATAATGTATTTTTATCGAAAATTTGAACATGCTTCTTTTAAGCTAGCTTAAAATTAATGGTTTGTGGAATATAAATATTGTGGAACATATCACCGGTTGTCCATTTAACATTTATACTATTTTTATCAAGAAAAATAAGATATATATATCCATTTTTAAAATGAAAGTTACATTATTTTTTACAGAATATCAAAATGATCACAATTTTAATAGTAATTTCATAATTTTTTTTCAATATATTTACAATTTTCAAGGATTAAATAAAAAAAATGCCAATAATTTGTAAACAAGAGGGTTTAGAGTTTAGTTTTGTATTTTGATTTTAGATTTCTGTGTAAACAACTTAGATAAAAATATTTTGTTAAAAAGTAATTTATTTTTATAAAGAATTGTGATAGGTGGTTACTAAATAAAGTGAAATCAAACTCCAAAGCTCCATTTACATAAAAGTTTTTGAGTTGTGTCCAGTAAGGACAACCTAATGGGTTGAATTTATGATCGTGAAGTCATGGGTTTAACCCCGATGTTTTCAGGTCATTTGTCGCACATGGTTCGCCTAGTGTGACTTGTTTTGTTGAGCTTAGTTTGCAGGGGATTAGGTTCGTCAATGGATTTATCCAATTTGCAGCGGCGGTGAATTCTTACGTAGTAATAAAAAAAAAAAAAAATTGATATTGGGTTCAAACCGTTGACGTCTCCAGGTCCATTTGCCATTGCAGAGTATTAAGTTCAATCGAAAATTTACCCGGAACGTATCTGAATGGTAGTGACCGCGGGTTCCTACGTTATAAAATAAAAAGAAAGTGACAATTCTTTATCCTGTAAAAAATAATTTGGTGATGTGGAGTGAACTCATGATCGTGAAGTCATACTAGTTTCGATTCTACTCGTTTTTCTTGTCAAAAAATTGACTAATTCTTCTATCTTATCTTGTATACGAAATATCTAATACGCGTGGCAAAGCGTAAAATAAAATTATTGTATTTGAAAAGCTTGTTTAATGCCCATTATATTGAAAGAATTATTCAACCATTTTCATCGTCACCTTAATGGATCACCAATGATATAAATTCTAGATCATTATCATCCACTGTATCCACAAATTTACAAAGACATGTAATAAAAACAAAACAAAAATACAATTAATGTTATTTTAGATAATTTTCCTTTTGCAATTGTTTCATTAGATGAGATCTTTGTGCTTCAAAATATTACTTTTCTTGTAATTCATCGGCCTAAACTATTTTTGGTTAGCAATAATATCGATAACTAATGCATAGATCTTTTTATACTATTGAGCTGGAGAGATTTATAATATACTTCATGCCCCTACTGAAGCAAGTATTTATAGAAGTTAATAAAAAAATCATTGGTAATTTATTTGCCTCGACGATGACAACGAAAACAGAAGACAAGTTTGAAGAAATAAATAAATTTTTTTTTTTTGAAAAAATATAATTTAACAAAAAGTTATATATTTCATTCATCAAGGTGAAAAGATTACTGTAGAGTAAATTTTTAAATATTAGTATTATATTAAATTATAATAAAAAAAGACATGACATTTGTAATATATTGTAAGTTAGAAGATGATTTATTATATTTATGTATGTAATGATAACTTATTTTGAAACGGATAAAAATATATTTCTATTTGCAAATTTTATTTATTTAATTTTTTCTCTATATATATATAAAAGAGAGAATTGAAAATGAAATAAAAAAATAAATTATTTTTTTAATTTTCAATCCTACAAAACGTCCTTTGGGGGTCTATAAGCCCAATATGGATATGGGCCATTTGCCCAGATATAAATGAGCTACGGCCATGGCTTCGTAATTGCAAGCTACTACAAAGAGCAAAGGTGAACAGAAACGCGGTGCACCGCACCCACCGCTACTGGAGAATCTTTTTCTTCCCTGCGACAATGGCGATGCAAATGGCGGGAAGTGCATTTGCAAAATCGTACTGAAATATTCACTTCCCGCTCTGCTTTGTTACCTCTATAACTCCGCCTTCGGCAAACATTTTTAATCTGGGATTAATCTGAGTCGGTACTAAATATCTGGAGTTCTTCAGAATCTGCCGACAGAGGTTCCTTTCTAGGCGGCAAGAAAGGAAGAGGAAAGCTTAAAAACATCCAAGAGTTTTTGTTTGAAGTTCTGCCTGTCGTTCTCGTGATTCTTTTTAATGGCGATTGCTGGAGATTCGTCTGGCGGTGGCGTTGTTACTTCTCCGGGCAAAACCCTTGCCGGCGATCAGATTGAAGATTCCAAAGCCAAAGGTCCGAAAAGTTGTCATCAGGTATTCTTTCTTCTCAGTTAATTACTCCTTTGCAGTATCGGTGAATCTAGAGTTTTCGTAACAGTCGGTTGTTGTCTTTGTATGGTTTCGTGATTGTTTGTTTAAATTTGTCGAACTTGTTATCTAGATTCGATTTATTGCTATTAATCTAACGTGTGTGCTTAGTAGATCTTCAGTGTATAGCGCGACGAATGCTTGAGGAGCTTTTTGGGGGCAATCTTTCAATGGCTGTATAAAGTCTGCTTGTTTGTGCTTAAGTTCTTTGGATTTGTTGTTTATTTTGGGAATTGTAAGGATTTAAATGAAATTGATTTGTTTGGTTTTGGTTTGAGATTAGGGTTTTGATTTGAATTAACATTTTGACATGATTTGTGATTGAAAATGATGTATTTTTACTTGGAATGTTGTGATTTGAGGTTAAAATCGAAACCATATTCACCCCATTGTTGTTGAATGCAATATAGTTTACGGGGAAAGTTGTTTATGTTATTTTGCATGGTATGAAAATGTTGTTGAAAACACAAACAATCAAAATCCCTTTATACAATTGTGATCAAGAGCAATTATATAATTTTGATCCCTGACGTCATTGTCCGCAGCCATGTGCTGCTCCTTTTAGAAGGATCATCTAAAAGTCATCCGCGTTGTTTGTCGTATTATATTTTCTTTGACCCCCCGACATTGTGGTTCGTAGCCACGTGTTCCTTCTAGAGGGATAATCTAAATGCGATTCGTTTTGTTTGTTGTATTCAGATAGAAAGCTGACTTAAGTGTTGTTCGGTATGGTTTGGTATATTCCGTTTACAGATTTTCTTGTAAATTATGGAGAAACATCTATAAGTAAATGGTAAGCATAACTTCAATTAATGGACAGGAGTAATAATCCTGTCTCCGATCCATCCGGTAAATAGATGTAATAACTTTTCTGATATTGAAATTTAGTTAAACTATAGAACCAGGTAAGAGCTTGTTTGGCGTATCGTATTTATCACTGCAATCATTGTGTTTTGTCGTATGCTAATAACTCTTCGAAATGCTTTTCCTTGTATATTTGTCAGGTGGGGTATTTTGGGACATTTCCATGAAAATAAGCATTATCTTTGATGTAATCTACGGTGTATGATCATTCTAATATGATTATACGTGGTTAATTGATGGCGTCACAAAGAGTCAGTTTTGAATTATTGTGTCGGTGAATACTACCAAATATTATAAAATATCCATTCCGGGCTTGTTTTTTGCTATGGGATAAGTTACGATTATTTAGTAACTGACGCACGTGGAGTATATAATCCCATTTAGCAGCATGTAGTAAATGTGGCCTTGAAGATACATTTCAACAAAAGAAACAAGGATTATGGGATATTGGCATTATATTACTAATGTTGTCATTCTCTCTCTCTATCATGATGATGATCTTAAACAGGCATATGTGATTTATTGCTTCCTAGTAAGGATTTTTTTTTGTGTACATTCCCAGAAATAGTTGCTCTGATTAACTTTCTAACTTAATGTTTCTCTAGTGCCGCCAAAAAATCAAGAAATTTGCAGCAGCATGCAAGAGTTATAGGAAAAATAAACCTTGCACCCTTCGGATATGCAAACAATGCCTCTTGAACAGGTTAGAGATTTTATTAAACTGTTTCCTGAGTACTTTCGAAGTTTCTGTTTATTAATTTATTAGAGTCAGGTATGGGGAGATAGCTGAGGAAGCAGCTATGGTCGAAAACTGGAGTTGCCCCAAGTGTAGGGGCATTTGTAACTGTAGTGTTTGCATGTAAGTCCTCTGTCCCACTTATTTTTATTTTAATTATTTTTCTCTGGATCACTGTTGTATTCCTGATAGCAATTACGGTGCTGAATCCAGGAGGAGAAGGGGTGGTTCACCCAAAGGTGCATTTTCCCCTTCAGGACGGCCAAGTGGAGTTTCTTCTGTTTCTCGAAACCAGGTTAAGGGGGCTGTGAATCATGATAAAGTTATACTAACTGTGGTTGATTCTCTCAAGAAGATAGTACAAGTTCATTAAATTTTACAATTCTTGATGATGTAGTCAGATGGAGTTTAATTGTGGCTCTTAAGCATCGTATCTTTTACGAGCCTGGATTTGATAATCCTAACACATGCAACTAAAGTAGCCAAAAAAGGGCTGATTTGCTAGAATTTAATGTGTCGGAATTTTCATGCATTTATAGATAGTCTTGTCATGCTTGGAAAGTGATTTAGTTGGCAAGACTTAAATTGTTATTTTGGAGAGTATATCCACTTGGGTTGAATTTTCGCATCTTTCTTAGAATCTTTTAGGTTTTAGATAGCTATGGATCAAAGTTTGAACAAAAACCAATTCTTGAGTTGGGTATTGTGTCTATGAATGGATCTTTTTTTTAAATATAAATTTGAAGATTTTTTTTTCCTAAATAAAAGACTAGAGTTTTCCTTGAATATGAATTGTGAGAGTTTAGCGTCTGCTATTTGAGTAATTCATGTGAGTACACTCAACTATTGTCAATGTATGATTGTATCAAGAGAATTTGGCGAATTAACAATTGTCTAACAGGAGGGACTCGCTTCACCTAGGAGAGGAAAGGAAAATTCTTTTAATGGTAAAGTGGATCCAAATGTGCCAAATTTTGTTGAAAGGAGTTCCAAGAAACTCATGGGAGCTTGCAATGACATTGTAGGCCATAATATCTCCTCAAAAGTAACTAATCATGGACAGAAGAGAGGCAGAACAAAGGAACGCATTGGTAATACTGGCGAAAACGGTGAACTCTCTGAGAAGAAACATAAGAAAATGAAGTGTGATGTTGCAGGCGAATTGGGCAAGGATAATGATGGAGCTGCTGTCAAGAAGAATTTGGTTGGACAGAAGAAAAAACGAAAAGAATGTGACAGTGCTATAAACGATGAGGCTGTTGATATAGCCCTTCCAGTTGGAACCGAGTTGAAACATATTGCTGGGGTTGATGTTCTGGCCGAAGACATGGGGAACGCTCTGCAGTTCTTAGAATTCTGTTCTGCTTTTGGAAAGGCAAGTAAATCTTTTAATATGCATTTGAGATTCAATATCTTGTTATGAGCTGTTACAGTATTGTTTTTCCTTTTGGGGTTTTACCTTACAAGAAAGTCACGTGGTAGGTTTAGTTCTAAAAAAAAGATTGTAATCTTAGTATATAAGCTCATTCATATCTACTTTTAAGTAGCATTTATTTAGATTGCCTGACCTGTTTTCACTGGGGGCTCATTACTTCAACTAGTCTCCGTGTTCCTCGAATGGATCTCTTAGTTGTTGAGAAAATGGTATTGAAAAGCTCAAGTCCCTAACAATTAGTCTTTTTGGCAAATGATCAACAGGTCCTAGAGATTAGGAAAGGACAACCCGAGCATGTGCTGCAAGACTTGTTTCATGGGCGAGCCGGACGCCGTGGAAAATATTCTGTGACTATCCAGTTCCATAACCACCTGCTATCTATACTGCTGCCTGAGAATGAAAAGAGGTATGACATCATCTACTGAAACAGAGGTAATTTCACCACTCAATTTTCTCAACTGGTGAGTACATCTTTTCTCTTTTCTTTTCAGTGCTGAGACAGAAAACCATGGTTACGAGAAAAGCTCCTGGTTCCGGACTCTCAAAGAATATTTGTCCGAATCTAAGAGTGTTCTCGAAGCTGCAGGGGTGTGGGATTCTCTAGAGAAGGCAGCTGATTATGAGGCTTTGAATTCTTCCGAAAAGCTTATGGTCCTGAATATTGTGTGCGATGAAATTCTTGAAACTGAGTAAGGAGCCTTTTCATTTCTACGCTATCCTTGATCTTCTTCTTCATTTCTCTGAAAGGTTATCTTCCTCTTGTTAAATGTATAGGAAGGTGCGAAGGTGGATGGCTGAACAGGTGCAGGAAACTAAGGAGAAAGTAGGTGTTGCAAATAGCAGGCTAATTAGCTTTGGAACCATTACAAATCTGGAATGCAAATTTCCCTTTTTGAACTACTTTTCTTGATTTAGGAGAAGAGTTTGAGGGATAAAGCAAAGAATCCCGTGGATGGTGATTCCAATTCAACTGTTGAGCAACTGAAGACTTCTGCTGATAAATCTGAAGTGGCACAAGATCATGCTGATGTACTGAAGTCTAAGGACATACTTCTGAAGCGTAAATTCTCATCCAAGATCTTTTCATTTATATTACCCCTTCCTTCTGGGATAATAATATAATTTTGTTTGGATATGAAGACTGAAAAGTAATGATATTTAAATATAAACATGGAGCAGATAAAAAATAAAGTGAAAGTATTACGAAAATTTATTAAGGGGTAAAGTAGTGAGTTAAATAGAAACAAATATTGGCAAAATGAATGTTATTTGTCAAATTAAGGATATAAAATTGTGAGTTATAAAGTTTTTTTTACAATAATTAGACTATGCATAAGTTTAGTGACGGTAAAAAAAAGAAAATCTGACATAATTATTTCGGACAGAGTGACCAGTTTTTACACCTAAGATTACCTTACATTGTCTTGTCTGTGAGTGTTCTGGTCCCTTTTTTTTCTTGAGTATCCAAAAAATCCTTGACGACTCTTTTCCTTTTATAAGTTGAAGTTATGAATGCAATATTGAATAGGGCCCTTCTTCACATTGAAGAAGATCAAATCAAATGCACTAGATCTCAACATTCTATACATCTACACTTAATTTAGATGGACTTTTAATGAAGTTTTGTTCTTATATTTTCTCATTCGACACTGGTCACCTTAGTTCTTACAGATGTGTTGTATATCTATTGATTGGATTGATTGCAGGCAAGCGGTCGTGCAATGCTGTGAGAACTGACCCTGTCCTTATGGATACTCGTGGTCACGGTTATTGGATGCTAAACTGTTTAGGCAGCACTGATGTTCAGCACCAAAGTAAGTGGTGTTTAGTATGTATTCCTATTCCCATTAATTATACCTTATGCTGTTGTGCATAAGTAACCTGATATTTTCGATTTAAAACTAACAGGCATTGGGAAAGGGGACGACTCTCTTAGCTTGAAGGAAGAATGGTTTGGGGTTGATGCTGAAGGAAAAGAAGTGATCAAGAAACATGTGAGATCTCTGAGGTAAGTAATTGTTACTCATACATGTAGATATTGATGTTAAATATAGATCCATATCCCAATCCCAATCCCTTTGTATTTTTGTGTTGCAGGCTAAGGTCGAGGAAGAGTCGAGTGGGAGGGGGCAAGGGCCATGGGAACAAAACAACACAATCTTGTGTTGATTGAAGATGGTAGTGAGAAGGTGACTCTATAATTGAGGTAGGAATCTATTGGGAAGGGAGGGAAATGGAAATAGAATGAATGCCGAACCACATTTTGTTAAATACCTACTTACATACTTACTTACTATCCTCTTCCCTCCACTAGGATTAAACTTTCCAAACTAATCTCATCCTAAATGCCGAACCACATTTTTTTATTTATTATTTTTTTTCATCTTTAAAGTTATTATTATCCTAATTTGGTGGTAATTATGTCTATATCTTTGAATGGAGTGTTTGTTTGTTTGATTGATTGTTTTTTTTTCTTTTGTAGCAATAATCTTGATTTTAAATTACGAATTTGTATAATTTCGTATATTAGATTTTGAAAGCTTGCTACAGAAGAGATAGAGATGTGAGTTAATCACTATTATTATTATTATTCCAATTTAGTAGTATTATTTATAACAAGGTAACTTCCATTAAACTCTTTATATCTATTTTCAATATTTTACAATATTATAGAGCATTTTGCTAGGAAAAAGAAAAACATCTCACACCTTTATTTATCTATTTTCAATATTCTACAATATTATAGAGCATTTTGCTAGGAAAAAGAAAAACATCTCACACCTTTATTTTTTAATATATATGCTCCTAAGTTCTTATCCCGTATTTTTGCATGTAGTTTATATACATATGTGGTACAAAATAAAATAAAACGATATTCATATTTTTATTAATAGTGTGTATTTATTTTGTATTGGTGAAATAAAGGTAATAGTATTATGTAATAATATATTACTCTTTTTTTACTATTAAATTTATATTAATTTTTTTTTGTTTATTAAAAAAATTTTTTTTTTTTCTGGCGTCAAAATTATAATTAATATTTTTTTCACCAAACTTAGCATATTGTATTTATAATAAAATATTTTGATGTATATTTGTTTGTGCACTTTTCATTTTCTGACTATTTGTTTATTAATTAATCCTTTTTTCTTTTCAAATATATATAATCTTAATTAACAATTATTTTTTAAAAATATCAAAAATAAAAGTAAAATATACGCTGTAATTTTTTAACAGTAATTTAATATAGAATTTATAAAATATAGAAAATATTACACAAAAAAAAAGTAGAATCGAATTATAAGAAAGCACACCATATTCACTCTTAATTCTTTCCAATTTTATTTGTGGTATTCAATCTTCAACCCAAAACATAAATTCCTTTTTTTTAAAAAAAAAAAAAGAAAAAGAAATAAGAGGTCAGAGAAATGTATAGTAAAAAAGATGTAATTAATTAAGCATATACAAACTTAATTTATATTAAGCGTATGTCTTACTTGTCTAGAGTGTAGTGTTGGAAATTAGTTTCACCTCGTATACGTGTTTTCCTCCTTCCACTGCACATCCATACACAAATTCATCAATCTTCAAAACTTCACCTCTATTATATTTGAATGCATGCATATATATATATATATAATATATATATATAGTACACACACAACAAAAACAAATAACAGTGGTAAAAAACTGACCAATTTCAGCTGTGATTCCTGGTCCAAAGAAAGAAGCAAATTTGGCCTGTGCAAGTGCAGAGAGCAGTTATAGGGATGGTTAGGGTACTTATTCAGCCCTAACCAGTATATAAAAAAAAAAGATAGACAACACATGATTTGATTTCAAAGTGTGTGTTATGAATATAAGTGTATATGATGCTTTTATGTATTTAGTGTGCTGTAATCAGTAATACCGAAAATGCTGAATCAACAATGAATTGTGATGGTTCACCTGTCGTTGCTGAAAATCGGAGAGTTCCAGGAACTTCGCGTCGAATACCAACACCAAACAGTATCTTCCATCCTCAGTCACCTTCCATACATAAGAATGTAATGCAGGTTAAATGAATGTGAAGTGAAGTGAACTGCAAATTATCATCTGAATATGGAAAGTTAAACTGTTGTGAACTAGAGCATCGTACTTCTTCTCGAATCATTTGAAGAACAGGAGCACTCCTCCGTGGAATCCCTCCACCCTGAACATGATGCAAAAGACTATCAAATTCTCAAATACACATTCCTCTGATTTAAGCAGCAATAACACTCAAGTGTCCCAAACCCGCAATCACTACACATCATTGATTGTCTGAACTCAATAGGTTTCAAGCAACAAAGGAAAGTGTACTCATGTCTTATAGACCATCTCTTGTCTTAACTGTATGTTCCTCTACATCATAAAAGAAAGGAAAGCCAACTTCAAGTAATGAGAAGATTCAATAACAGTAAATTTTTATTTCTTAATGTTGATGCTATAGTAGAGTCTTCCTATGGAACAAGATTAAAGTATAGGAGGGAGAAGAGGATGGCTATAAGAAGACGCATCGATTACCTGACCATATTGGAAAATGCGCTTTAGTGCTTCATCCAGATGCTGCTCATCTCCATACCTGTATCTTGTAACATCATTTCTGACCTAGAAATAGAATGAAATGTTATTTTCAAAGTGAGGTGTGTTAAGGTAAATACCAAATATTAGTTTGTATGAAAGCAAATCCGACATCAAAACAAGATAATCTATGGTTTTGTAGCATGTGTTCATTTATAGTTACAGTTAGTACAACAGTGAGTTTCCTGCAATAAAAGAAATTTGCCGAATCTCACAGGGAAGCCGAACAGCTAAGCAAATAATCTAAAAATGGAATCTCAGCACCATGATTACACATTAGATGTCATTATCGAGACATTAAATATGTAGATTGCATTGTACCTGCTTAAGAATTGGAGTTGCACATTTTTCTCTCAGGAGTTGAGCATCTGAATAAGTCAAGCAGGGAACGGGTTTAAGTTCTGCATACTAGAAAAAGTTCCAAAGAAAATTGCGTCAAAAGCGATGATATGATACAGAGCAAGGATAATGAATGAGAACTACTTCATTCTCATGACCAGAAATGCAAATTACGAGATGGTTAATACATATATATTCATCTAGCAGTGAGGATTGTTACAGCATAGTATCAAACACAAAATAGATGCCTAGCTTTGTTAGCCTCAAGATATGACAGACTATATAACAGTACATGAAATATAATGCACAAATAGAAGGGAATAATGTAAATACCTTGAGGGCCATGCCGATAATTGCTAAAGGGAAGCCATATGTCAGCATTATGGCTGACCATTCAGATCCAGGGAGGATAGTGAAGTAAGCCCCAAAACCATAACTGTATAAGCAAAAGAAAGGAGCTATTACTAGTTGGTTTTGCAAATCAAATAAGAATCAAAGCAAAAAATATCAGCTGGGCTATAGCATTTCATCTGATAATGGATATAACCACAAATACTTAAGGGTGTGTTTGTTTGGGGGTTTGGATTTTGAGTTGAGATTTGAATAGTAAAAATTTTGAATTTGAATAGTTGTATGATATGATATAAATAGGTGTTGATGTGATGTTTTGAATGTAAAATTGATTTTTAGTATAATATAAAAAATAAAAATAGGTGTCTGATTTGATGTTTTTTTGGGGAAAATATTGAATGAATAGTGTATTTGGGGGAAAATCCCCCAAACAAACACACCATTAAAAAGAACCAAATTAGATAGTACAATTCAGGGGCAAATTTAGGACAACTCTGAGCTATTTTAGTAGTGAATCTTTCTGCCTAAATGTAGGGTACATTGCATAAAAATTCTTGCTGAAAAGAGACATGTTCATCTTCTGAATTTGATGAATATGAATTCAAAACTATCACTGATTCTATGAATAAAAATTTGTTAATAATGGATAGGGATGCTCACGAGAGAAGGGTAAGGCCAACACTTAATCCAATAATTCCGAAAGAAATCTGCAGAAAAATGCCAAGTGTAAATGATTACAAGACATGGAAGTTTTACCATATACTGGAAATTTACAATGAAACAGGAATCAAACAGAGCTACTTCATTATTTTTCCATTGATTATCAAATATCATCTCAACAAGAGCCAATATATGTTAAACAGCTCCTTTTCAATTTTTCTGCAACTCACTAAATCTTGTTTCTGACGCAAAATAATACTTCATCAAATTCAACAACTAATTAAAAATTACTTCGCGGAAACGCGGCAAATACATCTAGATGAAAGAAATCCGCAATAATAATTCATAGCTGAGAGACCGTACTTTGGCAAGCGAAAATTCGGTGTCGGGGACGGTGGACTTATCAGCCGTAGTCGAGGCAACGGAGGAGGACGACGACTGAGTCGAGTCGGCAGCTCTGCAGGCGAATTTGAATCTCAAGGATCCATTTCCGATGTGGAGTTTAGGCGGAAACGCATCTCGATTATTGCCGTGAAAGACAGTAGCAAAGGCGTTTCCCAACCTCGATCTCCGCAGAGAGAGCGCATAGGTGAAGCTGGATGTTCCGAAACCCGAACGGCCGAGGATTAAACCATTTCCGCCGCCGTCCAGCACCATCGCCGCCGCCATCGGGATTCGAGTGTTAAGGGTAACGAGAACGGCGGTTGAGGAGAAGATTGGAGGGAAAGGGGAAATGAATTCATAGCCACAACTGACTTAAGGATGACGTGGCTCTTCTAAAACCTTCTTAACCCTCATCCATAATTTGCCCAGGAGTTGTAGCTAGAGTCGCATTATTTTGACTACCATATGTTTTAATTTGGGCTTTGTATCCACAATTTATTTATTTATTTTTAAAATTTAAATAATTTATAAAATTATATTGTACAGAACAATAGTTTTTTAAAATAAGCAATAACCGAGTATCATCGTACGTTGGTATGTACTTATTTTTTAATTTAATAATTATACAAGTATGTGTTTCTAAGGCCGAAAGAGTCCATGGAATGGAATTTTTTTGCCAACCTTCTTCGATAGACTTCTTCGAGTCCGTTGTGTGTGACGCCATTACTACATGAAGTCGACGCCGATTCCGCTCCGATCGAGATTTGAAAAGTAAGTGTTTGGGAGTTTGGATAGATGGGATAACAAAATGAAAACCATGAATTTGATCAGGTTTTAATAAACTCGTTCTATAATCTACGAGGTTTTGGAGACATAGATGTTATGTTTTTTGTCACTCCCCGTAAAATTGTGCACATTTCTGGTCATTCCATTGTTCTCGTGAAGTATTAACCAATTCTAAGTATTACATTGTTTTCTTCTTTTATCGTTAGTCAATGACGAGTCACTTGTTTAAGAATGATCCTCACACTATATACCAACCCAACGCATATTTGATAGTGTAGTTTTCTACTTGATGATAATGTTAAAACTTGAAAGTGAACATGCAGCTCAACCACGATTTGCAAAACTAAGAACTACATAAAAGTGGGGTTAGACGTGTGACCGTGAGATCAGGAGTTCAAACCCCCAACGTCTCAGGTCATCTGTCACACATGGTTCGCCTAATATATCTTATCTATCGGGCCTGATTTACAGGGTATTAGATTTGATCGGCAGATGAACTTATTATTTATCAACCTTCTACAAGGTGTCATTAGCTCTTCAATTCTCGTCATTTCATTACCTTCTAGTAGGTAATTAATTGTGACCTAAACTAATTCTTTATCCACTTCCAAGTTTGTATGGAGTAGTCCTTTCTTTACTAATGTTGTTTTGTCCATTTGCGGTATTTTGATGTAGTCGTCTCCTTAACACCCGAGTGTCTCAGTTAGACACATTTGCAGTGTAATAAAAATAGTGTTAAATATTGTCTAATAACTTTTCAAATAATTTTCTAGTGGCTGCTTAATTTTTGTTGTGTAATGAAAGTTGTTCTTTTTGTTAAAAATATAATAATAATATTATATTGTAAGAATATAATTATCGAAATACATTTGATAATCACAATAATTTATCTAATTAATTTGATAATCACGTCGTTTGAGATAGAATCTCTCTCCGTAAAAACAAATACGTCCTGGTAGTGTCTCTGGTTCGTAACATAACATTTTCAAAGATAAAACGACGTTCGTCTCCGAATTGGATGACACTGCAATATTTCGGAACTCTGACGAACTAAACGAGAGACGAACTTTTGCGATATTGGAAGGCTCAAGGAGGATTAATGGAAAGTATAGGCGGAAACTTGTCGGAAAATTCAAACGGTCGCCAGAAGATTGGAAAAGAAAATAGATTAGAGAGGAGAGCTAGTACTATACGGTAGAAATAACATAAAATATATTTTAGTAGTTTTATACTTATATACAAATAACACATAGTTTATATTCAAATAACAAGACGTAAAAATATATATATCATATAGTTCGTCTAGTGTAACTTGCTTTGTCGGGCATAGTTTGTAGGTATTAGGTTCGACTGGAGATTTACTCGGTGCGCACTTTCGAGTAGCAATGCGGGTTCCCACGTCATAAAAAAATATATATATCATATAGTTGGTCCCGTAAAGGATGGCCTGGTGGTGTAGAAATAGACACGTCACGAGTTCATACCCCGACATCTTCAGGTCACCTGCCACACGTGGTTCGCCTAGTGTGACTTGCTTTGTCGAACTTAGTTAGCAGGGGATTAGATTCGGCCGGGAGTTTACCCAGTACGCACTTTAAAAGAGTTGGTACTGACAGTTCACATTGTCAGCACCCTAACTGTCATCCATCTAAAATATGATTTTGTTTACATACACTCCCTTCGTCTACCAAATTTACTTTCACCTTTTATTTAGTCAGCTAAATTTATCTTTTCCTATATTTGAAAAAGTAAAAAACAAAAATTATTTAATTATTATCATTAACTTTATTATATTTTCTTTTTATTCTTTTTAATTATTAACTAAACTTTTAAAAATATCTTCAATTATCTTTTTAATTTTTTTATTTTTTTAATAAAATATTTATTTTTATTAATTTTCGTACGGAGTCCAAATAAACTAAATGTGTGAGACGGAGAGGATACTTTTTAAAGTTTCGACATTAAGTTCAGAAAATCACATCAAATATATATATATATATAGTATTATTATTTTTAAAATATTATATTAAACACGTTTTCGATCCGTAAAAATTATTTCAGCTTTTCTTTATAGTTTCCAGTTAAATTTATGTGTAAGAAACTGATAATAAAAAATTTATCCATTCATAGTTTTATTAATAATATTTTAACAAATATTTTCTCCATTTAAATCAAAGATGTTTATTTGAATTTTGCATGAAAATTTAGATATACTAATATTTTATAAATATATACTCTCTTCGTCTCATGTAATATGAGTGTATTACCGTAGATACGAGAATTTAGGTAAAGTATAATTAGTAAATAATTTAAAAAATAAAAGAAAGAAAGAAGTGTATTAGTAAAAATAATTATTATTTAGTAAAAATAATTATAGATTAAGATTAAGATAAGTAAATAGTTTAATTAAAATTAAGAAAATTATAAAATTTAAAATTGAAAATGCGATTAAAGTGCATAATTATATTTTCAAAAATAGAAAAGACAAATTACGTGGAACGTACGAAAATAAAAAATAGGAACAAATTATATGGGACGCAGGAAGTATATTATAATAAGTACAATTTATTTTACTCCCAGCATTAGTGAGATTAAAAAAATAAGCAAAACTTTGATTATATCAGGGTATACTACACCTTTTAGTTATTGGGAGAACTAAGTATTTTCTTTTATAAAAACTAGAGGTATTTTAGTTTTAGGAAAAAATTATTTTTAGTGTCAATATAACCAAAATTTATCAATTTTGATCTCAATATAAAAATTTTATCAATTTTGGTCATAATATAACTAAAACTCATCAATTTTAGTCTCGTATAATCAAACTCATCATTTTTTATCTCAATATAAAATTTTATCAATTTTTAGTTCCAATATAACAAACATTCATCATTTTTTGTCTCAATATAATCAAACCTTCTATTTTTTGGTCCCACCGTCAACAAATCGGCGAAAAATGTTGACGTGAAAAAAATTCAAACCTTTTATATTTGAAGAAATTGCACAATCTTGCAAGTCCATGTCAGCATTTTCCGTCGGTTTATTGATTGTAAGACCAAAAAAGATAAAGTTTGATTATATTGAGACAAAAAATGATGAGTTTTGGTTATATTTGGACTAAAATTGATAAAAAATTTATATTGAAACCAAGAATGATGAGTATTTGTTATATTGGGACCAAAATTAATGAGTTTTTATCATATTGAGACCAAAATTGATGAGTTTTGATTATATTGAGACCAAAATTAGTAAAATTTTTATATTGGGACCAAAATTGATAAATTTTGGTTATATTGAAACTAAAAATAATTTATTTTTTTTATTTTTTAACTGAAACATAAATTTACTATATTAAAAAAAAACAAATATTTTTTACTTAAAAAAAAATACAAAATGAATACATTTAAGTTGAATGAAAAGAGTAATAATTAATTTGTTATTATTTTTTTTTACTTTATCATAATATTTTGAATTATCAATTTTTAATAAATTTTATATAATATTCTCTCTTTATTTTTTTATGCCATATTTTCACATTCTCTATCTCTTAAAAATGTGCTTAATTTTCTTTCTTTATTATATTATTAATTTTTATAAATAATATTAAATGTGCACCTATCTTAAAATTTATGCTAAAAGATATGAACACATTTTTCTAAACGGAAAAATTATTAAAATATTACCATCTTCATCTCCAACTAAAGATGTATAATTACTCCGAACGAGTGAAAGTATCTACCTCTTCTCTTCGGTTTTTTTTTTTTTTTCACAATTTTCTTACCAACCACATATATATATATATATATTACTTCGTTCGTCTCACATAATTTGTCCCTATTTTCTATTTTTGTCCGTCCCACATAAATTGTCCTTTTTATTTTTAGAAATATAATTATGCACTTTAATCTCGTTTTAAATTTTATATTTTATAATTTTTTTAATTTTAATTAAGCTATTTATTTATTTTAATCTTAATTTATAATTATTTTTACTAATATATTTTTTTATTATTTATTAATTATACTTTAATTAAATTTTTTCGTAGACGGAGAGAGTAATTACTAATATTATCCACTGCAGCGTTGCGAAAAATAAATAAATAAAAGCACCTATTTTAAGACATGAACGCGAATCCCAATCAGACAGAGAATGGACCACAGCTGTTTGCTTAATTATCTACTCTTTTTGTTTCACATACTTTATTTATTTTTTTTAGTCTTTTTTCACATAATTTATTTATTTTTAAATATAATTATACATTATAATTATATATTTAAATTTTATGTACTTTTTTTTTAAAATAAGAAGAATGTCATTTTTTTTTTCTGTTTTAAAATAAGGGTATTATTTATTATTTTAGTAATTGTACTGTCTACATAACATAATAAATATTCTTATAATTTACAATATATTACACAAATATTATTATTTTTATATTACACCATACTAACAGTGATATTTTTGTTTTTTTACTACAAATTAATATATACTAATATTAAAAAAACTACGTATAAAAAACAAATGATATTCTTGTTGTTGCAAGATGAAGATTAGTATTACTATCTCCGTCTCATATACCATGTCTGCTACACTGTAG